AAAAACAAATCATTCACAATGTCTGTAATTAAATCAAAAAAGCCCAGCCCATAAAGACTGTGTATAGAACTGGAGTAGACAGTTTCCATTGTTTCAAGATAATGTTAATGGTTTATGTTATATTGGCATGAAACTGACTACAATCACACAATGGGATACATTTAGGTCTTGTACAAACTATGATAACACCAATCACACAACTACCACCAGCTGCCAAATCTCTTCTGCACCACTCTTGTTATCTTTAGCTCTTTATTTTCTCTAAAGTCACTCGCCAGTGCTTCTAATTACAAACATTTTTTTTACACCACAACTTCAGGTATATGAGTCACTCTTTTTTTTCATAATAAGCACCTTTTGTACATGAATATTTACAAGCTCCTAATAAACCTAAGAAAACAATAACATGACTTCCTTTTATTTCAATCAAACCTTTCCTTTTCTGATTTTGCAAATGGATTTGTCTAGCAATAGTTAATGGGAACTGTCTGTTTTAAAGTTAGAATACTAAAACTTGAGAAGCAATTAAAGTTACAGAGTTTAGTGTATGTAAGGATATTTAGGTTACCCTGGCTCTACCGGCAGTGGTGGAGGTATTGGAAGTTTTCAGTCAGGATCACGGCAGTAAGCCACATTGAATTTACCAGAGTTCAGTTCAGCCACCACATTGTTCCTAGGCAGGCTGTCCACTAGTTGCCTTCACTTTCGCAAGGAACTGTTACTTCTGTACATGCCAGAGCAGAGGTACAGTGAGAATGACCGTAGAAAGGATAACATTATCAATCACAACAAAAGTGACCTGCACCGTCCAGGAATCGAACCCCAGTAGCCCAATTCACAGTCCTGGACGCTCTACCTAATGAGTTAACAGGACGGCTCTACAAGTATGACAATTTGATGTTTAATACCAAAGCAAGCAGGCACAGGAATAGTTCATTTTGCATATTTTTGCAGAAATTGTATATTATATTTGGACATGATGAAGAAGTTAATTATTACCAAGCAATTTCAAGTGTCAATATGAGGACAATGTTGACAACAAACTGTTAAACAAACAGGTCTTTAAGAAGTGAAAGACTGGGGAAAAAATGTTGAAAGGTGTAACACAGCTCTTATTTTAAAGTTGTCTTAAATGTCACAACGGTAATTGTCACTGGCCAGCCAATTAATGGCCATCCACTACATCTTTATAAATCTGTGTCAGATATCTTCAACAAAATTGAATAATTCATTCTTTCATGTAACAATTAAGATCTTAAGCTGCTTGTGGCATATGTATACATACCACTCACAGTGTAGACCAAGAACAAGCACCACATCTGTGACATCTGATCATGGTCTGCACTGTTTCTTATTCAGGCAGTACTTATTTTGAAACTTTACCCGAAAAAATGATGGACGGTTTTGTCCTTATTGAAGGACAACTTCAGGGATTAATAAAGAAAGCCTTACCCTATAGTAACTCAATACAATCTTACCCTATAGTAACTCAATACAATCTAGAGCTGAAATCAGCCCCACACAATGTTTAATTTGTTAGACAGAAACAAGAATGGATAGAATCTCTGCTGTATTATTGTGTACTTCAACAAACGATGACAGTTGTGGCTTTCTTGCATTCTGTTTCTGTGTTAATTATCTAACCTGACAACCAGTCTACAGACAAAAAACAACAAAAGATCAGAGGAATTATGGGCAAAATTGATGGGTGTGTACCAGTCAACAGTTCAACTTCCTGTAAACTTCATCAAATGGAACTATGAGCTGTCCAACCTCATTCCAAAGATACTTCACTCATTCAGGCAAGAAATGTCAAAACATCTGATACACTCACTCTAGAATGAAGAATTTCATGACTTTTGTTGGCTTTTAATCTCAGATGGACAATTGTGGACATAGGCTGCCTTCCAGCTCACCAAATCATGTTTTAGTCAGTGATGCAAAAAAACAAAAATGTACCTGAACCAGAACAGGTGCTTCCCTCAAGCTTTCTATTTTGGCAACAGGAATGAATCAATTATCAAAATATGACCAGTACTTTCTCTGAACATACCCCGAAAACACCAATAATTAAAGTGATACCATGATAAAAAGGGCTTAAACTAAAACCTTTAAAAGGCCACAGTAAGACAAGCTCAAGCTTTCCATGAAAAGCCACAAGTGCTACATGACTATACAAGACCCTTATGTTGGATGCTTAATGTTTGATAATGTCCAGTTATTAGGTCACGGTACATGGTATTAGGGCAACAAATTTTGATAATTAACCAATAATTCTGGTGTTTTAGTACTGTCCATAACTATAAATCAGTGTTTATTTGGGTAACAAATTTTAATGATTGGCCAGATTCTTTGCAAATTACAATTTTTGTTCCAGGTGTGATCGTACAATGTTTTGACTGCCTCTCTGATACCACAACACCAGAAGAGAAACATTCTGTGATTGGAGAAAAATGCCATTAGCCGTCCTTTATTAGAGTAATATTTAGAGATTATGCCTGGATTATCTTCCCGATTATCAGATATCACCTGTCTACCTAACTTTACTGTAACATATCACCCTGACTGGTCAATTAGTCAAAAATTATCTGGAGAATCCTCCATTGTTTTGTTTTTTCTTCAGAGGGGCGGGATTTTCTTCATGTGTTTATCTTATCAAAGTAACCTTATCATAACTGGATGATTTATAAAAAATAAACTATTATTAGAATAGCGAAAAGAGAAATTGTATACCTTTAAAGTTTGTTTGTTTTTTGTTGAAAATAATTGCAAGTGGTCGTGCAAAACTGAAATAACTATTAAATCATTAAGAAAATTTTAGTTTTATTTCATGTACATATTTGTTAAAACAGATGTACATTAAGCTCAAAGTCTTTTAATGCAAATTTGTTTTGGTCCATTGTTTCAATGAATTAAATTCCACTTTGAAATTCAGCCATTAATGCAGTTGAAATGTATTTTGTATCGATCCTTCTTACATTGCAAAAACAGCTGAAGTTACAATACATGCATAGCCCAACTAAATGACTTTTATTAACCATGTTCTAGAAGCAGTCACTACAATAGTTGTTTATTAGATACCGTTCCTTCATTTAATTGAAAAAAGTAATTATATTTTCAAAGTTTTAACTTTCGGTCATATAAAAAAAATTCACGTTTAGATGCAATGGAAACACCTTTCGATTTGCATATAGCTTCATTAAAAGGCAAGTTAAAGCAGAATGGATACCCTTTCTATCATTACCATCTTGACTTGAACAGTGCTCTATGCTTTGTAGAAACAAATTACAAAATTTTCGGGAAAAGTATATTTATTGCACAACTAAATTACTCTGTGGTCTCAGTTTTCACTAAATGACATCGGAAAATGTGTGGAAATTCGCACATTCAATACATTTCATAATGTCATATGTCTGGTAAAGTTACTGTTTTTTGTGAAACTAAAGAATACTAACATGCGATCAGCAATAAAAATGACAACATTGACTACAATGGAGCACTTTGATTTAGTTTCAGGACCACTTAACAAGTCACGTAACTTTTCAATTTTACATTTTTAACACTAAAGTTATTGTACTTGCAATTTCGTTTTTAACATACCTGTGATTTATAGAATTACAGTAAGTAAATCATACAATTGTTTAACACTTTCATGCAATATATGAATTAATGCTTTGTTGCATATAATGTGTTGTTTTCATTGGTGGAAAAATCCTTCTTTTTTTTTAAAGAGGTTGAACATACAAATAACTTATTCGGCAGAAATCGTAAATCAGTTTAGAATATCAAGACAACACTGTTCAGCCTGATGACTTGCTAATTCAGCTAAATTCAAACATCATTATTCTAAATATCATATTTTTTTTGCACGATTTTCTCACATTTTTTTTCATAAAAGTACATCTCCTTTGATTTGCATCAATATAATTGCAAGCATGATAATCTAGGATTTAATCTTTTAGAGTACATACCACATCACACGAGAGCTGGTGTAAGCGCAGGTGAAAGCCTCCTGGCAGTGCAGTTAACAATTTTATTCCACATTCAAATCAATCAAACCCTATAACTTCCTGAGAATGAGGTTTTTCAAACTATAATAATTTATGCAAAGCATGGAATAATATCAAACATTTAGTCACTAACAACTTCAATTGCTAAGTTATTGCTTATTTTATCTATTTGCTTCAAATTTTAAGTAAGGACTGAGCTGTTGAGGTCATATGGGGACATTCTAGCTTGACTGGTAGAAGAAAACCTCAGGCACCACTCTGCATTATTTCAGTCACACCAGTCCTTTGGAGGATAACTTCCTCAAAAATTCCATGTTGGTTTATTAATTTTTAAATTTTTATTGCCTTATACATTGGACCAACACAGTAAAGGTCATTATATGGTGACTTTACTGGTTGATGAAGACCTCAGGTTCCCTTCCGTGCATTATTTCAGGCACGGACAGGCACCTGAGTAAACCACCAACATTCCATCAGCTAGCTAACCTAGAGAGCTCTTCCTCACATGAAAGAATCTAAAGCCCCTGTCAGGATTCAAACCCACACAACTTAAACCACTTGGCCAAGGATGCTCTCTTTAATTATTTCCTCTTTAACTGAAAGATGACAACCTCAGGGGGCCTCCCATGTATTATTTCTCACAAAGAAGGCCTGTTGGTTAGAACCATCAATTCTTTATAGAAAGAAATAAGCCTGTTTATATTGTAAATAAACTTTGAAACAATAAAGGGCAAATGTTTAAATTATAATCACTTTAAGCCTTAATGTGCTGGAATCATTAGAGATAAGTCTTTGCCCTCTGTATAGTCAGCCAAGACAGTCTTCTCTTGTGTGCATTCTGACCAAGCACTATACTGTAAGCTGACTAGTTGTTAAATTTTTATCTTGATATCCCCAAAATCGATATTGGACAATACCAAAAATTGAAGCTGGACAAGTCAATTTAAGAAATTCAGCAGCTTTAAGCCACAAAAAAAAGTGAATACTTACATCAAAATGAACTATGTTTCCCTGAAATGCATCACTAGGTATGGTGTATCTGAACAACTTCCCTACATATGCTGTGGTGTCAGCTATTCCCCACAACAAGGTCAATGGTTCACTCGCTGGCATCTTCATCTCTAAGGTCAGTGGCACGACAGACGGAACGAAACAACACAATGTCACTAGCACCAATGTATACATTTTATTTACTCCGAAACCCATTGTCTTAATTTTCTCGCAACAATTTTTAGTAGATTTTACGACCATACTCTTATTCAATGTTCCCCGACTTCACTAAATTACCTTCATACTAATTGTATCCAAGCTCACAGAGAAAAAAATCCAATTTTAACAATTTTTTACACAAGACCGAAACAATTCCTTGGTAAGTTTACAGAATAACGAATTCCCCAGTGGCTCAAACGTCTTTTCTCCTCGTCACTTTTGATATCGGAATAGGACTGGAATAAGCTCTGAGAAGTTTCTCAATTCTGAAAACAGATAATTGACTATAATTAGGTAACTGATTATTGCAACAATAAAACTAAATGACAAGATTATGTGCTGTGTAGTTAGACAGTTTTTATTTAAGTTTCGCTAACATAGTTATAAACATAGTTATATAGAAGTTAGTAACTTATAGCAGTAATATCATCTCCTGGCTAAATTACAGCACTTTGCAGTAATAATATATCATACTCACATTGAAATGTTTTTATCAAGAACTAAATTACCAACAAACATAAATAATGACTAAATGTCAGCAAATCAGGAAAACTTCAGTCACAGACTTTGCTGTAATATGCATTTCCTTGGAACTTGTCCTCAGAGACACTCTTTATCATTAATGCCACAAGAAACTCCTGACACTTGCTTTGGTTAAGATGTAACAATACTGCAACAGTGGTTCATGTACCACAATACCACTGAATAACAAATTTCATTTTTTTTCCAGGTGAAATTCAAGGGAAATACATTGTGTATATTATATACTATTTACAAATCTGTTTTTACAATCAATTATACCACCTCCAACTTATACTGTACAATTTCCCATAATAAAACTTATACATTTTTGTATTTCCCTCCTTCAATTAAAAAGGCAAGGCTTATCAGTCAGGCGTTACAGACTAAGGTACCAATAAAACAACAAGTTATGTCATGAACTTATGCCTTTTTCTCATCTTCTTTCCGTAATAAACAATCTAACATGCCGCTTTTAATGATCTTTTTATACCTTAGCATTAAAGAAATAGATAAAAACTCAATTTAAAAGTTATTTAAATGAATATCTTTTTCCTCATCACGACTGGCATTTATTTGAAATATTTACATATTTTTTACAAAAGTAAAAAAGGTGAGAAAAAAATTCAAAGTCGGATGTGGCGAAGTTTGTACCTAGCTTCAACATGACTTTACAACAGGTTTTATGACGACTTAACAGTTTTCGTGACTTTACAGCTTTCATGACTTTACAGCTTTCATGGCTTTACAGATTTCATGACTTTACAGCTTTCATGACTTTACAGCTTTGGTAACTTTACAGCTTTCGTGACTTCACAGCTTTCATGACTTTCCACTTTTGCCAACTTTACAGCTTTCGTGACTTTACAGCTTTGGTAACTTTAAAGCTTACATGACTTTACAGCTTTCATGACTTTACAGCTTTGGTAACTTTACAGCTTTCATGACTTTACAGCTTTCATGACTTTACAGCTTTCATGACTATACAGTTTTCAGGACTACAGCTTTTATAACTTTAAAGTTGTCATGACTTTACAGCTTTCATCTGTTACCAAATAGATCTCCCAGTGAAGCCTTTCACTTCATTTGTTGCAGCCCATTTTATAGCATTACAGAAATATATAGGGTAACTCTCTCACAGGTACCTATTTACAACTGCGAAAAATAAAATGAAGCAAGAAAGTAAGCAGCGTCCCTAAACTATGGGGTTCAAATTTGGGACCATAACAATCCAAAATTGTGTGTTCTACTCTGAAACACTGTTACCCTGAGCATAAATTGTATATTAACAAAAATCATCAAAGGTGAGCACAAAAATACATGTTCTTATGCAATCTCAATGATTGTACTCTATCTTCCAACATTCTTGCATACCATTAATGATTAGTGTAATGTACTGAGTCTATCTTATAATATAACAAAGTCTGTAACATAATTGGAACCTGTCCATAATTTCAAATAAATTGCCCATTTTATCACATCTACAACACAATCCAGCCTGTAATAGGGAGTAACAATGTACACAAACTTGTTGCCTATTACAGGATCTTGTTCAACACAAATTAGCCGTGTAATTACCATTTAATTGCCGTTAGAGCTTCATTAAATGCCTACCCTCTCTGCCAAATGCATGTTTGTTTAAGATGTGCATCCAGAACATTCTTCATGATTCAATCATTTATAATTGCATACCTGCAGCCAGTATTTTCTGATTTTCAGTTTTTCTCCCTATGTAATGCAGTGCAGATGCATTTTGCACGAGTGTCTGGCATTCAAGTGGTTGACTACACGCAGCGTTTTGAAATCAATGAATAGTTAATGGGGCTATCATGTTGCTTTCTAATACAATTCCGAGTAAATTTGGGTGTCGTAATTCCTACTTACTTATCTCCCCTTTCTACCCCTACCCCTTCCCATCAGTACCCTCTGATAATTCCTACCCTTTATGAAGTTCATGTATGCATGTATATATTAGGTATCATAACTATTGGTTATATAGATTAAACATTGAAAATCAAAACAAGCTTAAAGAATTAGTCCTTAATTAGAAAATAGCTTTTATTTGTGTTGTTTGGCACCAGTTTTTTATAAGTTTCGCATCAAAATCCCAAAAAAAGATTTGGGTAATCCTATATTGACAAAATTCCAATTTCTGCAGCTTTTAAAGAGGCTGTCTCATTTATCTTTACCAGAAAGACTTTAAAAAATTACCACATTCAAATAAAAAGGAATTATTTTGTCTTACTAATTTAATAATTTAGGTTGCATTTTTAGCAATTTGGCATGCGAGGAAAATAATCTCAGTATCAACTCCCTTTCATATTCTATAAAGTTCATAAAGGCAGATTATCATTCTTGGGGAATTATGTTATATTTATTACCTCCCTTTAATTATGATTAATACAATATTCAAGTCAAAAACTGCATGTTCTATAACTCTATAACATATTGCAATGTAATAGATTTAATTTCTTGTTTTATAGGCGACATTATAAGAACCACTTTATTAATTCCTCAAGATGAAACTTTTTTTTCAATTTGATATCAATATAAATACGGAGAATGGATTTACATCCAAAAAACAAAAAGTAATTCTAAAATTAATTATAATGATTGAAACTATAAAATATACCTGATTTATTTTATTACTTATATCTTGTATTAAAACATTTATAAAGCACAAAACTTTGGGATAGATAGCGCTAATTTGGGTTCATTAATCTTCATTACTGAGACAAACAAGCTCTTCAACAATGGAAAACAAAAAAGTTTCTCCATAGAAAATTGCGCCACTTATATCATAGAAAAATATTATTATAGCAGAAACATACAGCCAAAAAAATCTGTTTCTTGGAACCAGTCAAAACATGAATCTTTAGTAATTAGACAGAATAGATCATTCTTTATTGCTGTGAACTTTAAGGTAGTACAAGAGAAATTAAAACAACAGATTTGCCAATTTCCCCTCAACTCAATCATCAGTTCATCAGAAAATGGTGAGGTATCTTAGTGTAACTACTTGGGTGTGGAATTTATTTCTGATCCAAGCTGTCACACTTGTCTATTTCAGAAATAATAAAAAGAAAAAAACGTCTGACAAAAAATGAAGAAAAAAAGTTTCCTTTCAGAAAATGAGTTCTGTTCACAAATCTCATGCTTTTTCTGCATTGTCTAAAGATAGCAGTTAACAACCAAACTGGCTGCTGAATCTGTAATGGATTAGGCCTACTAAGAATTTGAAATATTCCATTTGAAGTTGAAAGGGTAAATCAAAATGCAAATTAAAATTATCTACCAACAGTATAATTTAGAGCCTGGTCAGACTTCATTAATATACAAGCTAGTCTTTCTTTTTTTTACAGTTTAACATTTTCCCAAAATGCAAATTTGACCAATGTAAAAAATATCTTCAAATCCATGGTTTACATCTAAATATTTTGGACTGGCCTTGCAGAAACTATATGACAAGTATTTATGATTCCAGTTAAAAAAGTAAGCAATTGATGGGTAGTAAAGAAGTAAATGCTGCTTTATTATGTAAAAGCTGATAGTACTAATTCACGTTGTTGCATAGAATTTTCTATGTTTATAATTAACAAGCATATCAAATATTTCATGAAACTTCAGCATAATTATATTTATTTCATGAAAATATCTACAACATAAAATACCATATTAAATAATTAATCATAATGATCTTAAAAACATAGAATAATTCTTGATTTTTTCATTTATTGCTGTAGTTTATTGTACTTGTTTTTTTAAATAATAAACATTGTTTACTTACATTGGTAATTAGTCTTGGATGTTTAATTTTCAGAATCCAAAATTTTCACACTTTCTGATTTTAAAATATGCCAAAATAAAATTCATTACTAAGAGTCCCCTGCTACTTTTAAAATCCAAGCATCTATCACAGCTCAATCTGTTACAAGCTTCTCTTTTACTCAGATTTTGCAGCAGACGGCGCAAAAAACAACAATCAGACTGTGTCTATGAATTTTATCTATCATCCAAGTACCCCAAAGCTAAAAAAATCCAGTGAAGGTATTTAAGTTACAATAATTTTTATTAGGTTAAACTTTTATTCTTTTATAACACATTGATCTATAGTAAAAAAAAAAAAGTAGCCTATTTACACAAAAAAAATATAAAAAAATATACGGAACGATTCTTGAAAAAAAAAATTTGCAGAAAAGAAAACACAATAATGTAAACCAGTCACGATACATAAGCTATGCTGAATATTTTATCTCCCTTACTTATCTCCCCTTTCTACCCCTACCCCTTCCCATCAGTACCCTCTGATAATTCCTACCCTTTATGAAGTACATGTATGCATGTATATATTAGGTATCTTAACTATTGGTTATATAGATTAAACATTGAAAATCAAAAAAAGCTTAAAGAATCAGTCCTTAATTAGAAAATAGCTTTTAATTGTGTTGTTTGGCACCAGTTTTTTATAAGTTTCGCATCAAAATCCCAAAAAAAGATTTGGGTAATCCTATATTGACAAAATTCCAATTTCTGCAGCTTTTAAAGAGGCTGTCTCATTTATCTTTACCAGAAAGACTTTAAAAAATTACCACATTCAAATAAAAAGGAATTATTTTGTCTTACTAATTTAATAATTTAGGTTGCATTTTTAGCAATTTGACATGCGAGGAAAATAATCTCCGTATCAACTCCCTTTCATATTCTATATAATTCATAAAGGCAGATTATCATTCTTGGGGAATTATGTTATATTTATTACCTCCCTTTAATTATGTTTAATACAATATTCAAGTCAAAAACTGCATATTCTATAACTCTATAACATATTGCAATGTAGTCTGATTAGATTTAATTTCTTGTTTTATAGGAGACATTGAACCACTTTATTAATTCCTCAAGATGAAACTTATTTTTCAATTTGATATCAATATAAATACGGAGAATGGATTTACATCCAAAAAACAAAAAGTAATTCTAAAATTAATTATAATGATTGAAACTATAAAATATACCCTGATTTATTTTATTACTTATATCTTGTATTAAAACATTTATAAAGCACGAAACTTTGGGATAGATAGCGCTAATTTGGGTTCATTAATCTTCATTACTGAGACAAACAAGCTCTTCAACAATGGAAAACAAAAAAAGTTTCTCCATAGAAAATTGCGCCACTTTTATCATAGAAAAATATTATTATAGCAGAACATATAGCCAAAAAAATCTGTTTCTTGGAACCAGTCAAAACATGAATCTAAGTAATTAGACAGAATAGATCATTCTTTATTGCTGTGAACTTTAAGGTAGTACAAGAGAAATTAAAACAACAGATTTGCCAATTTCCCCTCAACTAAATCATCAGTTCATCAGAAAATGGTGAGGTATCTCAGTGTAACTACTTGGGTGTGGAATTTGTTTCTGATCCAAGCTGTCACACTTGTCTATTTCAGAAATAATAAAAAGAAAAAAAACGTCTGACAAAAAATGAAGAAAAAAAGTTTCCATTCAGAAAAATGAGTTCTGTTCACAAATCTCATGTTTTTTCTGCATTGTCTAAAGATAGCAGTTAACAACCAAACTGGCTGCTGAATCTGTAATGGATTAGCCCTACTAAGAATTTGAAATATTCCATTTGAAGTTGAAAGGGTAAATCAAAATGCAAATTAAAATTATCTACCAACAGTATAATTTAGAGCCTGGTCAGACTTCATTAATATACAAGCTAGTCTTTCTTTTTTTACAGTTTAACATTTTCCCAAAATGCAAATTTGACCAATGTAAAAAATATCTTCAAATCCATGGTTTACATCTAAATATTTTGGACTGGCCTTGCAGAAACTATATGACAAGAACTTATGATTCAAGTTAAAAAAAGTAAGCTATGGGTAGTAAAGAAGTAAATGCAAAAGGTGATAGGGTACTTATTCACGTTGTTTCATAGAATTAATTTTTTCAAAAGTTATATGTTTATAATTAATAAGCATATCAAATATTTTATGAAACTTTAGCATATATTTATTTCATAAAATTATCTACAACTCCTTAAAATATCATATTAAATGATTTATCATAATGATCTTAAAAACATAGAATAATTCTTGAAATTTTCTTTTTCTGCTGTTACAGTAGTTAATTGTTGTTTTTTTTTTAAATAAACATTGTTTACTTACATTGGTAATTAGTCTTGATTGTTTAATTTTCAGAATCCAAAATTTTCACACTTTCTGATTTTAAAATATGCCAAAATAAAATTCATTACTAAAAGTCCCCTGCTACTTTTAAAATCCAAGCATCTATCACAGCTCAATCTGTTACAAGCTTCTCTTTTACTCAGATTTTGCAGCAGACGGCGCAAAAAACAACAATCAGACTGTGTCTATGAATTTTATCTATCATCCAAGTACCCCAAAGCTAAAAAAATCCAGTGAAGGTATTTAAGTTACAATAATTTTTATTAGGTTAAACTTTTATTCTTTTATAACACATTGATCTATAGTAAAAAAAAAAAAGTAGCCTATTTACACAAAAAAAAATATAAAAAAATATACGGAACGATTCTTGAAAAAAAAAATTTGCAGAAAAGAAAACACAATAATGTAAACCAGTCACGATACATAAGCTATGCTGAATATTTTAAGAAAATGATAATTTATCTCTTGGAAGCATGGATGAAATGTATACTGTTTCACTTAAATGATTCCTAAATGATAAAATGAGCGCCTACTAAAACATGCTACTTCAATGAATCATTTATTCATGAATCTATTCAAACTAAAACAATTAGTCCTATTTAAAAGAAAAAGGCTTGATATTGTACACCTAGCACTTACATTTTTTTTCTCAAAAAAATTCTTAACATTTATTGACTAAATTAAATGACCAATAATCTGATCAATTGATCTTATATAAATATAACCTTGATATATAACAAGTTATATATATATAACCATGCATATATAACCTTAACAAAACCTTAGATTCCATGAAATAACCTTTGAAATTTGATATAAACTCAACATTTGGTATTTAAAAATCCTGTGAAAATTTGCATTTATGTTTATAAGATTTTAAATATAGATAATTTGTAGATAAAACTGCGGTTACAAGTTCAATCCTTCTATTGTATGTCCCTAAGGCAGCCTCCTTGGAGTGTACAATTCCTGTGGTTTTCAAATTTTACCACATTTTCACTGCTTACATTATCAGGCATCCAGTCAGTACATATTGCACTTTGTTATATAACAAATGGTATATACATCATATGGCAGGTTACATTAGATCAATCAGATGATGAAAATCATGAAAATATCATAAAAAAAGAAAATTATGTGCGCCTCTGAGGTTTGTGACCACCGACTGTAATCGTTGAAGCGTAAAACCATGAAATACTAATGATAATTATTCACTTTTTCGAGCAGATGATTTTCAGCACCAGATTATCGGAGTCTGAAATACCAGACTGACGCTCCAAAATACCTAACAAAACAACAATCAGGTAAAATATTCAACAAGGTAAAAAGATAATAACTCATTCCCAAGACGTGCGCAGGATTCCATAATGTTACTCAACTTGCACTCGTAAAATATAATAGCCATATGTTAGCTCTCTTACTATCGCAAACAGTTGCAGAATACTTTCATTAAGTCACAAGAACGTTGCTTGTTTAGATTTCAGAAGACACCTAAATGATCACATTTTTTTTTGTCAATGTAAATACCAATAAAAAATACAAAAAAAAACAAAACAAAAAAAAAAACAACACGTCTATCATCATCTTAATCTACAATTCCTCACTTTTCAAAAAAAAAAAAAAGAAAGAAAAGTTTCATCCACCCAATTTACGTTTTGTATTGAGCATGATGTCAGTCTTACCAGAGCGATGTAGGTAACCTGTCATGTACATATGTCTCTGGTCTTACATAGAACTTTCAATTTTTTGCTAACTACCTAAGTAATACATTCCTGCATAATAAATTTACACAATCATCAAGATTTAAAGCCAGTGTGGTCCGATCTGACCTAATTCACCTAAATTACCGATGGCAACGACCTCATTAACATTTATAACATAACAAATAAATTAGCATTTTAGTGAAATTGTATCTTACTCCCATTAATTGAATCCACCTTACTATTATAGCACTGATTTACCATCAACATATCCAATATAAACAAGCAATTATATAGGTAATCCACCTTACTGAAATGTTTCTTTTTAATTGGTCTAAATGATGTCATAGTTGTTTATGTTTAAGCAAAAACTTCTCGGACAAAAAGGTTAATTATTTCAAATTCAATTGTGAAAGAAAGTTTGTAACTTATTTGAACATAAACAAGTGACTCTGGTCAGTTTACTTCTTGGAACTGATCAGTAACAGTGTCATATAATGTAACACGGTCATGACCCAAGTAGGGCTCAAACCAAGGATTCATGGATTAAGAGGCAGTCAATTTAACCACTTACACCCATCTCTGTCCATATCTAGACTCACAAAATGTTCATAAAATTAAATATTCATACAAATTAAATTTGTGATTTATGGGAGATACTATACAACAGCTTTAAACTGTGTATTGTCAGAACTGAAGCTCTTTTTTATCAGTATAATTTGGGTGTATTCTTCTTTTTATAAACTACAAAGATTTTCTAAATCATTTACCCCTAGCTGTGAGCAACAAATTTCAAATTCTTAAAAAAATCATGATTTTTGAGTCACCGCTATTAATGAGATTTTAATTCTACCTATTTTCTTGATCAAAGGGGAAATGTATCAAACATATGGTTACAGGCCAATTTAAGCAGCTGATTAAAGCATTGCCGTGATACATAATCATTTGTGTAATCAAAATTTTAATGTATATATCTCGAAAACTTATTTTTTATGTTCCTTTTATTCATGAATGGCAACACCAACATCGTCAAAAAGGTAAAGAGTTTTTATTTAAACACTAATCTAAGTATCATGCTTCCTGTTGAAATCTTTCTTTCTAATTTTCTTTGAAAACATTTGGTCAAAGGCTTATTAAATGACAACATATGATTATTAATTACAACTTGTGTTTCAAATTCTATTTTTTTATATTTTGTTTCTTACATGTCATTTTATAATGACATAATTATAGCATGTGGAAGGAGGCTGTTCATTTTGATATCAAAGAAAATATCTATAAAATAAAGTTCTTAAATAGTCTGGTAGCCTTTTTCAAAACTCACGTTGCAAGCTTGCATTATGTTGACAAGTTTAAACATCAGACTTTACCTCTTGTGATGTCTCCAAATTCATTAATTTTATAAAGTAAAATATCTTTGTGTTAATTAAATGGTCCTTTGGGTCAATTATGTAATGTATTAGCACTGACTGCACTTTCACCGAATTTCAACTGTTAAAGGTTTTAATGGGAGCACATTACATTATTTTTTGCCTGAAAACTTTCTGGAATAAATTATTCTTTAATTTACAGGCATTCCTCTTCCAGATTCTATCTCAATTGAGAATATTAACATTTTTCCACAGAATAATGACAATTTTAATATAAGATGAATTTTGGGATAAAATTCCTTTTTGAAAAAGCAGCATGGAACCAGTCAAAATTACTATTGTAATAATCATTAATAATGTTAACATTGATATTTATGTGACCAGTTTAGGGGAAAGACGCCACTTGGCTACACAAAGCTATTTATTATTATTATTTATCATTGTGCAATTTCTAGATGAGAACAGGAAAACCTATGAAATCTGCCATTAAGAATTATTTAAGATATTTCCTTTGTTAAATTCAAACCAATTTTAATAATAATGTTCATACATTTTACTGAAATGAGAGCTATTTGTACATTATTAATATTATTGACATTATTAACAAAGGGGCATAACTCTGTAAAAAGGTTACTTAAGTTATGGGATCTGTGCCAATCCTGTTCGAACAAGTCTTAGAATATGTTCAACCCATTCCCTTCAATAGTTTTGGAGATTCCAACTTGCATGCAGAAACTTAACCAAAGTGAGACCAAGTGGCAATGGCATTGACACAGACGCATAAGTTGAGTACTTCAAACAGTCCAGCTAAAATTTTTCTTTCCTCTCATATTTCATTTTCATATTTCTACACAATTTTTGATACAATTATTTGATCTGAATGCAATGAAATTACACCGACTTTCCATCAGACAATCTGATCAACAAGCCTATAAATCTGTCCTAATTAAGTTGTCAATTGCTGACAATTACAATCTAGTATCATCTGACAATATAATCTTATAATAAACTGACAATATATGCCAATTATTTAAACAACTGTAACAACATTAGACAAAATCTAAAATTATTAAATTTTATTATCCCCTCAGAAGTCTCAGTGATCAATTTATTACTGTTAACCTGCATGAACCGAAAGTGGTTAACCCTTGCAGTGATCAACTTAACAGTTAACCTGCTGGAACCAAAAGTGGTTAACCCTTGCAGTGATCAAATATAACAGTTAACCTGCTGGAACCAAAAGTGGTTAACCCTTGCAGTGATCAATTTAACAGTTAACCTGCTGGAACCAAAAGTGGTTAACCCTTGCAGTGATCAATTTAACAGTTAACCTGCTGGAACCAAAAGTGGTTAACCCTTGCAGTGATCAATTTAACTGTTAACCTGCTGGAACCGAAAGTGGTTAACCCTTGCAGTGATCAATTTAACAGTTAACCTGCTGGAACCAAAAGTGGTTAACCCTTGCAGTGATCAATTTAACAGTTAACCTGCTGGAACCAAAAGTGGTTAACCCTTGCAGTGATCAAATGTAACAGTTAACCTGCTGGAACCAAAAGTGGTTAACCCTTGCAGTGATCAAGTTAACAGTTAACCTGCTGGAACCAAAAGTGGTTAACCCTTGCAGTGATCAATTTAACAGTTAACCTGCTGGAACCAAAAGTGGTTAACCCTTGCAGTGATCAATTTAACTGTTAACCTGCTGGAACCGAAAGTGGTTAACCCTTGCAGTGATCAATTTAACAGTTATATTACACTCTAGATTTTAGGGTAATTTTATTTACCATTACAACTAGTGTAATATCTATATATTTTATTTTGGTAATTTGAATATTACTATTTTTCTTAAATTCTTTTGCGTTAAATATTTTTCAGTTTTATAATTTCCATTTCATCAATTGTAAAAATATTTGGTACTTAATTTTTCAAACTTGCCAAATTTACTTTACTATAAAAACTTAGTAAAAGAAGCCATCAAGTTAGCTTGGGTTATTATTGTCTAAAAATGTATGTGCTGGCTTAAATTCTATAAGTGTTAAAACAGCCAAATCCTTAACAATGTAGTTTTATCAGCTCTTACCAGAATGACATATCTTAGTAAGCAGTGTCAATCCCTTAAGCAAAATACCAGACCCTTAATTGATTATAACACAAAGATAGGCATGAAACCCTAGTTCCTGTGTTTGCACTGCAATAATCCTTCCTGGGAAAAGAAAGCTGATTTTTATACCAAAAGACAGATCTGAAGTCATTCTTACTTTGGACTTCAGACATTAAACGTGAACAACTGTTTAAAACTGTCTTTTTCATCTTTTCCAGGTATGTGATATTTTTGTATTTTCTAATGTACAATTTAGAATAATTAAACTAAATACTTAATTTTCTAAATATTTGTACTTTGCTTATAAAATCATTATGTAGTTTTTATCATCTGAATTTTTGCAACTGTGTTATATTTTAATTTCTACTTTTGAAATTATTATGTTGTATTAGTATGCATTCTCAAATGTTTTCATATTTAATGAAAATGGCAAAGGATCATAAATGAAACCATCGCTTACCATAATATTGAACTATTTAATAATTACATGAATTTCTGGCAGTTTGTAAATTCTGTCTTTATTACCTTTTATCTATGAAAAGAGATTTAATAACAAAAGTTAAAAAACTTTGTGTAAATATGTTTTCTTGTTAAATATGTTAAGTTGATTTTTCTATAATTGAAGATTTAAATATTAAGTGAATTATTACAACAATATTGTAAAGATCACTGTTTCATTTTTTTACAACGTAACAAAAGGACAATAACATTAATAAACACTTGTATATAAGTTTGCAATTTGCAATTTATACTAGTATATAAAGTTGTTTAGTTTAAGTAATGACATTGTACCTTTCACTAGCTAATGCGAGTTATTATATTTTATTAAATGAAAACTTATTATTTTCCCCATTATAATTAAATATACATTTATTGCAGTCTGCAAATATAAGTACATATGTTGTGATATGTTTTTATTATGTTAAAAACTATTATGTATTTCAAATTGTATTTTATATTTGTAACTGTATATGAAATTCTTACTTTGGACTTCAGACATTAAACGTGAACAACTGTTTAAAACTGTCTTTTTCATCTTTTCCAGAACGCTAGCCTAAAGGCCTCGCATCTTAAACCCTAAATTAAACCTATTGTCAAACCCGTCTCTGGAGCTAAGTCACCCCGTAAAACCCGAGCGTAAAAACTGGTGGAGTACACAGAGGTTAGAACTCGAGTTAAATGTCAAACCCGATAAATTGTTATTATCTTCGCTCAAGGGATTTGCCAACCGAGGATAGTGCATCAGAGCCAGAGGCTGATCCAGTATCAGAAGACTCGTTAGGGCTCAGCGACCTCGAGGTAGATCTGATAACCACGGAGGAAGTGATTATGGCTATGCCACAAATATCTATTTCACCATTCCACGGCAATCCAGGAGAAAGGGCTGACGAATGGCTGGTATGGTTCAACAATTTTGCTGATGTACATGGTCACAATGCAGACAAACGATGTAAGATGTTACCATTTTATTTAAGGGACCATGCAGTTGCTTGGTTTAGCTCATTACCAGCAGATACCAAAGGCAATTACGAATCGCTAACAGCCGCCTTAAAAGACAGGTTCAATGGCAGTGATGGGCTGGACACAAATATGGCGTTGTTATCTTTGCAGCAGCAACATGGGGAAAGTTGTGCCCATTATTTTACAAGGATTTTAAAAGTAACCAATGGACAGAGCTATTCCGAAGATCTTCTGTGCAGTGTTGCTATTAAAGGACTTAGTGGGCAAGTTAAGGCTATTGTTATGCCACAGAATGTAAAAACTCTTGAGGAGCTACGTAAGGCAGCCACCTTGGCAGAAAGAACCATCGCAGCTACCTCAGGGTCAATCAATGCAGCCTCCAACTTCCCAAATATAGTCGGTCAACAATTAGAGAAGATTAGTCAACGTCTAGAGGCAATAGAGCTACGGGGTCAAGAGAGTGAGATGCCCAAGCCAACATGGAGCCGAACCAGAGGTCTTAGAGACAGGCAGCGTCAAAATGATGACAAGATAGGATGTAGAAGATGTGAAGGTAAGTTTTCTCATTCTTTGCAAGATTGTCCTGCATTCGGTAAAATATGCTTATTTTGTAATGGAAGGAATCATTTTTCCGAAACTTGCTATAAGCGTAAGAATGAAGATAAACTTAAAAATCAACAATAGGGACTCGCGTCCGTTCGTAAATGCAATGCTTTTGCGAATGGACACCATATAGGCAAGAAGTCATGTCAAGGCTTAAATCAAAATAATAGTGCTAAATTATCAAAAAAAGAAGAAACTCAAAATAATTCCAAAACAAGTGCTAAAAGTCAGAATAGTGGTCAAAGGTCAGAATCAAAAAGGTTAAATTTAAAACAAAAAGATGAGGAAGTTATTGTTGCTACCTCTTTGGACCGAAATACTGTCTTGGTCGAAATTAGCAATAAGAAAATTAGAGCTTTGGTAGATTCGGGAGCTAGCGTGAGCTGTATTGAAAAATCACAGATAGAAAAATTTGGTAAAAGTGATGACTTTGTTATCAAACCATCAAGACTCTCACGTATTATTGGGGTTGGGGGTGAACACCATTATGTATGTGGTGAAATCACCCTGCCATTAAGATTTTCTGGCTGTGAATTTAAACAAAATTTCATTGTACTAGAGCAGTTGCACCATCCTGTCATTATAGGCTTAGATTTTATGAAGGATTACAGGGTGAAAATTGATTTTCACAAACAATTAATGACAATAATGGATGAAACTATTTGCGTAGCTTTGGTTCGTGACAGTAAATTTGGCTACGTTAGAAGTCTTAAACCTGTATCTGTACCACCTGAAACTGAAATTAGCATTCCAGTAAGGGTTTCAAAGGAATTTAAAAATAATACAGTGCTATTAGAGCCTTCAGCAAATTTAGGGTCCACAAAACTTGTAGGTGCTAGGTGTCTTGTGACTACTAAGGATAGCAAAACCATAATGAGAGTGCTAAATCCCACTAAAGTAGATATTAAGTTAAACACTAATAGAGTACTTGCAAATGTTTGTATTGTTGATGAGAATGAGATTCATACATTTAAAGAGTCTGATGAAGAATCAGTTTCAAATGTTAATATCAAAGCTGACTCAACTCTGAAAAATCAAATGTCTGATCTGGATTTTGATGTTAGTAATGATAATTTAACACCTGCTGAACAAAAGCAGCTTTTAAACTTTTTACACCAAAATCATGATGTATTTTCTACTTCTATGAGCACTATTGGGCATACAAATTTATATTCCCATAAGATAGAAACTATACCTGGAGCAAAACCAGTTAGGTCACCATTTTACCGCCAAGATCCAATTAAAAAGAAAGTAACTGAAGATTTAGTAAATGAACTGTCTGAAAATGGGTTAGTGAAAAGATCAACAAGTTGTTGGCACTCACCGGTGGTCTTGGTTAAGAAGAAGGATAATACATGGCGCTTTGCCGTGGATTATAGAAAACTAAATCAAATCACTGAACCAATCTTTCAACCTCTCCCTAGGCTAGAAGATGTTTTTGATGCTTTAGGTGAAAGTAAAGCTAAGGTATTTTCAACACTTGATTTAAACTCGGCATTTTATCAAATTGAGCTTGACCCTGAAACCCGTCATAAGGCAGCATTTGTTACGCATGAGGGGGTTTTCGAGTTCCAAAGGATGCCATTCGGCCTCCGAAATGCCGCCATGAGTTTTCAGTTGTTAATGTCATTAGTATTAAAGGGCTTAAATTGGAAACACGTCCTTTGTTATATTGATGACATCTTGATTTTCAGTCCAGATTTTAAAACCCACCTTAAACATCTTGATGAAGTCTTTCAAAGGTTAAGGGAGGCTAAACTTACTTTAAAACCATCAAAATGTAAATTTGGGGTTGAAAAGGTTATGTTTCTAGGTCACATTCTTTCTGAAAATGGTATTAGTGTGGATCCCGAAAAGACCGAGAAAATACAAAATTTTCCAGTACCTAATACACAAAAAGAGCTTAGGGGTTTTCTAGGACTATGTAACTACTATCGTAGATTTGTTTTGAATTATTCAAAAATTTGCATTCCTTTACACAAATTGTTGAAAAAAGAAGTCAAGCGAAAGTTTTCACATGGGGACTGGACTGATGAATGTCAAGCAGCTTTCGAAAAACTTAAAATTGCCCTTACCAGTCCACCTATTTTAAGATTTCCTGACATGAACAAAGATTTCATTTTAACAACTGATGCAAGTGGTCATGCGTTAGGTTATATTCTAGGACAACTTGATGAAAATGGTCATGAATATGTGGTTTCTTATGGAGGTAGAGCTATTCGTCCGGATGAGAAAAATTGGCCCATTACAGAACTTGAATGTCTTGCCATAAAATGCGGTATTGAAACATTTAAACATTATTTAACTCACCGACCATTTACCGTATATACTGATCATAAAGCCCTAGAATGGTTAAAGAAACAAAAAGATACTACTGGCAGAATTGGTAGATGGGTCACAAAATTGCAAACATTTGATTTTGAAATTAAATATAAAAAGGGTACAAAGAACCAAAATGCTGATGCTTTATCAAGGATACAGTACGAAAAGCTTTCTTCCAGCAGTCATGATGTTAAGCCAAAAACATTGTCAGGGAGTTCTCATGGCGCTGTAGAAAAATCTAGTCCCATGAGTAACACTCCGGCTTTGGGGCATAAAACATCAGAGACTGTATCAATATGTGTTGCCTCTAATTCTGACAGTGTTGTGAAAAATACTAATACTGCAGAAAAGGAGTCTTACATTAAGAACAAGGAAACAAATGGAACTATTGATGATGCTGAATCTGACAAAGTGGCAGAGGATGAACATTCTTTCCAATCAAGGCCATTTAATATTACAAATTCTGATAATGTTAGGTTTCAGGAGTCAAACGAAGCTCGGGGATCTTTGGTACTCAGTGAAGTAACATTTGAGTATCAAGACCCACCGACAGTTTGTGTTACAGATAATCCTGAAACTAAAACCATGTTAGAGTTACAGCAGGAGTGTCCCGACTTTAAAGATATTTTGGCTTTCCTTGATAAAAATGTTCTACCAAATGACCCAGATAAGCATGATGTCATCACTGTAGTTGCAAACAACCAATATGCAGTGATGGATGGGTTACTATATCACATTCATACAGCAAGAACTAAATCAGGTAAAAATAAACAGGAAATTGACCCAAATAAAATGATTTTACAATTGGCTCTTCCCAAGGTTAAAAGAAAAGAAGTTCTTGAAGCTTATCATGACTCTATGGCTGGTGGAGGCCATTTCGCATTAAAGAAAACTTATGAGGCAATTAAGCAAAAATACTTTTGGCCTAAAATGCTCCAAGACATATCAGAATATATAAAAACATGCGATATTTGCCAAAGATCAAAAGTTCCCCGAAATAGAAAAGATCCCCCTCTAAATCCTTTGCCAATAGAAAAACGCTTCTCAAGAGTCCATATAGATATCCTTGGGCCATTGCCTAAAACTAAGGAAGGTTACCAATATGTCCTTTTAATTGTGGACTCATTTACAAAATGGACTGAAGCTCATCCATTAAGGACCCAAGAAGCAAAGGAAACTGCCCATGTCTTATATCATGAAGTATTTACGAGATATGGAGCCCCACGAACAATTGTCTCTGATCGCGGGAAAAACTTTATGTCTAAACTGGTTCAAGCACTTTGTGAGATGTTCGAAGTAAAACAACATCACACATCCAGCTATCACCCCCAGACTAATGCCGCGGTTGAAAGGGCAAATAGCACACTAGCTCAAACATTAAGAGCTTATATATCAAAGGACCAAACAAATTGGCCTTCCCTTCTGTCTAGTGTTATGATGGCTTTTAGGGCAACCCCATGTACTGAGACCCATGGCTATAGTCCTTATGAGTTACTATTTGGGGAAGTAATGCATCTACCAATAGATACTTCACTTCTACCTAAACCATCATTAGCACAAGATGCTAAGCAATTTCTCGCAAGCCTTATTGAAAAATTAAAAATTTGTCAAGAAATAGCAGCGAAAAACATGCAAACAGCACAAACAAAGGCAAAATCTCGCCATGATTTAAAAGCAAAAGTGCCAGAATTTAAAGTAGGGGACTCTGTTTTATTAAAACAAGAAAAAGTACCTAAAGGACTTACCCCAAAACTTTATGCTAAATGGAAAGGCCCTTACCAAATTACTGATTTAGGTCCAAACTTTACTTACACCCTTAAAAACATTGAATTAAATAAAGTTATTAAGGGAAATGTTAATGCAAGTAGACTTAAACTTTATCATGTAAGGCAGCAAAGCTCTAATGATAACCAACAAAGTCAACAGGTAGACTTGTCACAGCAAACACCTGTGCAGCAGCAAAATCCTGAACAAAATGTTAACCCTCAGATGGAAAATCCCCAAAATGAGGATGAAGACACTATTAAACATGATGCGATGTCAGATGATATACGTATTATTCATGCATGTAGAAAAGGTGCAAAACAATGGTATAGGGTACTATGGCCCGATGACACCAAGAAGTGGATACATGAACCATTTGTTAATCGCCGAAAAATATATGAATATCTGAAAACATACACCAAACAAGGGCGTAAAAGAAAGAAAAACTTGAAATGTTTCACTCGTTCTGATGATTAAGGTTGATACATTGTTCTAGGGCAAGTTGTAGTTGTCACGAATCCAAATTGGCCAATGCTTTCTTTCACTTCTTTTAATCTATCTATATATAGAATCCTTGTAGTGAATCCTACAACATATCTCCATGTTGTCACATAGTGCTATTCCTCTTTCCTGATTCACTACCAGCATTTTATCGAACTTCTACTTACTTTCAGGATTCGTTGATGGCAAAACTCTCCTTGGCATAATTTTTCTTGTTAATCTGATGGGGTCGTGTGGAGGATCAGAGATGTTACAAAGATTGAACTATGGTGTTGTTTTCAAACAATCTGATAAAGTGATCATTGCCCAAGATTTCTGGTTTCATACTTTTGAATTGGATATACCAAACCCAATAATGGTGCCTATGTTAGCAACCTGTACTAAAACTAACATTACTTGTGCAATGCTCACGCATATTATTACACAGTTAAACACAATACGCGCAGAAACTAATAGCCGTTTCAATGCAACCATACAATTGATTGAAGAGCTAGTGCCTGAAACTAAGGTTCATAAGTCAAGAAGTCGTAGGAGTCTGCTTCCCTTCATAGGCAAGTTGTCAAAAGGAATCTTCGGAACAGCTACGATGGATGATGTGAACATTTTAGCTCAACATATGAATAAACTTAACAAAGTGTCAGTTGGTCTAGCTAAGACATTGGCTCAACATGAAGACCATCTTAGCTCATACATATCTACAGCTAACAAGCGTATGGATAACCTGATGAATGGAATAACTGATAATATGCTGGCAATTAAATATGTTCAGTCAGAAATACATTCAACTGCAGTCAATATTGAACATACGTTTGACTACATTATCAGTATTTTAGTAGACCAAATTGACACCTCTGCAAACCTAAATCATGAACTTGATCAGCTTAGGTTAGGTATATCAAGTTTATTAAATGGTAAACTATCACCACTATTAATTTCTGCTGAAGAAATAACTAGTATGTTACAGGATATTCAAACCATTTTGGAAGCTAAATTTAATGGATTCTACCTATCATACAAATCTGCAAGTGATGTATATTCTGATTGCAAATATATGTTTGCAAGAAATGGTTCAAAAATTTACATTACTTTGAAACTGCCTATTTCCAGTTTTCAAGAACCCCTTATATTGTACAAAATTTTGTCTGTACCCGTCCCTATTAATTCCACATCCAAGCATGCAACTCAACTGTTAGATTTACCTGATAGTATGTTAGTAACTTATAATAAACAGTATTATGCTGCAGTAACCAAATCTGATGTAATGACATGCTCAGGAAAAACAATTAAACTCTGCAGATCTAATTTTGCTTTAAGGCCAATTACTGACACATCTTGTATATTAGCACTATTTGCTAATGATAAAGCATTAGTAAAAACATTGTGCAATTTTAGATTTGTCCAAAATGTGATCAAACCAAAAATAGTAGAACTAGCCTATAATTCGATCATACTGTATAGGACACCATTTTTGTCTTTACAATGTTTAAGGGACCATAGAATGGTTGCCGGGTGTGATTTTTGTGTATTCACCGTTCCTTGTAGATGTTCGGTTTCAACTCATTATCATTTTCTACCCTCTAGACTCGGGTCATGTCATAAACATGTTGATAATGTAACAATATTGCATCCTGTAAACCTAGCACTACTTCAACATTTTTTTGATACCTCATTTGTGGACCATATTTTTGCTGATACTATTTTTAAATATCCTATGAACGTGTCTATTCCACAGTTAAAAATTTATCAACACAAAATGTCTAATGTCATTGTGGATGATTCTAAAGCTCATTTAAGCTTGTCAAAAATGGCAGAAGTAGCTAAGAAAGATGCTACTATATTTCAGTCTCTTACAGAACCTTTATTAGATAACCAAATACAGCTTCAATCTAATTGGCCTGATATAGATAGTATTCTGTTAATATGTACTATGAGTGTGACTGCTATTTTATCAGTACTTTTACTTTGGACATTCTGTAAAGTCCGTAAACTCAGTGCAGCATTAATGTTCGTACAAAATGTAAATAAATGTAAAGCTATTCCAAATAATATGCCATCATTTATATATACAACAGAATCAAGCATGTCTCAAGAAAACAAAAATTTAATGTCTATTGATTTAACCTGGGACCACATCAATTTTGTTCTGTCAAGCACTTTAATCTTGCTTATCATTTATGTATTGTGGAAACATTTCCAAGCTAAACAAACTCCAAAAATTTGTCTAGAAATTACTAATGGAACAAAATGCATTTTACTTGACATTATTTCATTGCCTATGTGTCCCACGCATTATGATATCAATGTCCCTGATGCTATCACAAATTTACAAATAATTGGACATTGGTATTCTCCAAAGTTGTCACTTGCATGGCCAAATTTTTACATGCAAAATAAACTATCAGGACAAATTATAAATGTACAGTCTGAATTATCAATTAGTATGCTACAGGCTTACACAGCAAAGTCTATCTTGAATAAACCCTTCTTCGTATACTTATATCAGTTTCACCATGGAATAATGATTCCTATTAGGCATAATGTATAAAAAGGGACAATCAAGCAGACTGAGAAAACTTATCAAAGTACTAAAATCAGTACTGTATATATCAAATATATTATTGTATTCATATTGCTATGTTTGTAATATAACTTTGTTCATTACAAATAATTGTTGACTTGTAAAACGTGTGTATATTATTGTATATATGTTTCTTTTGGTGTTGGTACTTGTTATATGTTGATAATTTTTCAAACTTTGGGGACCAAAGTCTTCAAAGCAGGAGGGAACTATTACACTCTAGATTTTAGGGTAATTTTATTTACCATTACAACTAGTGTAATATCTATATATTTTATTTTGATAATTTGAATATTACTATTTTTCTTAAATTCTTTTGCTTTAAATATTTTTCAGTTTTATAATTTCCATTTTATTAATTGTAAGAATATTTGGTACTTAATTTTTCAAACTTGCCAAATTTACTTTACTATAAAAACTTAGTAAAAGAAGCCATCAATTCAGCTTGGGTTATTATTGTCTAAAAATGTATGTGCTGGCTTAAATTCTATAAGTGTTAAAACAGCCAAATCCTTAACAATGTAGTTTTATCAGCTCTTACCAGAATGGCATATCTTAGTAAGCAGTGTCAATCCCTTAAGCAAAATACCAGACCCTTAATTGATTATAACACAAAGATAGGTATGAAACCCTAGTTCCTGTGTTTGCACTACAATAATCCTTCCTGGGAAAAGAAAGCTGATTTTTATGCCAAAAGACAGATCTGAAGTCATTCTTACTTTGGACTTCAGACATTAAACGTGAACAACTGTTTAAAACTGTCTTTTTCATCTTTTCCAGGTATGTGATATTTTTGTATTTTCTAATGTACAATTTAGAATAATTAAACTAAATATGATACTTTATTTTCTAAATATTTGTACTTTGTTTATAAAATCATTATGAAATTTTTATCATCTGAATTTTTGCAACTGTGTTATATTTTAATTTCTACTTTTGAAATTATTATGTTGTATTAGTATGCATTCTCAAATGTTTTCATATTTAATGAAAATGGCAAAGGATCATAAATGAAACCATCGCTTACCATAATTTTAAACTATCTAATAATTACATGAATTTCTGGCAGTTTGTAAATTCTGTCTTTATTACCTTTTATCTATGAAAAGAGACTTAGTAACAAAAGTTGAAAAACTTTGTGTAAATATGTTTTCTTGTTAAATATGTTAAGTTGATTTTTCTATAATTGAAGATTTTAATATTAAGTGAATAATTACAACAATATTGTAAAGATCCCTGTTTCATTTTTTTTACAATATAACAAAGGACAATAACATTAATAAACACTTGTATATAAGTTTGCAATTTGCAATTTATACTAGTATATAAAGTTGTTTAGTTTAAGTAATGACATTGTACCTTTCACTAGCTAATGCGAGTTATTATATTTTATTAAATGAAAACTTATTATTTCCCCCATTATAATTAAAATACCTTTATTGCAGTCTGCAAATATCAGTACATATGTTGTGATATGCTTTTATTATGTTAAAAACTATTATGTATTTCAAATTGTATTTTATATTTGTAACTGTATATACACATTCTTACTTTGGACTTCAGACATTAAACGTGAACAACTGTTTAAAACTGTCTTTTTCATCTTTTCCAGAACGCTAGCCTAAAGGCCTCGCATCTTAAACCCTAAATTAAACCTATTGTCAAACCCGTCTCTGGAGCTAAGTCACCCCGTAAAACCCGAGCGTAAAACATTTCCTACAAACAGTTTATCCATCCAAAATCATACTGCTGTGAAATTCTGTATGATTTGCTTTTCTGGTATAATGATTTTTTTCTGTGTTTCCATGCAATATTGTTTAAGCTGTTTTTGAGCAAATTTTCATCTGCGATGAGTCTCATCCACGAGGTTCCATGGGTTTTGCAAAATCCTTAAAAACTTTAATTGACTGAAACTAGTGAAAGACAGAAAGCTGTCCCTCTAGATAGCCTTTGCTGTTTACCATGCATGTTAAATTGAATTGAAAATGAAAATTTTATATAAAATGTGTGGGTAAATTCCATTAATTGGATTTCAGATTTTCTCCCTTTCCTAATTCATAGTGCTACATCGTAACATGTATATTTTTCCCTTCAGAGAGCCACAGGTTGTTTTGAAGAGAAAAAAATTGCTCTCAACATGGAAATCTTGTACATTTAAGGAATTTATACATTTTTTTCCTATCTGTATCACCTGTCTTTTATATATCTTACCAGAAAACATTGAGTTAAGATTGATACTGTAATGTTCATGTCAATATTCAATTAAGCAGAGATATTGATTATAAAATAATGCGATTTTAATTTCCTGTGTTCAGCAAAGAAAATTGTTTGTTAAATGTTTTTCCATGGAAATTTCAGGTGCAACCGTTTGATTGATAGGTTGTTATTGTAATTGTATATCATGATTTTTTTTTTCCGTATTGACAAACAAAATCGTTTGCAGATGATTTGGAATGGGGACAAATTGAAGAGATAAAATTGATGATATCATTTTACATCTTAGAAATGTGCATTTCAATCATAGAAGGGGTGGGTAATGGGTGTGAGAAAAGTAACGGAGGATGTTGAAGAAGAAATGGAGGGTAACTTGAGAAATTTTTAAATTAAAGGCTTATTTCTTTTCTTTTTGGTGCCAGACAAAATTAATTGTTTTGTTTTGTTTAGTTTCGTTAAGTTTCTTTTTGTTAAGTTTTATTCCACACCAACATAACAGGACTGGTCATGTTGCCACTTTCCAGCATGGAAGACCTCAGTTGCCCCTCGGTACATATTTCAGGCATGAGTGGGCACCTCAATAGAACCATTGGCCTATGAAAGGAGCAAAAGTTCCTGATGGGATTTGAACCCACAGCGATGAAGACTTAGTGACTTGCATGGCATTCATTGTTGACAGAGGTCAACGTGATTGAAAGTTTTTAAATCAGATTTTTAATCAAATTTAAATTTGTATAAATTAAAGCACCTGTTCTAATTGTTCACAATAACTAACCAATTATTACAATATACTTCAGCAAATCAAGTTTACTTATAACTTCAGTCTCAAGGTAATTATTCAAATCCTACAGTCAAACTAGGAATAAAATCATTCAATTTGTAAAAAAAAATTAGTTTCAGAATGGTAATAAGATATAAGAATTTTCTTATTTTCTAAAAGTCATATAATTGCCAAGGTTTGACTGTATATCAACACATGTTTACATCTTGCATTCACACACAAAATAAAAAGAGCAAATGTTGTTTAGCAACTTTTTTATAGATTCACTCTAAACTTGGTATGGAGCACCTTGGCGTTGATTTGTTTAATTTTGTGAACTGGGTTTCTTTTGTACAGTAGTATCAGAATTCAGAGCTGTTTTTTCACAGGTAGAGGAAGGAGCCCTTTCCTTAAATGATTTTGACAATCAGTATTTTTAACATCATCATCAGCAGCATCATCATCATCATCATCATCATCATCATCATCATCATCATCATCATCATCATCATCATCATCATCATCATCATCATCATTATTATTATTAAATTTCTGTTATTATTGTTCTTTTATACTTTATACCCATAAGTTTTAATTTATGAATGAAAAATTTGTTTAGTCATGTTGAGTGCGGGCAGCTTTAAAATTGTTTTTCCATTTTGTACTGAATGAAAAAAACAACCTACAACACAAACCTTTTGTGAATGGACAAATAAATTAAAGTTTTTCACCAGATTATAGATCAAATCTGCTTTATAGATTTTCTTTTCTAGTTAAGTTTTAATTGAATAAGTAAAGTGAATAAATTACTAAGTTGAACTAAGAGGGGATCTACCAAATAAATCCTAATAATCCACTTTTCCCGTCCTCCTTAAAAAAGGCTATGCTTTTGTACTAAGGTCTTCTTACTGCAATAATTAACTAAAACTTGTTAAGTGCAAAGCTGTTTGCCATGGACAAATATACTTCAGGTGGTAAAACAGTGCTGTTTTCTTTCTATGTTACCACATTTATATTTTTTCACAATTAAAGGGACTCCACTGAGGGTGTTTTGACATGACGGGACTGGAAATACTTTTCGAGATTTGTGTACTATTTGATGTAGATCTGGACCAATAACTTGTGTGCAAATTTTCAAAATCATTCTCTCACCTCGTTTTTCCATAATTGCTATTTTCATTGTGCGAAATGACACAAAAATCAAATCTGGTTAAGAATCACACAAAAAATCGGTATTTGATTTATTTTCGAGTATATTTTCTTTTTAATCCTTTGCAGATTTTTCTTTTTTTAAGTGCTGAACTTGATCTATGTAAGAATTTCAAATTTTATATTTTAGGCTTTTTTACCTCAGTGGAGCTCCTTTAAATGTAAACTTATTTCTCATCTCTAACTTTTCCCTGTACTCAATGCCAGCCTTATCAAAGTGAGGTTTTTGGGGTTTTTTTGAAAAATTTTATGTTAATTAATGAATTGATGTTAAAATCTACTCAATTCAACATCAAAATGCTTAACCCTAGCCTTCCTTGAACTGAAACTGATCAGCAATGCCATCAGTATATAGCCAGACAAGCCAGACAATTGGCTGACCAATTTAAGACAGGTCAGAAAATGGAAACTGGACTGTTGAAGACCCTTTAAGAAATTCAGAAGGTTAAATTTAGTCAGCCATTGTAACTGTGTGTTGTAGGCACTCTCTGATTCGTTTCTTTAAACCAAATAATTATCTGATAATTACCATTATGAGTAAATAAATTTAATTTGAACTGCGGGAAATTTATTGCTTGTGTCACTTAAATGAAGATATATAGGTGGGATATTTAAAAAGCATTGCAACATAAAAGGCGTTTAAAATTTATGTCGATAACAAAGAGAACGCTCTTGTGTTTGATAAATCTGTCTGCCATTCAAACAAATGGAGGTTAGGTATTTAAGATTAAAGTGTGAATTAGATTTTACTATTCGTTACATAGCAGTTGTTAACAGGGTATAGAATTTTTTTTTCTCTGGAGTTGTTACGTTTTAAAGTACTCATAAAAATATTTTGTGTTATGTAAACACTTCTGCAATGTCATCTTTTATTTAAGAAAAAGATCTGAAGTGGAAAAGAATGTTATAGCTTGAAGTTCTCATATCTGCCCTTATGATATAAAACTAGGGTGAATTGTTTGATTAACTCTCTTTAAATAAGATTTACTGTTAATGTTATTTTTTTGCTGCTCTTTTTTGACAAAGTAGGGTAATGCAATTTAACCTTTAAAGGGACTCCACTGAGGTTTTTTGGCATAACATGACTCCAAGATTTGTATACCAATTTTTTGACACTTGAAGCTACAGTCTCACTAACATCCCAGCAGAGCCCCAGTAGACGTCCTGGGTGATCAGGGAACAACCAGAGTACATCTGTAACTGCCGGCAACGTCCGGGATGATCCAGAAACATCCAGCATTCAATCCAGATGGAATAAAATATTTAATATCACCGGGGTGGTTCGGTATGATCCAAGAAGTATAGCTTTGCTGGCTTCATCCTAAGCTTTGCCAGGAATGACTGGGGATACACCGGGGAAGCACTGTAGCTCTGCGGGCACAAACCAGGGATAATCCGGGGCATGATATAGCCAGTAGAGCTATGGTAGAGCCCCGTTGAATGCTGGCAGAGCCCAGGTCAAGGCCGGCAGAGCCCCGGTGAATGCTGGCAGAGCCCCGGAGGATGCCGGCAGAGCCCCGGAAGATGACGATGGAGCTATGGTTGATCCCAGTAGAGCCCCGGCAAAGCCCGGTTCATTTTAAAAGAATCACGACAATTTGCAATGATTTCACTTGTTTGTATTAAAACCCCTACCATTTCCGTTTTATCTAGTCTTGCATCAGGATTTTTCAGAAAATCATCATGAATTTCTGTTCTGGAACAATACATAATTATAATATTAAATAAAAAGCTTCACATGGGCTCTGCCTGGATGGTCCTGGGTGATGAGTTGGGAATTACTGTAGTGCTTCCGTGATATTAGTGTGACCGCAACAATAATTTCCCCCGGAACATCCCAGTAACTTACCAGGGTGGTCCTGGGCTCTGAGATCATTTCATCTCCCCATTTTTAGCTCGACTATTCGATAAGAATAAGTAGAGCTATTGTAGTCACCCGAGCGTCGGCGTCAGTGTCGGCGTCTGGGTCGGCGTAACCACTTATGTTAAAGTTTTTGTAATAGTTCAAATATTTTCAAAGTCCATTGACATATGGCTTTGAAACTTTGCACACTTGTTCACCATCATTACCCCAACCTGTATACAGGAGGAGGTAACTGTATCAAGCATTTTGACAGAATTATGCCCCTTTTTCGACTTAGAATTTACATTAAAGTTTTTGTAATAGTTCAAATATTTTCAAAGTCCATTGACATATGGCTTTGAAACTTTGCACACTTGTTCACCATCATTACCCCAACCTGTAAACAGGAGGAGGTAACTGTATCAAGCATTTTGACAGAATTATGCCCCTTTTTCGACTTAGAATTTACATTAAAGTTTTTGTAATAGTTCAAATATTTTCAAAGTCCATTGACATATGGCTTTGAAACTTTGCACACTTGTTCACAATCATTACCCCAACCTGTAAACTGGAGGAGGTAATTGTATCAAGCATTTTTTTTTACTATCAAGCACTAAGATTAGTCGAGCGTTGCTGTCCTACCGACAGCTCTTGTTCAAGAATCATAACATAACCGAAATATGAAAAGCATTGCAATGCAATCACTGTAGGTTGTGTGAGCTTTACTGTATTCCTTAAGGCTATCGCCCTGGTTTTTATTGTGATAAGGCCTATCAATGGATTTCGTGAGCATTGGGTTTTAATGCAGTAGGAACTCTCTAAAATGGCTATCACTGTGTTTTGTATGTTCTCACAGTTTTCCTTGAGGTTATCTGAATGTGGTCTGCACTGTTTGCTATTCGGACAGTACAATGAGTGCACATGTTCGTACTTTGGAAATTTTCCGGATAAATGGAAAATGGTTTTGTTCAGACTGAAAAATGGACAGCTCGATTTAATATATTTAGCATGCTAAGACTTAGTGTTAATATGTAAGTACATAAATTTGCATTACAACTTCTCCTTTTTCAACCATTTCTGTATACTATAATGATGTAGAAGACCCAATTAATGAATTGTTGAAAAGTGTTTGTTTGACACTGGTGTTGGCATTAAAACAGTGTTTTCTAGATTGCAATAAATATATGAGCGGTGTCACATCAAAACCAACATAATGCGTTTGCGACCAACATGGATCCAGACCAGCCTGTGTATCCGCGCAGTCTGATCAGGATCTATGCTGTTCGCTTACAAACCCTATAACAAGTAGTGAAACTGATAGCAAACAGCATGGATCCTGATCAGACTGCGTGGATGCGCAGGCTGGTCTGGATCCATGCTGGTTGCAAACCCATTACGTTGGTTTTGTTGTGACGCGGCTCAATTATTATATCAAAAGATAATTTAAACTGATGAACATGGAGGTGGCTTACATAATTGAGATATAAATGGCATTATGAATAGAGGCTATTGAATGAGTGTAAGTTTAATACTAAAGTTATTGAACAAGTTGAATAAAATTATATTATGCAAGCCTCTGGCGAGCATAAAATTCTTTTATTTAACAAGTTCAATAAATTTTTTATTAGACTTACACGAATTTAATATTCTATGTATCACATACCCAAAAAGTGTTTTAAGTGAAAAAGTAACATTTTCCATTGACGTGCCGTGCCTATTATAAGTGTAACGCTTACATTTAGCTCGTCTATTAACTATGTTTGTGTAACAAAATGACGTCACATCAAAATATATGCACGGCCGTGCAATATAGTTTTTTTACGGAGTCACAAAATCGGAACGGGTATGTGATGAACATAATTATGGCATAATGAATGAATTAAATTCAAATTAACTCACAATAAGCCCTCTATAGGCTAATATATAATAGAAACAATTTGCAATAATTAATCTTAGTCTATTAAATTTAATAGATAATTTCTACAACTTTCTTACAGTTATTGTTTTTACCATTTTGATTGATAGAGTGAAGTGTTACTGATATAAGAATATAAAATGGCATTATTTATTGTAAATGAAAACATTTTTATTTTTTGTATAATTTTTTGGATAAAGCCATGCTCAAGATGCAGTTATCTGAAGGTAAATCAATGCACCTGTATTGGTATTTTGCTGTGATTGGTATACCATATGATTGGTATACAATTTATCAGAATGTGATTTGATTCATGTTGTGATTTAGTATGCATCGTGTGATAAGTACATGGTAAATGATTTGAATGGTACAGCACTGACTCACTTATACCAGTCAGAGTGTTTGTCTACTTTATGGTTGGTAACACTGTGATTTTATACACACTACACAGTGATTTGTTACCATTGTAAAGTGAATTGTGTTGGTACATGTATTCTCTGTGATTGATATTTCAGTAAATCTTGTAGAATTCCTGATTTTAGCTGTTATATTTTCTATTTGATACTGAAGTAAGTATATTAACCTTTGATTGATATTAACTTTAATTGTTACACAATAATATTGGTACCATATTACCTGATTTTGACTGGTATGAAATGTGATTGGTATGGGTTATGATGGTTGTGATTATGATTGGTATGCATATTGTCTGTGGTTGGTTTACATACTGACTGGGATTGGTATACATATTGGGTATGATTGGTATGCACATTGACTGTAATTAGTTTACAAATCAACTATGATTGGTTTTACACATTGACTGTGATTGGTATGCACATCTGATCTGTGATTGACAGTGATTTGGGTATGTGTATTGATCGTAATTGGTATGAACATGGATTATATTTGGTATGCACATTGTCTATAATTGGTTCACAATTTGGCTGTGATTGTAAAGCACATTGACTGTGATTGGTATGCACATCTGATCTGTGATTGACTATATGCACATCTGATCTGTGATTGACTATGATTTGGGTATGTGTTTTGACCATAATTGGTATGAATATAGATTATATTTGGTATGAACAAAATTGTCCATAATTGGTTTACATATTGACTATCATTGGAAAACAGATAAAAGCAAAGATGGAAAATCAATCTTTTAAATTCAATTAACCTTGTCAAATCTTTTGGCTTGACTTAATGCCCTTGGTCATGTGGTTACTCACCTGATACATTAATACTTTCAAACTTTGAAAGGATTGGAATAACTTAATATCATGCCATAGTGTTATTATATCAACTCTTAATCCATTTTATAATTGAATAATATACTTAAAACGCTTTTTATGTACTTGGCTTAATGTAGTTTTATGTGAAATTATGTTGACAAATCACGAGAGCTAAGAAAAAATATTTTTGATTATATTGAGAGGAATATGAATAAAAATGAGTATCATTATGAAAAGACACGAGGGATTCTAAGTGAAACAAAATATGTGAAAAACAAAAATTTGAATTTAAGTTTTGTATTTATTTGGTTAATGCGGATATTTATAATGTAACAATGATGGAATATGATAAGTAAAGTGTATGCTTTGAGTATGATTGAATTGGCAATCAATGAATTAGGGTATCCTCAACAAAGCAGACACATAGAATAAGATCTTACATGAATAAATTGTACAGGTGAATAGGGGTGCATTTTCATGGAGTGAACTGGTACTTGACCAATGTCATATTGGGACAATGTAGGGGACAAAACAAATCAATAAGCGGCATAGTTCTGATTATCGTAACTTTATATGTAGCTTCCTTAACTTTTGATGTTTTGGAACAAGTCTAGCAATTGATTTATAATATAAAAACTGTCTACTGCATTCTGTTAATTTGGCTATTAGTGACAAAGCAATTTTTAATGTGAATAAATGGTATAATTATAAATAGAGAGGAATACATTATGAATTCAGTCACAGGGAAGCGACTAGCTACGGGGAATGTGTTGCCTAGATTAAAGGGTCAGTTATATATGAAAAAGAGAAGTAAAACAGTGATCATTCATAAACAATTACCAAGTAAACAGGATAATCGAGAATATGTTCACAAGGTTTGTATTTACCTTTATCCTAATAGATGGACTTGTCCAGCTTATATTTTTGGAATGGTCCATTATCAATTTTGGGAGTATCAGGTTGAAAATTTTAATACATGTATTCAGTAGTATATGTATAGATGCTGATCAGTCTATGATAATGCGAGCTGTCTTAGCTCGAAACTAGTATTTTTGGTTCCTGCATTTTATTAAAGCTGCATGCCTCCAGATGAGCCAAAATATTTCAAGAAAATCAGACTTGATGAAAATAACTAAGATTAAGTAAGATTTTAAGAAAAGTTAAATGATTCGTGATTCAAGTAATAATTTGCATATTATATGCGATTAGTATCTTATTTTGCACTATTTGCACCTTATTTCTACTGCATGACCATTAAGGTAGTAAGGCTATTTTTGCATTTTTTAACCTTGTTTATTTTTGCATTTTTTTACCTCGTTTTGGTTGTTTTTGTGGATTGTAAGTGCCATATGCAATGTGTAAATTACTTTCTTTGTAAACTTAACTTTATTTTACCTGTTTATTTACATTTTCAAAATTTTCATGAAAATTAGCATGAATCTGGAGCCATGCTTCTTTAAGATAACTTGAATATTGGTAAATATTTTTAGATCGTTCAAATATTTGATATGTTGATATTAAAGTATTAAATGGTGTAAGATATTGTCATATTTGTATTTATGATATGACGTGAGGTATTTTAACAAGGCAACTGCAGAGCTGCTTTTGAAATTCCTGTCATGTCAGAAAATTTTGATCAATATGGCATTATTATTACACAAAGATAGCTCACTGACTTCAGAATATTTAAGATAAATTTCATTTTGTATCTGGACAGATCTGAAATAATTATTTGTAGTTACATTATGTCTAGAAAGCTGTATTTTTTGTCCAGAAATAATTTGACTTCAGTGTTGTTAAACTTCCATGCAAATAACCATTAGCATAGGAAGTCAAACGTACCCATACATGTGAACTTTTTCAATGATCAAGTGGAAGATTTTTCTTCAAACATGGGAGATTTTAGAATTTGCAATAAACAAAGGAGGAAGTTCTGACATCAAAAGAGGTGTTTTCTTTAAATTGTGAAAATACCTCTTATTTTAAGAAAAATCTTTGAAAATATGGCTGCAGAAAGTGGGAGTCTCCCGTTTAAAGTGGGAGAGTTCACATGTAGATGCTTACCACTAAAAGTACAGTCATTATCTCTTTATTATGTAAATGAGGTAAACTTATAAAGTTTGTATATTATGTAAATGAGATTAATTTGTTTATTATGTAAATGAGATATCCACTAGCATATTAATGAATATTGATGAAAATATGTACTTCTTAAGTGACTAATAATGACTACCAGTCTATCTTAACAACTGTCCCCCATCCCTTTTCACTTGGGAATAAGTGGGGACTTTAACTATTGCATCTTAAAGCCCTTGGATCATTTCCCATCCCCACACAGTGCCTGGGTGACAGGCCTTGGGGTACAATTGACTAGTGCATAATTGACTGATATGCGCCTGTAAAACAACTAAAAAAACATTATGTCTTATATAAAAATAACTCCTTTGACTTGTCTTAATTTTGATATAATCAATTTTGCATAAATCTATCCATCACTTATGGTAAAGTAAAATATTAGATTGGTAAATGAATAAACGTCCTGAAAAAAGAAAACACCTTTGCTCCTGTTATTTTTTTAAAGCGGTTATTTTGAGAAAATGTATAAATATATAAACTTGCATTGAATTTGTTATAGAATAAAAATATTACAACTTAAAGTCAGGATATGTTGATTTTTTTTTTCACCATAAGTATCTTATTGAAATGAAAACTGTGTTGCCTTTTATAAGATAAGATTAAATCATTTAATTATTCTGCAGTTTTCAAAATACACCAACTTAACTTTGACAAAAATACTTCATTTCTTATAGTAATTTAGTTTATTATACTTGTAATAACCAGTCTTTCTATATCTCTATTTTCAGACCAAGATTAAAGAATTGAAGCAAAAGATTTCAAATCTCGAGAAAGAGATAGAGGAACTCAAAGAACAAATAAAACAAAAAGATCTCACTATAGAAGAAATGGCTGCTGAACACAAGAAAATGGTATTGAATACTGCTTAAAAATATAAACAATACAGTCATATCTTTGCAAAGACCACCTTTGAATAAGGGTCACATTATATAAAGAAAATCTCTCTATAGAAGACTGTGAGAAATGACCAAGAACCTATCCAAAGGCCAATATTTCAATTTCTCAATTGAAAATTTATTATCCAAATTAATCCCCAATATTGAGCTGCAGTGACCGGTTTTGATAAGTTTATATGTGTGCAACTATCAATATTAATCTTTTTGCACACAAAAACATTGAAATTTTACAAGTATGATTTGGGTTACATAAAGTACATGTAGTACAATGTAGATTCAAACATATAAAGCCAGTACTGTATATGTGTTTTGAATATATATGGTTTAAAATTTTGTAAAACAATATGGCTCAATATGTAAACATTTAAATTCATTTTGTGTTAAAATTGTATTTGCTAAGTTGACAATATTTTAAATGTGATCATAACTGATTTTTCAGGAGGAACATTATAAAAGATTATATGAGAGTGAAGTTGCTGGTCACAAGTCTACACAAAATTCCCTACAAGATGCCAACAGAAAAATATCTGATTTACAGGAAGAACTTGCTCGAACAATGCAGGACCTGGAGGCTAAATTAGCCCTTGCTCAGAAACAGGTATGTGATGTATGAAGAGTTGTTGACTGAGAAACAGGTTCAAAGCAATAAAAAAAGTTTAGATGTATTCTTACCGGTACTTGAAATTATTGTAAACAGGTACATGTGTACTTACTGGAAACATGTACATACTGCTAATTATAAATTAAAAGTTACTGCCAGAAACTGGTACATGTACAATTCAGAAACAGGTACCTACCAGAAACTAGTACATATCAGAAACAGGTAGCTACCAGAAACTGGTACATATCAGAAACAGGTAGCTACCAGTATCAGGTACATATCAGAAACAGGTAGCAACCAGAAACTGGTACATACCAGAAACAGGTAACTACCAGTATCAGGTACATATCAGAAACAGGTAGCAACCAATATCAGGTACGTATCAGAAACAGGTAGCTCACAGGAACAGGTACATATCAGAATCAGGTAACTAACAGAAACTGGTACATACCAGAAATAGGTAGATTCAAGAAACTGGTACATATCAGAAACGGGTAACTAACAGAAACTGGTACATACCAGAAATGTGTAGCTACCAATATCAGGTACATATCAGAAACAAGTAGCTACAAGAAACTGGTACATATCAGAAACAGGTAACTAACAGAAACTGGTACATACCAGAAACAGGTAGCTACCAATATCAGGTACATATCAGAAACAGGTAGCAACCAGGAACAAGTACATACCAGAAACAAGTATCTACCACTATCAGGTACATATCAGAAACAGGTAGCTAACAGGAACCGTGAGGTACATATCAGAAACAGATATATACCAATATCAAGTACCTCACAGGAACAGTTATTTACTTGGATGGTCATTCAATGTTATTTGATTATTTTGTAGTTTGATGAAAAACTAAAGGAGACTGTGGAAGAGAAAGACAAAGAAATAGCTGAGAGGGATGCTAAACTGAACAGATTAAAACAACAAATGGCAGAGTCTTTAAAAGGAAATTCTTGGTATGTTTAACTGTACAGTGTACATGCGTTTTGATACTTTAGTTTTAGTAATTTTGATGTAATGATATACCAGATTAAACCAGTCAGATATAACAAATATCATTCATAGTCTTTTAAAAGACTCACTGTGAATAAGATTATCAGTATTTCATTAACCCTTACAAGGCAAATATTTTAAATTGGACATGTCTATGTGTCAATCTAAACAAAACCATTTATCATGTTCAGGAAATTCCAAAAAAAGTACAGACCAGCGAACAGTGCAGACCATGATAAGACATGTGCTGGCTGATCGTAGTGTACATTTTTCGTCACATTCATGGGCATATTCAGCCATAGCCAACAGGCTGTTGGTTAAGATAGTATTATACATTTTTGTATACTATTTTGTTTTCAGGGAACGTCAGCAGCAACTTGAGGAATTAACTAAAGAATTGGGGAGAATTCAAGACGAGGCAGACACCCTTCGTATAAAACTGAAACAATTTAAATCTAGTAAAGTAAGTTGTTGTTGTGTCTGTTGTTGTACTGAGTTACTCTATTTAACACATGTCATAAAATGCTCATCTACATTTTAATTATTTTCTGAAGTCAGTAGGTTTTAGTTTCTTTTCTTCACTATATAATTTTCATTATATAGTGAATATGGCTGACAGTGGATTGGGTCTTCTTGTGAAAATAAAATAAAGGTTTAACCATAACATAAAATTTGAAAATCTGAAACATATCAAATGAAGCACATAAAATGGTAAACCCTGCAAGTGAAGCACATAAAATTGAAAACCCTGCAAGTGAAGCACTTAAAATTGAAAACCCTGCAAGTGAAGCACTTAAAATGGAAAACCCTGCAAGTGAAGCACTTAAAATTGAAAACCCTGCAAGTGAAGCACTTAAAATGGAAAACCCTGCAAGTGAAGCATTTAAAATGGAAAAATCAGAAAATAACAAAAAAATATATACCAAGAATTAAATTGAAAATCAATTTTTTGTGCCACTCTTATCTGAAGTTGAGTGAAAAGCGTTTCAAAGCATTTCAATTTTTGGGTCATTTTGCACAATAAAAAATTATTATTTGTGAAAAATGAAGTTAGGGAACAACCTTAAATTCGCACACAAGTTAATGGCCCAAACCTTCATGACTTTGTACACAAATCTCAGAAAAATAACTCCAGTCCCCAAGACATCAAAAAACGTCAGTTGAGTCCCTTTAAGACCTTTTGTTGTTATACATATTCTGATTTAAAAACAATGATATTTATGTTATCTTTCAGACGTGTGGAAATTGTCAAGAAATGACCTCAAAGTTAGAGAAAGCTGTGGTATCACTGAAAGAGAAAGATTCCTCTATTAAAGACTTAAATGGACTTTGTTTAAAATTTGAGTCACAGTTAAAAAAACAAGATGAACTTCTAAAAGTGTTTGCAGATAAAAAAGGTTATAAAGCGTCTAAATGAAAATATATATAAAGTAAATAATTTCATCCAGCATTAAAAGTGGTTCAGTATGATTAAAGGGAAGCTACTCTGATAAGAATTTTCATACAATTTGTATCTTCCAAATTGAAGAGTTGAAAGTGTGACCTTTAGAAAGCAGTGTTGCCAAAAAACATGAAAATTGAGAAAAGTTTTCAGATACTGACAAGTTATTTTTAGTAACTTTTTACAGTACAGTCTAACCTTTTTATGTGATAACCAGAGATTTACTAATTTACTACAGAGTGATGGGAATTATACAAAGTGATAAGAAGTTTTAAAAATATTAAAGGCACATTATTCCTCAGAAAGTTTTCAGAAATATCCAACATGTGTTGGATAATGTTTTGATAGTGGATTAAGAGCATGTTAGATGTTTTACAACTGAGGATAGTTTATGTATATGGCAAATGAGTATTTTTAGCTCGACTATACGAAGTATATGGAGAGCTGTCCTACTCGCCCCGGCGTCGGCGTCGGCGTCCGCGTCCGCGTCCAGATTTTAGATTAAAGTTTTGGTGCAGTAAAATATTTTTCACTATAACTTTGTCATTTCTTAAGGTATCAACTTCAAACTTCAAATATATGTTCCTTATCATCAACCACATCTTATGTGACAAGGTTCATAACTCTAGCACCAATATTTTCAGATTTATCTCCCCTTGAACTTAGAATTTTCCTTAAAAAATACTATTTTTTATTGTTACTTCTTTATTTCATAAGGGATCAACCTCATACTTCAAATGTATGTACCTTATCATCAACCACATCTTATGTGACAAGGTTCATAACTCTCGCACCAATATTTTCAGATTTATCTCCCCTTGAACTTAGAATTTTCCTTAAAAAATACTATTTTTTACTGTTACTTCTTTATTTCATAAGGATCAACCTCATACTTCAAATGTATGTACCTTATCATCATCCCCATCTTATGTGACAAGGTTCATAACTCTAGCACCAATATTTTCAGATTTATCTCCCTTGAACTTAGAATTTTCTTAAAAAAATGCTATTTCTTATTGTTTCTTCTTTATTTCTTAAGGATCAACCTCATACTTCAAATATATTTACGTTATCATCCTCCCCATCTTATGTAGCAAGGTTCATAACTCTAGCACCAATATTTTCAGATTTATCTCCCTTTGAACTTAGAATTTTCCATAAAAAATATTATATTATTTACTGTTACTTATTTATTTCTAAAGGGATCAACTTCATACTTCAAATATATTTACGTTATCATCATCCACATCTTATGTGACAAGGTTCATAACTCTAGCACCAATATTGCAAGAATTATCTCCCCATAAACTTAGATTTTTTTACTAGAAAAATGTTATTTTTTATTATAACTTTTTTATTTTTAAAGTATCTACCTCAAACTTCAAATACTTATTCCTAATCATCAAATACATTTTATGTGACAATGTTCATAACTCTTGAAGCAATATTTATAGATTTATCTCCCTTTGAACTTAGGATTTTCTTTAAGAAATATAATAACTTCTTTACTTTTTAAGGTATCTACTTCAAACTTCAAATATATATTTCTTATCATTACACAAATGCTGTGTGACAAGGTCCATAACTCTAGCATGACTATTTCTAGAATTATTCCCCTTGATCTTGGAATTAATGTTAACAAATGTTATTTTTTTACTATAACTTAATACATAATTATACATAATTGATTTTTCTTTCATAGTTTTGTCCTCCTTACTGCGTCCAGTATTTTATTAGTCGAGCTTCGCTGTCTCCTGTGACAGCTCTTGTTTTTATAAACTGTAACAAAACGCCAAAAATAAAAAAAGATTTTGCGAAATAAAAATGATGGCATTTTTGAGGCATAATGGGCCTTTAATTATTTAAGTTTATGACCAGAATCCTTTGTGCAAGCTTGGCATTTGGAGTTGTTGGATTTCTTCCATTTTGTTTTATTATTGCAAAGTTATTCAAGATTTACATTACTGAAAGACTTTTGGTTTCGCAGATGATATTAAAGTGCTGTATTTGTATTTTAACAGTTAAATTAGATGTTTTGAATAAATGATCATTTGCCTTGTCAGGCCAGACCCTGCCTGTACAAAAGCCTTAGACCCTGCCTGTACAAAAGCCTTTTCAATCAAACCTGGCTCTGTACTGCCGGCTGATTTTCTTGATTCAACATGATGGGCCAGCCCATTTAAGATAGTAAGGGTTAATATCAAAATGTGTTAATCAAACAGCGTACAGTTTTGAGGTAGGAGTGATTGACCTAGCTTTTAGGCAAGTCTTTATTGTGACTTGTATTCAAAAGCGCTTGGAATTGTTTTTAAACGAGACATTTAATGTAATTTCTGTATATCTGATTTTTCTTAATGGGTATTCCATGACACAATAATTTATAGTCTTTTAAGTGTATCCTTTATAAGGAACTGTTGTCATTATGATTTGTCAGTCTGTATTTGAGCCACTTCAGGACAAAAGCAATGTAATGCCTTTGCGACCAAAATAGATCTAGACCAGACTGCGGGGATATACGCATCTGTGCAGTCTGGTCTGGATCTATGCTGGTCGCAAACGTGTTATGTTGGCTTTGTCGTGACGCGGCTCAAATTTTGTTCCCATATATTTGGTAAGATATTAAAAAAATACCTGTATATTGACATGTTATTTAAAGTGATTTCCTTGTATTTCATACATGCTACAATAGCACAGATATATATATGTTAACATTTCCTTTGTGTTCTTCCATCTTTAGATGTACATAATAAACATGGCTTTCTCGTTACACTAAATCTAACAGAATGAGGGAAAAATACCCGAAATTTGGAAAACTGTACACTAAATCTAACAGAATGAGGGGAAATTACCCGTAATTTGGAAAACTGTTACAAAGAACCAAACTTTTTTTTATAACTATACACTTTTACTGTAAGACTTCTTGCAAAGGTGTCTGAGAAAATGTAAAAGATTTTTGTTGATATATATGTATATGCAAACATTCACCAAAGATTTAGAATATGTAATGAAGTGAATGCGAAACCTTTAGTGCCTTATTTACATTTGAAACTGTATATTTTTTTCATTTTTTGCCTTAAAGAAAAAATTTTCAAAAAAATTTATTTTTATTTTCATGAACAGACTTGGGGGCTCAAAGACCCAAACTTTTAAAGGTTACATTTGACCCTTCTTTAAATTTAGGATTTATATGTTAATTTATTTTTAAAAAATTTTTTAAATTATTTAAACTAAAACATTCACCCGTAAAAGAGTTGATCATACTTTATGGAAATGCAGGCTGTCCTAATGTTCTGTACTGATGACACATTAGCTTTTATCACACACCCGTGCCGATTTTGCGACTCCGTAAATATGGTATTGCACGGCCGTGCATATATTTTGACGTGACGTCATGAGCGTTATACATTGTGTAAAGACGCGTTAAATGTTAGCGTTATACTATAGGCGTGTCAATGAAAAATGACTCTTATTTCACTTGAAACGGTCTTTATTTTAGGTATGTGGTAAATAGAATATTAAATTCGTGTAAGTTTAATACTGAATTTATTGCACTCGTTGAATAAAATAATATTATGCTCACCAGAGGCTCGCATAATATAATTTTATTCAACTTGTGCAATAAATACAGTATTGAACTTACACTCATTCAATATCCTCTATTTTGTTTATACCTCAGATATGGAAAATGGTGTTTTCTCAATGTCATTAAAATCAGATCATTGTTTTTGCTCTGTTACTCATCACCACGACCTAGCGAAAAGTAGTGGTGCGGCAGTGATGATATGATTTTTATGAGATCGCTGATTTCTAAGAATTTTGTAGAAAAAAATTTCTTAATAAAAGAACAAGGATAAGTTCTGATACTTAGATCCAATGCTTGCATTTTTAATTTTGCCATTTGAGGTGTTCTTTCAGGTTTCCAGTTTTGACCAATGTATAATAATAATTAATATGGTTATTTTAATATTTTAATATACATTTGTGGGTCTTACTTAATTAGAGTTACACAATGCAGGATAAAAAACTTAATTATTTTAATATTGGTCTTAATTGTAGAATACAATTCATTAACAATATAATAGATTATTTGATCTATTGTCTTTGAACTCAAGGTCCCCAAACAGTACTGTCATGGTTTGACATTGTACATGTATTTATATAATTATATATCATAACTTTCTTTATTTTGTCATATGCATAGTGTTAATTTGGAAAGGCATCTTTGTATTATATTTGTGAATAACTGTCTTACTGTGATGATGAATTTCTGTGATTTTTTGTTGTTTTGTTTTATGATTTTACTTTAACTTATTTATTTATTTGAATGATGATTTTAATGAGAAATGATTATCAAGAAAAAATGTTTATGTAAAATGTATTGGTTCATAAATTAGATGAAATTTTCAAAAATGTACAATTTTACCAAGTTTCTCAAAGAAGTTATGCAATGTTCTATGTTATTTATTCATGTATGTATTTGGAATAAAGAAGATTTTTTTTTTGCTTGCAATTTCAAAAGGGATACAGGACACCTGATTCAATAATTTTTGCTAAGGTTTTTACTCTCCATGTATACAAATATCTTTGAAAAAAATTTTTTATAGGTATTAAATTCGGAAAATTTACAAAGTGTTGCAAAACAAGTGAATTCTGGAGCGATAGAACTTTCTCATTTTCAAGAGTAACTGCAAACAGAATAATGGAAAATACGATTCATCAAAATGAGTAAGACAGGCACCTGTATAAGAAACAGGTTTTCAAAAGCCTGAAGTTTTTTAAAAGCCCATAGTTTTTCAAAAACCTAAAGTTGTTCGTCTTTTTCAGGTTTGAATGTACATGTACTGAAATTAAGCCATCATATCCGATACATTTTAGCCAATTTTTTTTTTATCCTATGTTAAAAGGGCTATTATCTAAATTGCTGTCTAATTACAGAAAACTTGCTGGACTTTTAAGTGCCTTTTAGAAAAGAATGATTTGTTAAAGATGCTTTGATAATATATATCAGGTACTTTATAAATGGAAGAATAAATGTTGTTTGTAGTTTAATTATTTATTTTGAAAGTTGTTATGAATTATAAATTAAATATATAATATATATATACTTATGGAAATTTTGTTCAAGATATGGTAAAATAAATGCTTACAGAAATGAATTTCTGGTTATGTATTTTTTCATTCCTTTATTTTAATTGTTCCTTTAACATTATCCTTTTCCCCTTCTGTTACACTGGCATACTGTTGTTCATAGCCATTTCATTTATCATGTAGGACTTACAGTGACATCTAACCTGAGTGGGGTTTGATGTTGATCAGGATCAAGTCAAATATCACTGAGGCTAAGAATTGATATTTTTTTCTACCAAAATTTTAAGCTCAACTATTCAAAGAATAGGGCGAGCTGTTGTACTGGACCCTGTGTCTGCATCTGGTAGTCAAGTTTTTGCATGAAAGTTGGTATCTCCATTTGCATTAAACTTTTTGTGTGCAAGTTGGTATCTCCAAAACAAATGAAAGGAATGGCTTGAAATTTCACTCATTTGTTCTCTGTGATTATCTAACATGATGGGTACTATAATTTACCTTTCTGCAGTTATGCCCCTTTACTTTCAAGCTAAAAGTTGAGAGCACTGTCCTAGGACAGCGCTTACTGTAGAATCCGCTTCACTGTCTAAGAGGAGATATTTATTATATAGAACTGTTGTTTCCTACACTTACTTTAAAATCTATGGTCACATTGGTGATATTAACATTATCAATGCCATTATTGCATATTTACTACCAGTAGAACAAAGAATATTAATATGTGAGAAAAGTTTTATAATGAAATTAGTTAAATAAAATGGGATTGGTTATTTTTTTGTTTTGTTTTACAGTGCATCGACACAATTTAGGCCATATGGCGCTGAAACAGGAGAGACAATTTAAGCTCACCTCAGGTGTTAACACCGCCTCACCTGCTGGAGCTAAGAGATACATAGACCCGGGCATAACATCTTACATGTATGTCAGGCTGTATACCCAGTAAGACACTTCATTGTTTCAGATCGGGGCAGGTGACATTCAAAAGTATCTCCCCATAGCCAAAAAGACTAACCAAGCTCAAAAGTTTATGCTAAGACCTGTAGCTGTTTAGCATTTATAGGTAGAATATTAAAGCATTAATCAAAATTGATAAATCTGAGACCTGAAACAAAATATTTTGGACCCGAAAACAAAAGAACAACAACAATAAATGTTTATTTCTTATATAATTCTTTATTTCTGTGGCAATATTAACTCATGAACAACTTTTTTTTAAAATAGATAATATAAATGATACATACATGAAAATGAAACAAATATTTCATTGATAACAAATTTTATAAATAAAAACAGAATACAATTTTCATTCGCCCAATTTTATTTCTAAGTTTTGAGCAAAAATCTTGAAAATATTGAGACAGCAGCAGACGGCATTCTTTTTTCCACTGAAAAAGGAATCATTCCAGGTAAAAATCGAATGATAAATTATTTTATAGGCTTTAAAATATTGGCAGCTGGTACCCTAGGTTATAACAACTTGATGATGGAAACCATCCATAAACTTTAGACTGGTTCAGTAGATTTTGAATTTTTAGAGACTGGTTACAGAATTTTCAGTAGATTTTAAGTTTAAAATAATAAAAAAGTTGTTTCAAACAATTTGCTAAGGACATCATCATTAAAACAATCAAGTATTGCACTTCTGAAAGTTAAAAAAAGACACATTTTACGGTAGTTGTTGAATTACTATTTTGACATGTTAAAACGGATCTGGTAACAGAAAATTTAATTTTTTGTTTTGTACAGCTCATAAAATTTTTCAAAGCTATGCTTTGCTATAATACCAATGAGACAAGGTTATATTTGTTATCATATTATTATATACATGTAACCTTACAAATTAATAAATACATAAATGACTAATAAAAAGGCAGAAAATGGACGGAAAATTGACTATATTGAGGACGGACTTCTTGAAACAAAATAAGGCAAAACTCTTAAAATGTACTGTCTTCCAAAAATATTCCAGGGAACACTTTCACAATGCTTTTATGTAAAAAATGGGGGAAAATCACAAAAAAGTAGCACTGACATGTTTAATTATTACTTAATTAATTACGTAATTAATAACTTAATTGATTAATTTTCTTTTTAAAGTTACAGCACTCAAAATGTCCAAGATTTATCTTCACTATTAACTGATGCTCAAATGTAAAGATTTGACAGTATGTATAAATACAAACAAATGAATAAATGTCTTGTTTCACATTTCAAACTTAATGTTCTGTTCCTATAAATAAGCATTGTGTCTATGTGAACATAATATTTAACCATTCTCGACTCCTTTAAATTTAATGAATAAAAGAAAAAGTATATTTAAAGTATAACTATTTATTAAAGACAGAGTGAATTATGTGCTTACATATAAAAGCTACTCAGTTTTCTTTTCTTTTTTTAACAATTTAACAAATAATATGTAAATGATATTTATATAATAAACAACAGAAATCTTATCACAGACTGCTTTATAAGGACGGTATATATATATATCACAATATGATGTTTTCATGTTGACATTATTACATTAACTTTATCCTATCAATATCAAATAATGTCAACATATCTTACAGTGTTTACACATTACTGAAATGTTAACTTATCATGCAATGTGTCATATTTTTCTCACCGTAATCATAAAATGTTGACATAACATGTTAATGTCAACCTCTAGAATGATTGAATAACAGACAATGTCAACATTTCATGTCATGTCAACACGTGTTATTCAAACATAACTAACCAATGTCAACATAACATGTTAATGTCAACCTCTTAAGAATGATAGAATATCAGACAGTGTCAACATTTCATATGTCAACATATGTTATTCAAACATAACTAACCAATGTCAACATAACATGTTAATGTCAACCTCTTAAGAATGATAGAATATCAGACAGTGTCAACATTTCATATGTCAACATATGTTATTCAAACATAACTAACCAATGTCAACATAACATGTTAATGTCAACATACAGGATGAAAATATAATTATCACACAATGTCAACATAGCATGCCATGTTAACATATTATACAATGTTAACATAATCAATACAGAATCTTTAAATATCATTAATTGTCAAGATATCATACTATGTTAACATCCAATTTTATGTCAATATATATTATAATGTCAACATGTTACAATGTCAATATATCATGAATGACAACACATTGTTATAATGTCATCATATTATAAAATGTTGACATTTCATTTTAAATACAATATACTAATCAATGTCAACATTTTACCTTATACTTTATCTCTTTGATGTCTATGGCAAAACAGATAAGAAGTGATTTATAACAATAAATTTATACACAATTTTATAGTTTATCTTCCTGTTGAAACTTGACAAAATGCAAATCTGACATTAAAAATAAATAACATATAACTAAAGCAAGCATGTGCAATCCATGCAGTTTCTTCTTCTCCCTATCATCATTGTTTCCTATTATCTTTTCTCCATTGTTTATGTGTTATATAAAAATAATCTTGTATAAACATCCCAAATTGATTCACTCTGTTCCATGTCTTCTCATCTCCAGTTCATCAAAAGTATTTGATAAGCCTCCAATTCAAGAAAGCAATGACAAATCAATCAATCAACAAAGATTGATTCATTTCATAAAATGTTTCTATGATACAGTATGAATAATGCCATTATATACATGATGACTGTCCTGGTGATCTCTAGTAATTAATATTAATCAATTAATCCATTAATCAATCAATTAAATAACAATTAGGATCACTGGTGATAAATGTTCAATAATTAATCAACCAATGCCAGTCAATCACTGGTTATGATTGTCTATTAATTAATCAATCAATCAATCATGGCCAGTGTGGAAGATATATGTATTGATCAATCAATTAATCAAGACCACTGTGGATGAATGTCTATAATTCCAGCGTAAAAATGTCTATTGATCAATCAATTAAACAATATCACTGTTGATGAATCAATCAATTAACTAATTAATCAATTAAATCATCATCTCATTGATCCCTGTGAGCCGTAAGCATTTTTATGTTGATTATAAGCATGGTGATGATGAATTTGACCGTCTAACTGGGCAAGTTCTTGTTTTAACTTTTCATTCATATCTCGTATTGCATCTGAAATCATAAAATGAAAAAACCCATCAATTTTAACTCTGTTAAATAATCATGTACAGATTACTATACTAAAAGCAAGGTGACATCTGGCTGGAACTTTTGATGAAGAGCTTGTTATGAGGATCTGGTATAGTGTCACCTAGAAGTTAATGAGAAATGATCAAATGATCAGTTAGAAATATTCAAATCAAGTGCTCAGTGCATGCTGAGAAAACAGTAAAGAGAGATCTTTTTTCACCTTTTGATATTTTAAAACAACTTAAAGCAATAGAACACATATATTAACATGTAACTTTGTACACAGAAGCATTATAGGATTAATGGTTAGTAACTGGCTATTGCACAAACTTTTTTTCCTTTTTTTTTACACAAGCCAAAAAGTAATTAGTTGGGTTTTAAAGAGTGGTTAAGCCATAAATGTTAAAAAAAAATAAAAATTGTGAAATAGAATGTTAATTAAATTTACATGATTGAATTTTTCATTCACTGCACAAAAGTCTGCCCTGATTTTGTAAATAAAGCTTCTGAGTTAGTTTCACTGAGTAAAAAGTAAAATCATACAGTATTTTATATAGTAAAAAAAATTGTTAATAAGTCAATGGTAGTAAATTTCAATTTTAAATTCTGAACTTTCTAATAATAATAATTATAATAATGTGATTGTTTCTTTTGTCTAGTATTCTTATTTTTGCTATGTAAGCAGTGAAAAGTAAAGATGATAATGTGTAAGTGGTTAGTGCATAATTTACTTTCATGACCCATTGAGCAAGGATATATATGTTTATAACATTACAAAAAAAATAAAGAAATTTTTTGCAGGAATACAAATCCCTCTTCCCTGCCCATTTCAAGAACATGTTTAGTTAGATTGCATAATACATATTTACATAAACTGTACTATATAAAAAAGCTGCCTTTTTCCCTTTTATAATGAAAATATCATAATGTTCATTAAAAACCATGTAAATTTCATATATGAAACAAAATTTTGAACATGTGGATCCCTAAAGACAAATATTTGGGTTTAATTCTTACAAATCCATTTTATAGGAAATGACACATTACTGAATTCTATTTATTCCAGTGGAATAATCTTAAAATTGTAATACTAGTAAATCTTTATCATAAATTTATATCGCCCATCTTTTTTTTCAATAAATCCTAAAAACCCCCTTCCCTGTCCAAAAATTTCCCTTCCCCATTGCCCCCTCTGTCTATTGAATTTCTTGCTCTATGGGTCCTGGGTAAATATATTTAATAAGACACCCACCTGAACTGGATGATGTTGACGATTTACGACTATCCATACGTAAATCTGAAACATATACAATATATAAATTAGTTCCCAACTTTCCACAGCAATCATTTAACTATGGACACTACAGTCAAACCTGTAGAAACAGACCACCTGCTTTACAACAGCACAACTAATTTTAAGTTACAGTAAAATCTCTGCATGCTCCTATAGGACATAGTAAAGGACATCTGTGACAGGTTTCTATTTCTATCAGAATTTTTAACAATCCTTTGTAATCTGGTGATAAAAAGGGTCTGAATGAGCTGTGTATTTTACCTTCAAGGTGTCCCACTTAAATGCCCTGTCAATGCAAAATTTCTATTTTTGCACTTAAAATAGTAAGGCATAACAATGAAGAAAATTGGAAAAGATTTTATCATTTGATCATTCTTTCAGAGCAGAGGTTTTACTGTAGCTCTTCTAGTCCTGGTCTTTTATTACAGGTGGTCTATACACAAAGGTTTGTCTGAAGGTATATTGCCTTGATATATTTGCCTTTTGTGAGAAAACATAGGTATATCAAACTGTCACAGATAAATAACTACCACCACACACCTTGTCACCAGAGAAAATGTAGAGTATCATAAACTAGAATTTAATTGGTAAATCAATTGGTATCAAATGGTGGACCAATTACATCAAATGGTAAACCAAAGATGTCAATTAGTTATCCACTGATATCATACAATAAGCAGGCTATATGAATTGGTAAACCAGTGATAACAAATTGTGAACTAGTGATTTTAAATGATCAATGATATCAAATGGTAAGCAACTGATATCAAATTAGAAGCTATTGCTATCACATGTTGAAGCACTAATATCAAAGTGGAATGTATTGATAAATCAATAATATCAAATGGGAAGCCACTAATATCAAATTTGAAAATATTGATAAACCAATGATATCAAATGGTAAGCCACTAGTATCAAATTTGAAAATGTTGATAAACCAATGATATCAAATGGTAAACCACTAATATCAAATTTGAAAATATTGATAAACCAATGATATCAAATGGTAAGCCACTAATATCAAATTTGAAAATATTGATAAACCAATGATATCAAATGGTAAGCCACTAATATCAAATTTGAAAATATTGATAAACCAATGATATCAAATGGTAAGCCACTAATATCAAATTTAAAAATATTGATAAACCAATGATATCAAATGGTAAGCCACTAATATCAAATTTGGAAATATTGATAAACCAATGATATCAAATGGTAAGCCACTAATATCAAATTTGAAAATATTGATAAACCAATGATATCAAATGGTAAGCCATTAATGTCAAATTTGAAAATGTTGATAAACCAATGATATCAAATGGTAAGCCATTAATATAAAATGATTTACCACTGTGACTGATATCAAATGGTATACCATATCAAAATGTCAACAAACAAAGTCATATTGAAAATCATTTGTATCTAATGTTTATCTGTTGATATAAATACATTATTTACAAATATCCAGATCATTAACTGTAGTCTAATATCTATATACATGACTGTATAAACTATAGTCCTTACCATAGTAAAATAAATGTTTTTGAAAATGTGAATATTCACTTAAAAATTATTTTTCACCAAATGAAGCTCAATATTTATCAAGTTCTTTGCAGCATACTAGATACATTCTATTTTTCATTTTCAAGAGCATAAATATATTGAAAAATATTGAAAATTATGTTACAGTAATTGCTAAATGTGATGAAAAATACTGCAACATGTAATTTATGGTGTGCTTATTATAATAATAAGTCTAATAGGTCAAGGTCATAAGCTTGACCTTTGACCTACAGTGAATGTGATTTTTGACAAAAAGAACAAGATTGTTGATTGTGTGCTATATTTTGTCAAAATTTTAATTTCAAATGATTTCTCCCCAATTAAAAACATTTAAGTTGTTCAGACAAGATAAAAGCTGAAATGACCTAAACACAAAACTGATTCTGTACCAAACATTGAGAGATTATTATCTTTGAGCTCATTGTCATCTTTGAGTTCAATATTATCTTTGAGCTCATTATTATCTTTGAGTTCAATATTATCTTTGAGCTCAATATTATCTTTGAGCTTATTCTTATCTTTGAGTTCAATTCTATCTTTAAGCTCATTATTACAGTATCTTTTAATTCATTTCTTTACTTGACTTTAATAATAGCTTGAACACACTTTTATCTTTTAAGCTCAATGTAATCGTTGACCTCATCAACTGTTTCAAACTAATGAAATAAAACATGGACAAAATAAAGTGAAATTAAAAGTAATATAAATCTGTGAATGAGCCAAAAATCACCAGTTTAAAAAAAAATTGACTTGCATGTTGGGTGCTGCTATCTATTCTTACAACATCCTCATGCGCCTGACAACTTGAAGAAAATAGTAACTTTGAAAAATATACATGCACTAAAACCATACATACAAGAATATTATGAAGAAAAGAATAGATATACTCTGAAGCTTAGTGATTGCCTATCAAATAATAAAGAAGTGGGTAACTCTGCAATTGAGCAATTATAAAAGCCACTTTCAAATCACCAGTCCCTCACTATTTTGGATTTGATTACAAAAGAAAAGTGATTCTATCTAAAGCGCCCTCTTGTAGCTTAATAAAGCAGCACACCTGCAGATGATCAAACAAAATTTTTTCCAAGTAACTTTTGCTGTCAGTAAACACCTTGGGCTAGGTTAAAAAATCATTTCACTTGTCCTTTTGACAATACTGTTACTCTATAATATTATCAAAGTTAAACTCCCCCCCCCCCCCCTGAAAAAAAAAAGACCAGCATATATTTGGAGATGTTCTGATTTACCTTATCACACTAAATCTTAAATGGACTCGTCTTTCAATTTGTACCAGGACTAGACCATTCATCATTTGTCATGAAAATTTTTAAACATGTATACTGAACAGCAAACAGTGCAGACCATGATCTGACAACACTGATGTGCCAGCTGATTATGGTCCGCACTGGTTATATTGCTGTATCTTTTGCCATCAGCAAACTGATGTTTAAATATCACCCTGCACCATACAAGCTGGTAGGAAGCCATTTTATTTTTGCCTAAAAGTGTTTTAAGTGACTGGAAATACAATCTAAACAACATCTTTATATAATATTAAATAAGTGCACTTTATATCACAAATCATGCAAAAAAGTCAAATACCAGGCTTTGGGAGATTTTTGATCTGAAAACATGTTTTCCAGATTCAGTAATTTGTATGACTTATACACATATAAATGCTAGAAAAAATTACTACATAGATGAAAAAAAAATATATGAGAAAAAAGTGCAAAGTAAACAGGGGTAAAAAAATGTTTTTACAGGACTGTGCAAATTTTATTCTCATTACCTCCCTTTACTTTTATAATTTCTATCTCCATCTTAAAGGTTTTTCTGCTAAATGATACAATAAACACATATTAACTAAACAACTGGTTTAAAAGTGACCATTTTCTGTAAATTATACTGGTAGATATTATAATACATAACATAAGAAATAATTTCAGCAAATTTCAATCAAAAATAAATAAAGAAATTAATTTGCAATTAAAGATTTTTAAGTTGGAGTTCAAACATTGCATAGCATAAGATCTAAGCTCTTAATTTTTTTTTTTCAAATCCAACTTTTTTTAATTTAAGCCCATAACAATTTTTTTAGTCTAACCTGTTTTATCACATTGGTAGAGCTATTGTTACAATATGCCAGTAAAAAGTTTTAGTTCACGATTTGCAATTCTTTGCACAATTACTCTGGCCATCAAGACTCTATTTTTTCAAAAAAATAAATTTTAAGCAAATTGAAGAGTAAAAGAATTCATTATGAAGGATGTACAATTAAATAATCAAAACTGTAACAAACACACACAAAAAAATCTCAATAATAAAATTGAAAAATTCAAGAAAACAAACTAAAATAGAATTTAAAACTGAAATTTTTAAACTCAGAACTCTATTTACCATAGCTATGATACAGTGAGATTCCTAAAATAGAAACAAAAGGTGGAGAAACTAAAAACTGCATTTAGAAATCTTTATAAATAATGTTCCTATGATAACAAAACTATACAGAATTTGTTTCAAGACAATTTCATTCTCCAAAACAATTTTTCACAAAAATTCAGGGGCCATAACTCTGTTGCCACTAGATGAAATCACATTTCCTTGGTGACCACACTGTAATATTATATTGAATGGAAAATTTGAATAAACTTTCTTGATTGGAATAATTCTTTGAAATACTGGGTGTCAGAAAATTGAGACAAACTTAAAATTACAAGTCCATATCAACACTAAAAACTGCTGACTCAGAAAAATAAAGTAATGCACACGAATCAGGGGCAATAATTCTACCAACGCTAAACTTAAAATTAGTGTAATCACATTTTTTGAGGAGATTAAATATTAACTGAGTATAACTTAACATATAACTAAAGAACCTATTCATGACAATAGATATCTCGAGGCATATGTATCTATAATTTGTCCTACAGGCATTGAAAAAGAGGCAAGATCTTAAAATAATAAACCTCACTATCAACTACTCAAATATGCCGAGTCAGCAAAATAAATTAATGCACACCATTCATACATTAACACACCTTCCTATATGGTAAAATCAGTAATTGCCCTAAGATCATCTAGCGAGAGACCCCGTTTCGGTCCCTTGCTCTTGTTATTTTGACGTCTACGTTTGGTTTCTATTACGTAATAACTAGTCGATCTATTGTTAGGGTACCAGTCATCTTGGCTTCGTAATTCTACTTTGTTATTGCAGCATTTGGTAAGATAAAAATGTTTAAAAAAGGGAGACTTAAAAAAGGTACATAGGTGTTACATTAAAAACTGCAGTATCTTTATCGATTGTTATCAAAAGTTAAAAAAAAAGTTTAATTAAGCTAGTATATCTCCTATAAGAATTGATTTTATGTAAATTTAGTGTCTCTTCATAAATTTCAAATAATATTGGTGTTAGTTAACATGAAAGAAAATATGACTCTCTTGAAATATAATAATGAAACAACATGTTTGGCTTAATGAATTATTACTGATGTAAAATGTTAGTAATGTTTTTAAGAGTAAATAATCAATTGAAAAAAACTGGCGTCACTAATAATCATGTAATTATCTGGATGTACGCTAATCATCACTAACACAAAAGCATGAATAAAATATCATTACCACTAACAACACAATAATCACATATTTTACAATTAACTGAAAATGACTAATGGTTAACACTTAAAATCATTCTCTGTGGAATTTTATCATATACTGTATTACTTGGTTAATAAAGGAAGAAAACTTAAATATGCATAAAGTTTAAAACCTACCATTTGGCCTATTTGGACTGCCTACATGTGGTTGTCGGTATTGATTGCCGGTACCAGGATGGTGCCCGGGACCAGGTTGTAGGGCCGGGTGACCCGCTGGATAGCCGTGACCTGCGGGATGACCTCCTTGTGTGCCGTTCATATATGGAGGTCCATTCTGTTCATATGGTGGCCTAAAAATACAAAATATATGTTCATTTGGTGGCCTTAAATTACAAAATATGATAGTGGCCTAAAAATTCCAAATTTAAGTTCATTTAGTGGCCTTAATATACAAAATATGATAATGGCCTAAAAAATACAAAATTTAAGTTGATTTGGTTGCCTTAAATTGCAAGATATGATAGTGGCCTAAAAAATCCAAATTCAAGTTCATTTAGTGGCCTAAAATACAAAATATGATAAAAGTTTTTCTTGTAGTGTTGACCATAAACCTGCTTTAACCTTATGTGATTAAAGAATTGATACACAGTATGCTTAAAATCCTAACTTTTTTTCAATTTGGAAAAGTTGATGAAAATATATCATAATTGTTTACCTTTGTTGTGGTATTGGGTCTGCGAGTCTATGTGGAGGTTTGAGCGGCTGACCTCTGGGTGGTGGTGGCTGTTGCCCCTGTCCGGGCTTCGCCCTGCCGTTACTGGTGGGACTGTGGTACCCCTGAGGAGGAGAACCAGGATAGATTGGATCACGTAGAGCTGGGATGTCCCGCAGCTGAAGGTCGTTAGGGGGCTGTTAGTGGCAAACACACACAATTGTTAGAATACAAATTGTACAAGTTAATTAATACAACATGCAAAATCCAAACCATATCACCTCTATAAATATCTACAAATATGTTAAGACTAAGCTACGTAACAAAACCAACTTTTATTAAGATTCTATATATAAAACCAAACAAACAAAGTTGACTACAACTTTATTTCTACAGTCCAGAACCAATTTCACAGATGCTTTTCTAACTAATGCGATCATCTTTTCATTTTCATACTTTGTTTATTATAAATTATATAGAAAAATGGACCCCCAAAAACAGCTGCCAATTTAGATAGGGGAGCTAACTTTTGTAAAATTCTCAAACTACTTGAAATTAAATAGTAAATATATATAAATATTAGTAGTTTATCTGGACACACAGTAATATTTAATATAAGAAACAAGAATGATTTATCAATACTTTGAAGTTTTTTCTAAATAACCTTTCTATATAAAGGCAACAATCGCCTCAGATTAAAAAATATATACATGTACATGCAGTTAATAACACTGGTCAAGCTGTTAGTTTTGGTAATTATTCGTAGGTAAAACATTTTGGACAATGTTATTATAATAAATTAAATACTAAAATGTAATATATTAAATAAACATTATTCAATACACACTTTTTTGTTAATATATTTTAACAGTTTTTAAAATATCAAGGGTTTTTTTTATCAAAAGAATATATATAAATTGATTCAAGAAAATTTGACAAAGATTTAGTAACAGTTTATAACTTATCATTAATTATTATGCTGGAGAAATTTTTGGTAAAATAATTAATAAATTTGTGGTTTGATGAGTGAAATCAAACAAAAATAAAAGTTGAAACGAAATATTTTTGTCTTCTAATTGCAAATTCTATCATTTTGTATTCCCACAAATTTTTTAAAAAACCCTTTACTGAAAAAAACGAAATTTTTAAATTTACAGGGTTTAAACCCCGATTTAAATTTTTTTACAAAAATTCCCCAAATTTTTAAAAACCCGAACAAATTTTGCCTGCATAACTTTCCCGCCACTTCCCCCGCCCCTGTATTGCGGTGAGTTTCGAGGGGAGTGATCTCGTGACCGATGCGAGTCTTGTCTCGGCATAGACTGCCATGACGTTGTCGCCTGATTTAACCTTCTCTCAAGTTCATCTACCCGTTTCATCAACTTCTCATTGTCTCTATACAACAGTTGTTGGTCTTGACGAACCTTGTCACGATTTACTTGCATCTCGGCATTCTCCGTTCTTAAGTAGACAAACAAATTAATAACCAGTGTCACATGACCCATACCGTGCTAAATTTTTATAATGAACTGATTCTGCTTTGAGTATAGACCAATCCATTTTCAATTTAAAGTACTCACTGATTAATTTCAAAGCAAACGGCAAACCTGATTTTGCTTTGAATATTGACCAATCCATTTTCAATTTAAAGTAGATTAATTTCAAAACGAACGGCAAAATCTCAGTGTACAGTCAGATTAAACTGACTGAAACATAAAAAGTTTATATATACCTGAGAGCTTCATTTTCCACCATATATTCCTGTAACATTTCATACAGTCCACTCTCATCTGCACCATTTCCACTCTGCTTTGCTTTCTCTACAAAATTATATTATATAAATGATAAGTTTAATTTTCATTTTAAATGAAAACTTAATTGTTCAAGATGTATAGCAATCTTTTCAGTAATTTGAGTTGGAAATAAACTCAGGTGCCCCTCTACACCAGAGTAGAACCACAAGGCTTCCTATAGCTTTCTTAGATCCAAGTTTTTGACAAATTAGAATTTTAAACCTAAAGATGGTATATAATATCAAACAAATAATTTGAAATATGATTTAAAGTTTACCATATTCATTTACATAAATTATTAAGATATCTATTTCAGGCACAAAAAAACAACAGAAAAAAACCCAGAAAACTGAGCACAAGTAACATCACATTCAGAGCAACTTTCTTCAGGTCATAAGCATATAAAATATTCTTAAATCATTTTGTAAACATAATAAAACTCATATTTGCCTTTTCAAAAGATAAAAAAAACTTTACTAATTTCTGAGGCATAATGTGCCTTTAAAATGTATAACATACCTAATGATATCATTTAAGTAAGAAAATATAACAATAGAAATTGTCTATCAGTGTAAGGATCTAGTGCAATTATATATGCACACTGACATTCAATAATTGTCTGAGAGCAGTAAAAACACATTAAAACAAAAACAATCCCTAAGATTAAGTTAAAAGATACAATTCAAATGTTAGGTACTATATCAAAGAAAAGGAATCTTATATATAACAAGCAAGATTTTTTTAGTAACACTGATATATCAACACCTTAGTGTAATATAACGTGTTAACTTCTATTAAAATACATAAGGAGTTAACCAGTTACTGCTTAAGTGCCAATATGTATTCAATGAAATTGAAATTTACTTTAAAGCTGTGGACAAAATTATTACAATGCAGTATTCATGACAAGCAGAAGTGTTAAAGAAAAGTTTTTTTTTTTTTTTTTTTTTTTTCGTTTTAAACTGAATAAGCTATTTCTTAAGCCAGCAGACCTGACATTATATTAGCCTGGACTTCCGAGCAGTTTGATACTGTTTGCTGACTAACTTTTGAGTTTCATTTTGATACCCCCAAAATTAATAATGGACAATCCTAAAAATGGAAGCTGGGCAAGTCCATTTCAGTAAATTCAGCGGGTTTTGATTTAAATGATAGAGGAGAGCCTCCATTGATCCTTAAAGCTTTGTTTAAATCATAACCAGACCTTTAGAGTAATTAGAAACCATCAAATGTCATAAGCTTGCTGGATAGCTAATCATTACAATAAAAGGATCCAACATTCCTGGTGGGATTCATACCCACAGACATAAGGAGACAAAATATTTGAAGTCACATGAGGGACTTAAACCACTCAGTCACATTTCATAGCTTTAATAAATATATGTACAATTAGTGATAGAGACATTTATTATACAACATTTAAAAACCATGCAAAATCTGGGAACACATGCAGGGTTTGTATTATTTAAAAGTGAAGTATACTGTAGTGAAAATGTAAAAAAAAACAAAACAACAAACCATTCAATATTGAGTATTAGATATTAATAATAAGTTTTTACTGTAAAAAATATTTCAGAGAAAAGGTTTAATGTGAGAATGAATTAGCATTTTATGTGAGCATGAGTTAACATTTTATTTCAGCATAAATTAATGTTTTATGTGAGAGCATGAATCAAGATTTTATGTGAGCATGAATTAAGTATTAATATGCATGCTATCTCCATATGATAATTAATTATCTCAGAAGTGAAATGGTTTTGTTTCATTATTATTTAGATATTAATTAACATGCATAGTGCATGTTTTCACAAAAGGTATGTGAGTTCAAGGTTTTCCATCTAAAATCACATCAATTTTTAATCATATGAAATGCCTTTGCAATTGAGGATATCATAAAAATTTCATGTTTTCATGAAATGAAATGTTTTCAAATAATCAGGGGTAAAAAAATCAATAATGATACTTCAAATTATGTCATGCTGTAATGCATTTGTTATATTTAAAACACTCTTCACAAAGGAGGTAATATAGACTATTTCAGATTTCTTAAGAAATGAATTGGAGAGTATTTAATAGAGTTTTATCAATACAGACTGATGGAAAACCTTTGAATATATGGATTGAGATGTGAGCTCCCTTTACCACATACAGCTCCTAGTAATTTAACACTTTCACTTCAAATCATTCTCTATGAATATATTTAATATATCACAAATTAAAAATCACAATTAAATTAATTTCAAACTTATGTAAATTTATGATTTCAAAACATCATATGATGAAAAGCTTGACAAAAGTTATTTGAAGCATTTTAAAGACATAAAAATTCAACATTATGTTTATTCTAACATTTAATATTGACACTGGAGTCGGCTTTTTATAATTACAAATTAGTATAACTGATTGGACTCAAACTGTACTATGACAGTTACACATGTATAAATATAAGCGTCTGTTTAAAAAAAAATTGAATCCAGTTTTTATCTATAAAATGCACAATTTTAGTTACTAAATGATGCCTATACTCCTTTTTATGATGCACACTCACTGGTTCACATTATTCAATTCTACCATAGTACTGTTCTACCATTGGTCAATTCAAATCTGATCTAAATATAGCAACCAATCAGATGCTTGATTTCTATTCCTGTCTCCCAGTGAGTCTTAAGTTCTCCAAAAGATCACTATCAAGTTTTTGTATTTAAAAAAAAAACAGCAACAATTTTTTTCCCAATCTGGACCTATTTTTCTCTTCGGTATATGTGGTTGGGGTAAGAAATTCACATCTCTTCAGTGCTTACCATCATTATTACTGACAGTATTGTTAGTGTCAGGTTTACCATTAGTCTCTTTCATTAACTTCATCATCTTCTGATCATTCTCCTTCTGTAGCTGATTCTTTGGCTTTGCTGGGAACTCTAACTGTACACAAAAACATGAAATTTCATGTAAAACATCATGTAAAATCATATACATTATACTAGCAATTTTCCAGTTTGCTTGAAATTCCACCAATAAACAAAAACATAAAAATTTCATGTAACAATCATTTCATGTAAATATCTTTAAAAATTTCAATTTCACTCATAGTTTTTTTGTTTTGTTTTTTATTTTTCAATAATAAAAACTTCCCTCATCAGTACATAATACAAATTTTGAGTAAAAACATAAAAAAATGCTCTTGACTTACTGTACAATGTTTTGTCTATTCTGTTTTTGTGCACTCTTATTCATACATGTTTGGTAGTTATGGTCTCCTATGCCTTGCTATTGTTTATTTTTTTTGTAACTTTCTTTTTATTTAGATCTATACTAAACTGATTATTGCTCATTTTCAGTGACTCATAATAACAACTAAACAATATATTTTGAAATTATTACTGGTCAAACTAGAATAAATCAAATTTAACCTAGGAGGAAATTCTTCTTTTTTAAATTATTAGGTTTAAAAACTTATTTCACAAGAACAAACTAACAAGAGCTGGTATTAAAACAGCATGCAGAACTATTCTCTGCGCCTAATAGTAAAACAAGAACTTGGATAATGTCAAATTTACTACTGGTAAGTTCAAAAAGGACATAATTCTGTCAAAATCCATGTTAGAGCTATGGACTTTGTACATTGACCTCTTATTATGAATTGAAAGAAGTGTGTAAAGTTTCAACCCATTCCCTTAAGTAGTTCTTGAGATACAAACTTGCACACAGAAACTTTACCAAAATGTAATGCCAACCTCTTGGTGACTACAGTAGCTGTCCCTGGTATTCTTTGAATAGTCAAGGTAAAAGCTGTTTAAATTTATGATACTCTAATAAACATGATTTACATTGTTAAAGCTTGAGCAAGATTTCAGAACAATTTAAATGTTTCATATTTTTGACTCATTTCCATAATCAATTTTGTTTACATCATTTTATACTAATTTAATTTACTTCATTTGAATAATGCCCTTACAAATCTAGAACTGACTAGCAAAATAGTCTAATTAAGTCAATTTTCATCTAGTTATCAAAGATATACAATTGAAGCCATTATGATATCTGGAAACAATGCTAAAGTGCAATTTTACTATTCCCTTCACCATGTGCTCTGTATACAATTAATTAGCTAGCAATCTGCATAACTGCTATGTGAATAACAGTTGTTTTCGTGTGCACAACCCATTGCTGTGGCAGTCATGCACAAGTAACTTTTACTTATCCATATTTTATCTAACAAATTGCAAAACTGCTTTTTACCTAGCTGCATGTAGGACACTTTGCAATTTTACCTTGCATACATGCACAAGTACATTTTACTTATGCATAAATATTACTATTTTTACCTAGCATTGTGCATAACTGCTATAGTACCTGGCTGTGTCATTTAAATTGATACATGCAAAAGCACATTTTATTTATTCATAGACATTCCTGATTTTAATACTTAGTATTGTGCCTAACTGCTACTTTACCTAGCTGTGCCAATTTACCTTGCATGCATGCTCAAGTACATTTTACTTATGTGCATAGATATTGCTTTTACCTAGCATTGTGTAAAACTACCATTTTACCTAGCTGTGCCAATTTACCTTGTACATAATTATATACTGGTATATATGAACAATTACACTTTACTTATGCATACAAATTGCTAGTTTACCTGGCATTAAGTATACATTTGTACTGCTATTTTAACTAGCTGTGTGCACACACCTTGCACCATGCATATAATTATCATACATGTACTATCTTATGCAATCAAAACAATTTGTCAATTCACCAAGCAACTTGCATTGACTACCTCACTTCGTGTACATCACTTACATTTTCTTTATTTTTGCCTTTATAATTTCTAATTACATCACTAGGTTTAACAATGTTTTCAGCATCCAGTGGCTTTTTATCAGGAGATGGTTTCTCCTCGTTGCTGGGTTTAGGTTTAACTTTAGTAGGGATACCCGTCTGAAATGTATGTTCCCCGATCAGTCAACGGAACATTTCCCAACCATTATACAGGTTGTTTTGTAAGGTTTGTTGTGACAAAGTTAAATGTGTCAGGTACTTTATTAATCTGGTGATTTAGAATTAACGATAACACTTCATTTAACACTATAGTGTATGAGAAAACATCTTATGGAGCTATAAAGCACACTCTGAAAAAAAGCTATGTATTGACACCATCTAATGCTATGTATTAGAAGTGTCAAGGTTAGCAAAAATGCTAACTGTTTAAACGGCAACTGAATAACCAGATTAAACGTTTAATTGACCATACTAAAAGATTTCTTATCATGTTAAACATTACTGTTGCTTTTTATGATAAGATAGCAAAGTTTGTTTGTATTTTGTTATGCTGAACAACAATTACAAAACATATCTGTTTCTGAAGTAACTCCTTAGTACAGCACTCTACCATACACAAAATATAGCATGCATTCGGATAAAAATTCAACTAAAATACAAACAAAATGTTATATCTTGTCATAAACAAAAGTAATGTTTAAAACAAATTTAAAATTTCTTCAGCTGTTGGCCTTATACTAAACATGGTTACCAGTTTTTAAAATTTCTATCCCGTTTTTGGCTAATAACTGACCGAACCCAATTAAACGGATAAATGTGACACCCCTTAGCCTCTCTACTATGTATCAACAACATCTAATGCTCTTTTTTGTGACACCTCTATTTCCAGTGATAATGTATATGGAATGCATCAAAAACAAAGAAAATTCAAAGACTGTCCTGAGGTATCGGGAAATGAAGTACGGTACTTTATGCCTTGGGGAAAAAACTTACAACAAAATATTACCTGTTGTCTAAGGTAGTGATTTTCATTGCGCAGTACTTTGATTTCTCTCTTCAAACTTAATATCAACTTTTCTCTCGGATCCTGAAATTACACAATAATATAACATTTAGTGTATCTCTCCTAACACTATGACAAACCCCTTTAATAATACTGGATTACGTTGATATTATACAAGGGCTATAACTCCTTGAATAAATAAATGCTTTATAGTTATACAAGGGCTGTAACTCCAACAAATCATCAAACTGGTAACCAACCAACACAACAACATAGGCCAAATCAATATCCTATAACCCGTTATGAAAAGTTATCTCCTGTCATTTTTGTATGAGACATTCTTCACTTATTTTCATTTTGTAACCTCTGTTGGCCAATACTTTGACTTAATATCCCTAAAATTGACAATAGCTAGACAGTTCCTAAAATGGAAGCTGGACAAGTCCATTTAAGAAATTTGGTAAGTAAAAGGTAAATATAATTTTATATGGTATTATAACAAAGTTATAAAAAGACAATTCTGTATGCAAAACTATGGTGGCATATTTCTGCCACCAGATAACCATATAACTAACTAGTTAATTAAGAGGTTAACTAGTTATGTAACTAGTTAACCTCTTAATTAACTAGTTAGTTATCAGGTTAACTAGTTATGTAACTAGTTAATCTCTTAATTAACTAGTTAGTTATCAGGTTAACTAGTTACGTAACTAGTTAACCTCTTAATTAACTAGTTAGTTATCAGGTTAACTAGTTATGTAACTAGTTAACCTCTTAATTAACTAGTTAGGTATCAGGTTAACTAGTTACGTAACTAGTTAACCTCTTAATTAACTAGTAAGTTATCAGGTTAACTAGTTATGTAACAAGTTAACCTCTTAATTAACTAGTTAGTTATCAGGTTATCTGGTGGCAGAAATATGCCACCATACAAAACAATACATTTTTGTCATCATTTACACCTGTATACTTACAGATTCATCATAGATAGAATCCAGATCGTCACTTATACTGCTAAACCAAGTCATTTTCCTCGTTAAAAAACTCTTAATCAATATTCTTAAAAACTTCCTTTTCCATAAAATCTCGTCCCCCTCAAAATTTCAATTTTCCAATCCTGAACATGATAATATATACATTTCACATTGTTATGTCAAGTCCTATAGATATACATTTTGACTATATCTAGCCTCTACCCAAAACACTTTCACTTCTAAATGTCGACAAATTAAGAGTTTAATGTATTCACCAATGTAAAATCAATTTCTTCCATAATTTAGATATGGTCGGCCTGTATCTAATATCAATTTAAACAGGTTTATCAGTGATTTTTCCATGCAAGTAAACACTTTCATCTCGTCTCTTTCATTATTTTCAAGTGTCCCCGCTGATTTTCGTGTATAATATTTATTCTGGTAACCTATCAATACGGTAATGTACTTTTAAAATGTCATCCCACTCTGTAAGTATATGTCACTTTTCAATTTTTTTACTAGTATTTTCATCAACAAACAAATATTACTGTAGAATCAATGAACTTGGTGATCCCAAAATTTTATCGACTTTTGTGGTTAAATATGTCAATTGTTTATTTGTTTATTCTCCTTTTAAGAAATTTGACTGTGTAATAATCTATAAATTTAGTGATCTTGAAATTTATCAGCACTTATCCAGTCAATTGAAATTTTAAGATCTACTGTTGAAACAACGCCCTCCTCTCTATGAGTTGTAAATTAGCTCTTAAAATTTTACTATAATTTAATAATTCTTTTTTTTTTCTTTTTTTTTTTACAAAAAAAAAAGTGAGGTTAAAAAATGCAGAACAATATCCTTTTTATTTCATAATGCAAAGCCCTGGGTTATCAATCACAATACAGTCAAACCTGTCTTAAATGGGAGCAGTAACCCTCTAGTGGTTTAAGACTCTGGGTGTTAACCCAGTGGGTTCGAGTTCAACTTGGGTCACCACTATGTTTCCTGATATATTACCAGTATGTGTTAGTTCCTAGACAATGCGCACAGGGGATGAAAGGTGGTTGTTGTAAACAGGTGCTCTATTAATACAGGCCATTACAATGAGAAAATACGATTGTGGCCTTAATAAACTGGTTTCACTGTAGGGGATCTTAAACACATGTTAAGCTGTACATGTATTATAAAATCTTCAAATCAATTCAATTGAAATTTATCCTGTGATTTTTCACTGGTTTTAACAGATTTTGTTTGAACGATAGATCTTTATTTGACTTTGTGATAAATTTCGTTTTAAACATGACATACTGTAGATCTAACTTATCAATCTTTATTTGAACGGGATATCATTCTGTTATATAGTCCCAATGTCTTAATTTTCAGCTTTGAGCAAACACAAGGCACCAGTTTTAGATTATTACCGGCAAAACCCCTTTAACCCTTGATTAACTGTCATAGCTTAGGACATTAACTTATTTGACTGCCAGGTCTTAATATTAACTAATTAATCACTTAAATGGCAAAAAATTGAAAAATTGAATTAATAATTATAACTGTCACAGTGTGCAGCTATTGGGAAAATTGACGTTTACTGAAGATTTTGAATAAGCCTCAATGCAAATAGTATTATGCGAATATTTACAAATTTTATCAATAGTTTAACAGGCCGGCTACCCTAACTTATCAATAAAATGTGGGATATTCGAAAAACTAGAGATAAGTTGAAATAATCAATCGTAAAAGGAAAGAATTATTTGAACAGAGAGCCACACATGGTGAATTAACTGAAAAATGACAAACTCATATTTGACACACAATAAATGGAAGAAATTTAAGGTGAAGTCGGAGGGTTGGGGTGAAGGGGAGCAGGGAGTGGATTTGTTGAGACTTTTTAAGAGCTTAAAGCTAAAACATTTAGTAATTCCATTCCAATGATCTTGACAACTTTCTGATAAAAAAATTCTTTTCCTTCACATTTTTAAAAAAAAAGAAAATAATTTTCCTTTATTACTTTTCCACACTAAAGCATAAATTATTTTGCAATTTTAATTTCCTTATAATTGTAGCAACTTTTTACCTTATTTTAGAACAAGAGCTGTCCGTAAGACAGCGCGCTCGACTTTTTTATTGCTTGCCAATAAAAAAAGTTTTTGCAGTAAAAGGCAATACAAGAATCTCTGTATTTTTAAAGTGAACTAGTTGTTTGATACCCTTGAATATTACAGCAATGTTTATATGACATAATTTATGGTAAAGTGAACAAGTGGATAGGAATGAATTTTTTTAGATTTTTTAAGTTTTTTAGTGCTTGCCTATAATACAAAACATTGACAGTTAAGGGCCATAATTCAAATAAAATCTTTGACAGAATTACCTTCTCCTGGACATGTTTGGGAATCATGATTGTAAACAAGTATTCCAACTTTCAAATTAATATCTCAAACAGTTCAGTCAAAAAGTGGACTGGTACTAAAAAACTTAACCAAGATTCTAAGTCGATAAAAGGCCTTAATTTTTAAAACAAATCCTTGACAGAGTTACTTCTCTTGCGTACAGATAGGGGTAATGATGTGAAATAGCATTAAAAGTTTCAAAGCAATATCTCAAAGGGTTAAGGCAATAAGTGGATTTTACCCATATTCAATGTATTTTCTAAGTCAAAAAGGGGCATAATTCTGTCAAAAACCTTGACAGAGTTATGTCCTCTGTCTGTTGATGAAGGTCGTGATGGTAAACAAGTATGGTCAGTTTCAAAGCAATACCTCCAATGGTTTTGAAAAAAAGTGAGGTGGTACAAAAAACTTAACCAAGCTCAATACACTTTCTAAGTCAAAAAAGGGCCATAATTCTGTCAAAAACCTTGACAGAGTTATGTACTCTTGTCTGTAGATGGAGGTTATGATGGTGAACAAGTATGGTAAGTTTCAAAGCCATACTTGTAATACTTCTGAAATAAAGTGGGGTGGTACGAAAAACTTAACCAAGGTGTGACGCCAACGCCGACGCCAACGCCGACGCCGACGCCGGGGCGAGTAGGATAGCTCCCCTTTTCATAGAAAAGTCGAGCTAAAAATAGGTTACACGAAATTACATATTTTTATCAATCCACAGTACTAGCTTTCAATAGGTTTATCCCCCTATATGTATCATATTTCTAAAAAAAACAGTAATGATTATGCCTACCGTATTATAAAACATCAATAATAATTAATCCATTTTACATTAAACCCCCATTTACCATATAAAAACCTATTCAAATTCACAGGAAATGAAAGAAAAAAGATCTGTAGAAAAAAATTTGTCAATCAGCACTCCTAAATGTATTTCTCTATCACATATTCCGAAGTAAAACACAAATCTTTTAAGAAATTATTTCCGACCATTTTCTATATACCCCAAGAATAAATCCATTGATTAAGCACTTGACATGCACCGTGGACGTTATTCTGTCAATATCACATTTACCCTACGTCTATCGTCGTGTCTAAAAGCGAGCTTACGGCTATTGTCAATTATTTTCGATTTTTTCACATTGAATTGGTTGTAAAGTCTACTGTCATTTTAACAGTTTAATGTAATATTTTATTGGGAGTATTAGATTATACATTTTGATATTATTGATCTTTATGTTTATAGATATATATGTATAGATATATAATTTGAAGAAGAGTTTAATGTATGAAAACAAATTCGTTAACAACTATTGTATTGGTGTTACATTATCTCTTTTCAATAATCTTCCCTTTCTAGGATTCACAATATCTTTAATTTATGTCAAAGCTGCATGCCTTCACAATGATGAGCAAACATTAGGTTCTTTAACCCTAACTACACTAACTACCCTAAATATCTTAAATGAACTTGTCCATATTTCAATCTGGACATAACCATTTATCATTTTTAGGGAAAATTAAAAAAAATATGTACTGGTTTAAAATTGAACAGTGCAGACCATGATCAGATGGCACAGATGTGCCAGCTGATTTTGGTCTGCACTGGTTGCCAGCAGAAAAAAGGTTAAAAAAATTGTTTATATTTAAGAAATGAGAAAAGTTCAAGATAGAGTCACTAGACATTTCAATAACCTTTTCTACAGTATAACAATTACTAAAACTGATGCAAAATTTTAAGATTCCAATGGAATTAAATTATCTAATTATTTACAATTATTTCTAAAAAGAAAGCCATTAATTTAACTATTTTCATTATCAAATCTTGAAAAAGCCAAGTGTTCAAAAAATGATAGGGCTAACTGAAATTAAAATTTTTCACAAAGTAAAATACATGTTGATTCTACTTTAAACAACTTACCATTTTCACGACTGGTTTTGTCCGGATCTTTTTCGCTCGACTTGCATATCTCAATGTGTTCATAGTCTCTGGAGCATGATATGATGAAGGTGTAATACAACATATCTGTAATACAATAACATACATATTGCATGATATATCATACAGTAACAACATATCTGTACTACAATATCATACATATTGTATGATTTATCATACAGTAGCAAAATATATGTAATACAATAACATACATATTGCATATACTGTATGACATATGTATATATTATACAGTTAACAATTGGAGCCTATTGTATAAGTACACTAACATACATACTGCATAAATCATACAGTAAACAATGGGAGCATGGTATACAACATATCTGCAGTATATAAAATAAAACACTTATTGCATGATATATTATACATTAATTGTATCTAGGGAACCAATACATAAAAGCACTTGCCTTAAAGGAAAAGACCCTTCCTTTATCTTGCTTTTTAAAAAATGTTATGTATAAATATTGGCAGGTGTTGATTAGGCATAATATTTGAAGACTGTTTGCTTTCTGTCAAACTGAATTGAAAGACCATTCCTATATATTCATCATGGAAACTAAGCTATTTGCACAATCCTATGGGCATTGCTTCAATTATCAACATTTCATAAATTTTGTTCCCTATTTTCATCTGGAACCAATTTAATGAAGTTGATGATCAAACAATTCAAGTGTGTGAAATATTTAAAGGACAAGAACTGTCGGAGGACAGTATTGGCTCGACTATTCAAAATGTTGTCACAAGGGTGATTTATTGAGTATAATAATGCTAGTTACCTATGAATACATAAAATTGACTGAAAAGGTACATAGGCTTGTTATAAAGATGTTTTATCAAGTAAATCACTGCTTTATTATTATGAATGCATAAAAATGTCCCCAAAAAGGCACAAACTCTTCAGTAGTTATGGAGAGAACAGCTTACAAGCAAAATTTTACAATGAATTTTTAAGTTGAAAAAGGGGAGAAAAATCAGCCTAAATGCAAGATAGAATTATGGATCTTGGTCAGTGACCTACAATTATGATTCTAAATGCATATGTGAAGTTTTAAATAAATATCTTTAATAGTTATTGAGATATGTAATACTTGCATGTAAACATTAACCAATAGACTAAGTAGAAAAGGGGAGATGAATCAGCCTAAATGCGAGTAGAGTTATGGAACTTGGTCAGTGACATACAATTATGACTCTCCAATTATGACCCTAAGCACATGTGTAAAGTTTCAAGTAAATATCTTTGAAGTTTCAAAGGGGCAAATAATTCTGCAAATATTGCAATCAGAGTTATGCAATTTTGCAAACTGATGTACATTGTTACTATAAAAAAGTATTGTAAATTTCAATTGAATATCTAAAGCAATTATTGAGATATTTGACTTTACAAAAAAAAGCATTAACCAAATTTCTAAGTTATAAAGGGGGCATAATTCTGTAAATATTTATAGGCAAAGTTATTCAACTTGTCAATATATGATGAGCATTGTTACTATCAATAAGTATTGTAAGTTTCAATTGAATATCTCAAGCAATAATTGAGATATTTGAATCTACAAAACTTTAACCAAAATTCTAAGTTGAAAAGGGGCATAATTCTGTAAATATTGTAGGCAGAGTTATCGAACTTGTCAATCTGATGTATATTGTTACTATAAATAAGTATTGTAAGTTTCAATTGAATATCTCAAGCAATAATTGAGATATTTGAATTTACAAAAAACTTTAACCAAAATTTCTAAGTTAAAAAGGGGCATAATTCTGTCAATATTGTAGGCAGAGTTATCCAACTTGTCAATCTGATGTATATTGTTACTATAAATAAGTATTGTAAGTTTCAATTGAATATCTCAAGCAATAATTGAAATATTTTAATTTACAAAAAACTTTAACCAACGCAGACGCCGACGCGGACGCTGACGCCGACGCCGACGCGACTACAATAGCTCTCATATTCTTCGAATAGTCGAGCTAAAAATGACATTTTACCATTCTACTTGAACTAATTGGAACCAATTAGTAATTTACACTGACTGGATAGTCAATAAAGAAACAAAGCATACACTGAAACAAAGCAACTTTTCTAGGTAATATCTAAGTAAATACTTGATATTCATCTGAACATCCTTCACTGTCATTGGTCAATTTCTGCTTCTGGTCAATTTTCAACTTTAACCTAATCCATTTGCCAAGCTTTGACTTTGGGACAGCCCATTCTAAGTTCAATGTAAGTCGGTAATTGTATTATGATGACAAATCTACAGCTATTATAACCCTAAAATTTCAGTGCATAATTCTAAGTTAAAACTTAAAAATGACCACCGACTTATTCAAAATCATAACTTTAAACTGACCAGTGGCTTTTTTTAGGTAAAACTTATTTTGATCCCACTGACAAATTCTTAATCAAATAGACCACTAGCTAATTTTCAGATAAAGCTGAAATTGACCACCAGTTAGCAAATTAAGTTATATAAAATTATATATTTAAAATATTCAAAATGGTTATTTTGACATGCAAAGCCCTATGGCACTTAAGTTAACACAATCGTCTGATGGTTTAACCTACATTGGTCGAACCTACATCGTACAGTTTATCAATCAATACGTGATGAGACGTGATGAGATGGCATACTATAAAGGAAGGACTCGGTCAAACTGTCTCAACATTCACAAGTCACTCAATCTGCCACCAAAGATAAGACAAAATATGATTCAGGAAGAGGTAACACATACTTCTATCATGACCACGTCATAACCCAGACAGTCACATAGATAAAAACAAAAATTCAACTCCACACCTGATTATAGATAGAGTCAAAGTCAAAGACTAATTTGTTCCCTTTCTTAACAAGTGTTGCCATATGTTTCCTTATGATTATAACACGTCATAGATAAACATAGGAAAATTAACACAATATGTCAAGGATTAAAGTGTTAAGAAACAATAAATGAATATGTGAAATTTCATCAGCTTAATTTACAGCCCGTGATATTTGAGAAGGGGAAAAAAAAGGACCATGGATTTAATTCATCAAATGTGCCACAGTTTTCATATTATTATAGGCAGAATGAAAACGACATCGTTCTAAGATCAAGCAAAGTTTAAAAATTCTATTTAGCAAAGGTTCATAAAATGGAAAGGAGCATAAGAGCAGTAGGGAACAATATGAATCCCCCTTCACAGGCCCCCCCCCCCCCCAAACAAAGCCAAGTAGAAAAGATAACATTTAACTGTCAGGATAGACGTGTCCTATTTTAAATTAAGTAATTGTCCATTAGATGTTAAAGGGATATTGATATTATAATGAGATTATCATTATTAAAGCAACAAACTGTATCTGGTCAGCCTCCTTAGATTTACATTTATTTTGAGTCACAGGGGACCAAAATCAATTGTTTCATATTGCTCAATAGTTGTCCCGCAGCCTGCACAGACAGGTAAATTTTTTTCAAGAATTAAATTTATAAAAATGCATACAGACACGTTAAAAAAATCTTCAGATCTAACAGACAATAAGGTCAACATCAGATTTTGTTGGCCCTGGTGAAATTATAGACATATTGCTAATTCAACTTACATTTAAAGAAACAAGTAAATACATGACTGTAACATGTTAGGTTTATTGAAAAATGGGACTGAAATATATAAATCTGTATTCCTTATTTGCCTTTATCTATTTTTACAACCTTTCGCCAAAAAAAAACATGTGTCAACTTCTTTAAAAAATTTCATCCATGGCTTAAGTAAACACGCATTTAATCTTTTAAACACATTTCAACTCATATCTTTCGTAAATCGTCCTTTTCCTAATACTTTACTGGCTTTGATAGAATGCCCACCCTGTCATGTGATTATTTCAAATATAGGATAAGCCTATGAATCAATGTTGCAGTAGATTGAGTGCAAACACATCAAATCTTTCATCTTAAAAACTGGAACTAATTGAGTATGATTGATCAAAAACCGATTAAAAATTTGATTTTAATGCATGAAGCATATTTGCTTATATACGCACTGATTCTAAGTGTCAATAACCTAAAAAGTACATCTCACTAGTGTTAATAACCTAAATAAGTTTGACTTGTCCCAATAACCTCAATAAACCTGTTCTCTGTAAATAAATTGTGTCAATGTAACAAACCATTATAAATCTGATTTGTGTCAACATAAACCCCTATAAATCTGACTTGTGTCAACATAAACCCCTATAAATCTGACTTGTGTCAATATAAACCCCTATATCTGACTTGTATCACTATAAGCCCTTATAAATATGACTTGTATCAATATAAACCCATATTTTCTGACTTGTGTCAATATAAACCCGTAAAGATAGGACTTGTCTCAATATAAGCCCCTATATATGACTTGTATCAATATAAGCCCCTATAAATATGAATTGTATCAATGTAAGCCCCTATAAATATGACTTGTATCAATATAAGCTCCTATAAATATGACTTGTATCAATATAAACCCCTATAATCTGACTTGTATCAATATAAACCCCTATAATCTGACTTGTATCAATATAAACCCCTATAATCTGACTTGCCTCAATATAAACCCATATAATCTGACTTGTGTCAATATAAACCCCCATATAATCTGACTTGTGTCAATATAAACCCCTATAATCTAACTTGTGTCAATATAAACCCTTATAAATCTAACTTGTGTCATCATAAATTCCTATTATCTGACTTGTATCAATATATTAGCCCTTATAAATATGACTTGTATTAATATAAGCCCATATTTTCTAACTTGTGTCCATATAAACCCCTATAAATATGACTTGTATCAATGTAAGCCCTATAAATATGACTTGTATCAATATAGGCCCCTATAAATATGACTTGTATCAATGTAAACCCCTCTAAATATGATTTGTGTCAATATAAGCCCCTATTTTCTGACTTGTGTCAATAAAAGCCCCTATAAATATGACTTGTATCAATATAAACCCCTATTATCTGACTTGTATCAATATAAGCCACTACAAATATGACTTGTATCAATATAAACCCCCTATCATCTGACTTGTGTCAATCTAGACCCCTATAAATCTGCCTTGCGTCAATATTAACCCTATTAATCTGACTTGCTTCAATATAACCTATTAATCTGATTTGCCTCAACATCACCTATTTATCTGACTTGCCTCAATGTAAACCCTTGTATTCTGACTTGTGTCAATATAAACCCTTATAATCTGACTTGTGTCAATATAAACCCCTATAAATTTGCCTTGTGTTAATGTAAACCCCTAAGAATTGTTGTTTAATTAATCCTTATGAAATCTTTAAATCTTGACACTGAAAGCAAGACAAATGTATGCCTATGAGATACCTCCATTCTTATTCTGGTGTAATGTTGGGGAATGGGTTTACAGATCCTTTTATGTTTATTTCAATACAACAAAATAGCAAATCTATATGATACAGTATTAACCAGTTTAAATCTTGCACAAAGTGTTTGTTTCAGGGCCATTTGCCTAACTTTTGTAATTTGTTTTACATTTTTTTCTAGCTGTTACATATATACTTTCCTAACTTTAAGAAATGATCTAGTTTTTGTCAAAGATAATTTATTGAAACCCCAGGTATGTAATAATCCTAACAGAATGTTGTCACACCTTACTTCTTTGATAAAGTCAATACAGAATATAAATCACTCTTCAAATCACCCTGAACAAGTTTTCAAATATTGATAACTAATTTTCATTTAATTAGCTTTAATCTGATTCTTGCAATACAGACATAGTAATAGCAAGTCGAGTATGAAGATATATATATTATTAAATACACCCTGTAATGTTGCTAAGCAACAAACGAGGAATGGGGCAGATACACATCTTTAATCACTCTGAATGTCACATAATTGCAAAAGAGGACAAAGGCTGACAACAATTTTCAGACAGCACAAATATTGAATGATGAACTAAATTACTGTTAAATTAACTTGTTAATTTGGTGTAATGAATTTGCTCTGCTTTTAGTTTTGTAACAGAACAGTCCAATCTAAAGGAAATTTGTAACAGTACATTTCAATCTAAAGGGAATTTGTAACAGTACATTCCAATCTAAAGGAAATTTGTAACAGTACATTCCAATCTTAAGGGAATTTGTAACAGTACATTCCAATCTTAAGGGAATTTGTAACAGTGCATTCCAATCTTAAGGGAATTTGTAACAGTACATTCCAATCTTAAGGGAATTTGTAACAGTACATTCCAATCTTAAGGGAATTTGTAACAGTACATTCCAATCTTAAGGGAACTTGTAACAGTACATTCCAATCTTAAGGGAATTTGTAACAGTACATTCCAATCTTAAGGGAATTTGTAACAGTACATTCCAATCTTAAGGGAATTTGTAACAGTACATTCCAATCTTAAGGGAACTTGTAACAGTACATTCCAATCTTAAGGGAATTTGTAACAGTACATTCCAATCTTAAGGGAATTTGTAACAGTACAGTCCAATCTTAAGGGAATTTGTAACAGTACATTCCAATCTTAAGGGAATTTGTAACAGTACATTCCAATCTTAAGGGAATTTCAATATTAAGGGAATTTGTAACAGTACATTCCAATCTTAAGGGAATTTCAATCTTAAGGGAATTTGTAACAGTACATTCTAATCTAAAGGGAATTCGTAACAGTTAATTCCAAATTTAAAGGAATTTGTAACAGTCAATTCCAGTCTTAAATGAAATTTGTAACAGTACATTCCAAACTTTAGGGGAATTTTGTAACAATACATTCCAATCTTAAGGGGGAATTAGTAACAGTCCATTCCAATCTAAAGGGATTTCAATAAAAAATATTGAGCTACCAACAGTATAGAGCCTGGTCAGACTGCACAGATGTGCAGGCTGGCCAGGCTCTATACTGGTGGCATAGGCTGATCAGTTTTGGCATGTTCAGGGTTTAGCATACATACCATCAAAGTGACTCCATTGCCGCCTAAACTATCTGCGAGTAGTTTTGTAAGTTTACTGTCTCTGTATGGTATATGACCTTGACGTCTTTTCTGATCTCCCAATGATGATATACAATTACCTGTAAAACATAACATATCTAAATAGTCATAAACTTTCAAATACAATGTGACTAAAATAGACATAAACTTACAAATACAACGTGACTAAAATAGACATAAACTTACAAATACAACGTGACTAAAATAGACATAAACTTACAAATACAACGTGACTAAAATAGACATAAACTTACAAATACAACGTGACTAAGAGACATAAACTTACAAATACAACGTGACTAAAATAGACATAAACTTACAAATACAACGTGACTAAAATAGACATAAATTTACAAATACCATGTGACTAAAATAGACATGAACTTACAAAAAAGATGTTTAAAATAGTCATTAACTTGATCAAATTTGATTGAACATAATTATTTAAAATTGTCTTTAACTTTCATTTAAAACATGTTTTCAATAGTTCAAAAATTTTACATAAGGGAATTTGATGGAACATGTTTAAAATTGTGTTAAACTTTCATATATAACATTTTCTGAATAGTTCAAAAGTTTCAAATCGAACAAGTTTTAAATAGTCATTTAACTTAAAAAGCTTTCATGTTACAAAAGAACATGTTTAAAGTAAATATAAAATTACAAACAGAACATGATTTCCAATAGAACACGTTTTAAGTTTTAAACAGTCATTCATGAACTTACAAACAAAACATGCTTTAACAGTCATAAACTTCAAAAAAGAACATGTTCAAACTTTCATCAAGTTATCTATCAATTGATGTTATGCCTTAACATTTCAACAAAGGCTATAGTAATTGTGAAAAATCTCACCTAGCACTAGAAGACTTTTATTGATACTGTTTGATTCCACTAAAGTATCTGCTGTTGAGTTGGAATCTTTTACCTTTTCACTACCTGAAATCACAACCAACAAAACATTTCTTATAGTTAGTTTATAGCTAAATTTTTGTAGTGTGGTGATGTTATCAACAACACAGTAAAGCCTGTGCCACAGTTATAAAGCCAGGCCTGAGCTTGTACAAAGTTAGCAGAATGAAAGGGTTATTATTTCATGACTGGCTGATTAATTTTTTTACATCTTGGTATCGTCATTCATTTAGCAATAAACAGCTTTAAATACATGTAGAATGGACATGGACAAATCTATGAAACTAAATTGTACCTAAATTGTACCTATTTCCAAAGTTAAAAAAAAATTCCTGTACCTGCAAGATCCACAAAAGTGAGTTTTCCACGTTTTGTGATGTACAGATTCTCATCATCCGGATCTTGCATCTCTGAATCTATAGTTAACATGAGCATACTGTGACTGCGACTAGAAAATTCATTTAAACCATGTGAACCAGTCTGTCTGTTCCTCATACCTGGAAATTAAAAAAATAAATTGTTTATTGTCTGTGTAAGATTACTAATCACATACCTTTCAATTTTGTGACAACCTAAAAAAGATATGGCACAGAATGCATACTTTTTTATGTCCCTTCATAAGAGTGACACAAATTTATTAGCATTAAGTCACCCTAAATGTTTGTGTGTCAATAAAATGAAAAAAAATAAAAATGTATTAATTGTAAGGTATATTTTATTTGTGATATTAATATGACAGTGTCATATTGATGTTTTTTGTTACATTATTTTGTAAACAATAACATACAATACATTTTACTTTATTGTATATAATGTTCAGCTACAGTTACTTGGCAACAGACAATGTATTTTGTTTATGCCACTAATATTTGAACTTGACTTAATTTGACAATAAATAAAAAGGACTATTAAAAAAACAAAAGAGATTTAGCTGTTATGTATCTAATAGGTAAGACATACACTTGACAAATTCCATAAGAAAAACATTAGAAAAGCAGGGAAACTTGCATATTATATCCATGTTTTAACTCCAAGATTCAAGATTTATTCAAAACCAAGGCATATAATATGCATAAGGTTATGATATATGAACAATATAATGAACAGTTATTCAAAAGTAATTAACAAAACATAGAAACATAAAATTATATAATAAGGAAATCAATTTGACTAACACATAACATTTGACTAGACTTTACTTTTTGGACATGATTTGTCTTATACAGAAGTTATCTAAATTGTTTCTATGTAAATGCATTCATAAAGTTGAGAAATTCATGACTTACGGGAGAATGAGTTATTTAAATTTTGAAATAATAATTTTGCAGAATAATGCAAGTTTTGATAAAATTGAATGGTCAAAGCTATTCATTAAAGATTCTAATTTATAAATATTAGGATGATTTGAGAATTTTGAATCAATAAACTTTTTACGAAGAGAGTTAAAAAAGCCCATTGATTAAAGGGAGGCAACTATTACACTACTACAGAATTGTCCTTATGTAAGACAAACAGAGTTGTCTACCATTTATCAAATATTTTAATACTGAGATACAACTATGACCAAAAAACAACAAAAAACCCTTATCATTTTGGTAAATTCATCACAGGAGAAAAACATGACAGCAAAGTTTAGGGATAAAAGACCAAAGTTCACCATTCCTTAACCTGCATTTAAAATCTTGTCAGCTACTCTGTTTGTAAATTTAAAATATTAACTTGTTCCTATTAAAATATCAATTAATAACAATTTTGATTTATGGGATGATCATTAGGCATGAGTGAGATCTCAGACAAAATATATTCCAATGTCTTTTATATTACCAAGGAGAATAAATCAGATAAGATCTCAATTATTTATTTTTATTTCATTATTTGGAATAAATTGGCCTATATAAAGAAATGATGATCATTTACTATTTTATTCAGGCAATTTTTTCATTAATAACCAAATAAACCCAATTAAATGGAATGGACTCTTCATTTGGTTTGGAAAAGTTCATTATTATCTGTAGAGATATATATTGACGCAAAATTTGGACTACGAAAAGTCTGGTTACGCTGCATGGATTGGTTGGCAAAGGCCTTGGTTTTAGAATTGTGCAGTATGAAATTGTTTTTTATTCAAAGGTATAAGAAAATAAGCAAATAATATGATTATTACAATTATTAAAGTGTGTGTCTCTTTTCTCAGAAATGTACACAAAATGACTTAACAAAAGATCTGTAACATCTTGGTATTTTGTTCAAAAATTTCAAACCACCAACAAAATTTTGCATTGCATTTCTAGTGGTTGTATTGGTATTCCATGGACATATTTTCCCAAAATGATGTCATTTATAGCCCAATAAGCATTTTTTTGCCTCATATTGCTTAATAAGATGGCTTAAAACAATTATTGCCTCTTAAAAGTATTATAGCTAATTACTGTCATCATTAAATTAATTCTAGTAGAAATAAAGTACATGAAAATGTCACGATCGTAATAATGATCAATTTGAAACAAAACCTTGAAATTGATACAAGAATAGTATACGAGGCACTAACAATAATCAACAGCATTTAACAACAGAAATAACAACATGAGAATGATTATTTCATGATTATTGGCATGGCCGTGATACAATCGCCATTTTCAGCTCCACTGCTCGCGTATTGATCAGAATCTATTAATCGATCTATAAGACTGTAAACCCATTCATGCTGTCGGAGGATTATTTATTTCAAACAATGCTTAGTTCATATATAATTAGTGTGCATTTCCCCAGCGCTTAACCAGGTATAAACGTTGTTTTTTTCCCTCCCCTTCGGAGACTGCGGATAAATCACGACATATCGATTACCATCGGTTCTTTCGTGTATCAATACAAAAATCTTAATAGGGTGTTTTAACGATCAATAAAATCATATTGGAATGCTAGTGTCACGTCTTGAACTAGACTATTAACCATTACTGACCGCAATCACTGTCCTTTTGATATAATAATACTGAAATAAATTTGTTCAAAAGTCAAATAATGCTATAAATTGAAATCATTATTATTGTATCGATAACTAAAGAAGAAAGAAGGTCAAAAGTTCATTCTATTTTTCATATACCATTACTGTTTGTTTGTCCTGGGGAAGTGTACAGTCAAATGTGTACAGTCAAATAAACCGCTATGAATCTTTCTTTTTATCTTGTTCCGGTCCTTGTCCATTGTCACAGAAAAAAATTCAAAATAATGATTTCAATATATTTGATATTCTGCAGGTCAAATCTTTTTCTATGTGAGTGCTGAAGTATGTGTGAATATCAGCTTGTGAATGTCACTAATTTCATGCTCGGCCAGCATGCAGATTCTTTTTAGTCAAAGAAATTTTCTCAATTGTCTTATTTTAAACAAGATTTTAATATTTCATTACATGGTATTATAACCTTTTATTTATGACATCAACCTAGTGTCATAATCCATGACATGCTTTCATCATCTTTTACTTATGACATCATCCTACAGGTATCATAATTCATTACAGACTTTCATTGTTTTTTATATTAATGACATCAACCCAGTGTCATAATTCATTACATGCTTTCATAATTTTTCATTTATGACATCATTCCAGTGTCATAATTCATGACACTCATCCTTTCATCATTTTTTTTTTATTTATGACATCCACCCAGTGTCATAATTAATGACATGCTTTCAGCATTTTTTCTAAAATAAATCTATTTATGACATCAACGTGGTGTCATTATTGGTAATTTGTTCAGGTAATCATCATATAATTACAAAAAAAACCATCTTTTAGCAGTACAAGACAAACATTGTTTCCATGAAATATTGAAATTGTAATTCATTTTTTGCTTCAATGTCATACAGAAACTGCAAACTATATTTGTTCAACAATGACAGATAAACAAACAGATCCTTTTGTCGTTCTCTAGGAAGTCTGACAAAACCAAGATACGAACAATTTAAATGATACAGTCTTGTAAATAAATACATCAGAATGTAAAAAAGACACTTGAAAATGTCCCGACATGATTCAGACAATATAATCTTAAATGTTTTGTTTGATCTGTAACAATGATTTGTAGTCGATCATAGTTTAATACCAGATTTAGATTTATATTGTCAATTATTAATGACTTCAGATCTTGCATGTTAGTTAAATCTTATATTACATTAACCTGTACCTACCTAAATATTTTAGAATAGACTTGGTCCATTTTTTCAGTATGGACTAAATAAACCATTCATCATTTTAGGGAGATATTTCAAAATATACATGGACTGAATTGCAAACAGTGACCAGATTGCAAAGATGTGCAGTCTGATCTTGATCCGCAGCTGCATAATTGGTAGATTCAGTGGCTGCCAGCAAGATAAGGGTTAAAACATATCTTTAAATTGCTAGTAAATAATGTATTGTATCTTCACACCATTTCTAAATCTTACATGTTTAATTGAATATAGTCATATTGAGCAAAATTCATAAGTAGTTTACAGGAATTAACTAACAGAGGGATGTTGTATCTTACCGAACTTCAACTTGCCTTTGTGCTTTTTAGTTGCCTTGAATATTGAAGGGAGGCAGTGGGTACATACTGAACATATAAATGCAGGGTGCAAACTGAATAAGGGCATCCGTGGCATGTTAATACCTTGATGCAGAGAGAGGGGATAAGGGCACCTGTGGCGTAATGATAACTTGATGCAGAGTGGTGATCAGGGCATCTGGAATAAGTTGATAACTTGATGCAGGGAAGGGGATTTGGGCATCTGTGGCGTAATGATAACTTGATGCAGAGTGGTGATCAGGGCATCTGGAATAAGTTGATAACTTGATGCAGGGAAGGGGATTTGGGCATCTGTGGCGTAATGATAACTTGATGCAGGTAGAGGAGATCAGGGCCTTGAGAACAAGTTGTTAACTTGATTACTTGATGCAAGGAAGGGGATCAAGGCATTTGGAACATGTTGGTAACTTAATACAAGGAGGGAGTTCAGGATGTTAATAACAGTCTCTTTCAGTATAAGTTTAACAGGACCATATCACTCAAACCATCTCAAAAACGAAGAATATTATCATTCCAGCCCAATATACTATGCCTTTATTATTATAGCAAATATCAACCCATGAGTAAAACCACCTTTAGATAAACAGAACCTTTCAGCTCAATAAAATTGAAGTATTTTTTGACAAATCTTTCATTTGACAATTTCACCTGAAAGTATTTTAGATTGCAAGTTTGACAATAATCCAAAAGAGGGTGAACTTGGTATATTGACATTACACACTAAAGGCAATACAATATTATTGAAGGTTTAAGTTTAACAAGTATTGTACAGCTTAATATCAGTTCATGTTAACAAACTGGGCAGCCAGGTCAAGTTAATCATCGATTTTTAAAGACTTTTATGCATTTTTTCATGTATAAATTTAATCTGCAAATGACTTAAATAGTTTTGATTTGAATGAGCCAACATAAAACAACCTTCAAGGGAGAGAACTTCACATACGTTTTGATATAGATACATTATATATTCTGCCTTTAGTATCAGAGAAAATAAAACTGTTAAAGGGAGATATCAATAGCTTCAAGCTTTTTTTTTTTTGGGAGAAGTCTGAAAACGACTACCGGTATGTGTTATCTAAATAAGTTAGGCCTGTATAAAAGGTATCTTTTAATCCAGTTGGATTGAGTCTATCCTCTAACAAAGAAAATCTAAACATAAAGAATTCAATACCTTCATTATCATTTTCTTCAGCCTGTTCAGGTATGTTTTTCATCTTATCTGGGTTAGGCAATCCAACTTGTACATCATTAATGTCTAACCTCATTGGACCTATTTTCTCCCCATTATCTGTTAGTAGATAACAAACATATAACTCATTCCCATCCATCTCTGTTTCAACATCATCTAGATTCAGATCATCTATATCAATTTCATCAGCTGTAACATCATCTTTGTTATCCGTAGGTCCTTGACTATCAATTGTTCTCTCTCTTTTCCTCTCTTCTCTTTTTTCCTTGATCTTTTCCAATGTTTTCTCTCTTATTCTCTCCCTCATTTGTTCAACAGAATCTGGACCTTTGATTTTAGTGATATCAGGACTTTCTGTTCTTCTTTCTATATGTTTTGGTGGTTCATCTCTCAATGATGGACTTCTTTCATTTCCATACACATCATCTGTTTTCCTCCAAGGTGATCTCCTATCCTCTTCTATTTCATGCTTATTTGAATTGGAAGACAAAAACTTAACTTTCTCACTTTTTTCATAAGGATCTTGTGATCTATTTTTTGCACTACCTTTATCCGTTTTACTTAGCTCATCATCTTCAGACTGCTTTATTGACAGTTCTTGGACTGGTGTCATCATCTCACCATTTCTGAAATCATGTTTAGGTCTAGTATAAGTGTCATTACCCTCTGTATAACTTGCTGTGACACTTGCTGGATTCCCTTGCCTCTCTGGCTCATCAAAAAACTTGTTCAAATCATCAGTAGATTTCCCTCCATTTTTACTTTCTAATTTAGTCTCATAGGTTGGGGGTTTTCCCAAATTTTCTCTATACTCATTCATAGAGCCTTTAGATTTTTCCTGACCAATTGGAGTTTGTCTAGAATAACCTGGTGGAGAACCTTTGTTTTGCATTTCTTTCTCATTTGAATTTCTACTATACTGAGTTTTTGCACTCTTGTCTCTATAAACAAGTTCTGTTGATGAAGGTGGTATGCTCTCAGGCAAAGGTTCACTTCTTTCAGACATATCTGATTTTCTCATTTCACTTCTTGAATTTTCACTTTTATTTCTCAATACATACTGCACTTTTTCATCTTTATTTCTAGGTTTATCCATTGTATGTCTCCCATGGTCATCTCTTTCAACAGGTTTTGCATCATTTAATCTATAAGAACCTCGTGTATTCTCATTATATCTATCTCTTTCTCTGTCTGGTTCATACATTGAGGTCACAGGACCTCTTTCATATTTTCCTATTCTTTCAAAGTCTCTTCTGTCCCTTTCAATGTCATTGTTTCTATAGTCTCTATCTCTTCTGTTTCGTTCATCAAAGTCTCTTCTATTCTCTCTATCCCTGTTAAAGTCCCTTCTTTCTCTTTCATATCTTGGATCATACTCCCTGTTTCCAGCCTGCTCAGGACCTTTAGATATTTGATCACTGTAACGGTCTCTACCGCGAATATTGTCTGGTAAATTATAAGACCTGTTTGAAAACCTATCCGGATCATTTGGTCGATATGTGATCTCCCCATCACCTCTGTATGGTGACTGCCCAACAGCTCTGTAAGTATCTCCTCCACCTCTCTGAGGTTCATTTCTGTATCCCCCAGTCCTGTATGTACCCCCTTGACCTCTGTATGTATCCATGGCAACCGGTGACCTGGATGGCTTCTCCAGTTGTCTTTTTATCCAAGAGTCTTCTCTGTCTAAATTCATATTGAGCCTTATTTCTGATCTTGTCTTTTGAGCATAAAAGTCCACTTGGTATTGGTTATCAAACTTTGGCACAGCTTTTGATGACCTCTGACTTGTTGAATCTTGAGTAATAAAAGCTTCTTTTACTTCAGTTTTCTTCAATGATTTTGCCTCTTTCTCAAGTCTCTCTAATCTTGCTTTTTGAGCAAGATATCCTTCAGGAGATAATCGTGGTTTTTCACCATTTAAATTGTCATCTATGTGTGGTCCAGGATCTGAAAAAAGAGTACGAGATTTATGTCTTTCATCACTTTCCTCTACGTTTCTTACATAAGGATGCCCTGCCCTGTTTGTTTCCTTTGACTCGGGATCAACATCAAAATATTTGCTTTCTAAAACAGACTGTTCATGTTCCTCCTTTTCTTTTAGAAGTCTTTCACTAATAGGATTGCCTGTTACTCTATATGTGTTAAGAACTGGAGGACCACCTTGAGTTTCTGCAACCACTGTATCTAAACCTGGCACTGGTCCAACAAAGGCTTCTGGAGCATGAGTGGTTGGATGGGGTCCGTGTTGGAAAATTTTACCATGTGAACCTGGTATTGTACTCTTATAGACCTCATCTACTGGAACTGGACCAGTTTCTTTCACCACATGTTGAACAGGTTGGTTTCCTCCGGCATATGATGGGAGATAAACAGGAATGTCTGCAACAATATGTCGTCTGCTGACAGGGTTCCCGCCATGAACTGGTATTCCTACACTGACAGTCTGTGTCCTACTTGAGAGTTGAGAACTTGGTCCTTGAGGTTTAACAGTAAAATCCCCAATAGTGAATCTGTCAATATTTTCTAACTTCTCTAATCTAGCTTCGGCCTGGAGTTCCCTTTTATGTAAAATCTCACTTTCTTGACCAAGAAATGATCTTGGAGGCACATTACTCTCTCTGAAACTCAAATTATCACTATGCCTTTCTCTGGCCCCTTTTGTGATGCCAGGATAAAGAGATTCCTTTGTTAAAACTGTAACGGGTTCTCTTTTACCCAAGTCTTTCTTTGTCACTTTCACTGGCACTGTAGGTTCATCCTTACGTTCAGTCGGGAATGACATTCCATGCTTTCCAGCCAGCATTTCATCAAGTTCATGATATAGTTTCTGATTTTTGTCATTTTCAAACTTTAGTTTATCTTTAAATGTTAAAGTTTTCTCAGCAAAAGCATCTGTTTTTTGCGGTTCAACTTTTCCTGCTGTTTTATTTCCACCTGTATTCAAATTCTGATTACTAGCATTTACATTCTTCCCGCTGAAAACGTTTACTTTATTCCTTCCTCTTTTAATTCCTAAATCTTCTTTCTCAACTTTCACATTCTTTCCTTTCCCACTCTTACTTCCATCCTTTGATTCTTTTAAATTCAAATCGTTACTACCACGTGCTAAAGCAACGTCTAAGTATTGGGGTTTACGTTTATTGCCCACCAATATTGTACGATCGACTGGTTTATCTATACGAGAAGTATACCTCGTTGTTCTGGCATGCTCCGTTTTAAGCATGTTTAGTTTTCATCAATACACTCAAAGTAGTATTTGTCAATTATGTTTATTTCTTTTAAAAAGGTCAATAATGGTCGTAAATCCGCACAGCACTGTACAAACACCGATATATAATCGTAAGTATACCAAGGAGAGAGTTTAACAAACAGATTCAAAAAATAATTAACATGGCCCGAATAGGGTATTTAAACACAATTTGCAAAGTTATTATCATAAGATATTAATCTGAATTCCTAAGTCATTTATTTTACGATCAGTTTGATCTGTAGATAAGCTGAATTTTCTTTACGACATAATAATAAAAGCTTGAATAAAAACAATTTAATACAGCAACTCCGTCAGACCAATTGAATAGAACAATAACAGCTTGAAACATCTAGGGCCGATTCTTTTCTTCAATATAATAAATATGTACAACTATTTCAGTATCTTGGTACAGGAACTATTTTCCTGAATATTATTTGTTATTGGCAATTTGCAGTATTCTATTCGTATATCGACATTCAAAATTCAAACATTCCTCTGATCCTGATTAAATGTGAAGCACCACACTTGAAAATGTCAGGAATACTTTCATCTCATGTTTCCTCGATCTCAAAAACAAATCTTAAACACTTCAAAGACTAGTTACACGCTACTCATGAGCCAAAGTTCATTCCACGTTATTGTATAATATCTTTTTTATATCCTCAAGATTGCATTATAAACTATACCAACTGACAACCGAGCTTTAATGAGCTTTTTTATTACTTTCTCATTTCACAGGACGTAATTTCTTCTACAGTAAAAGTTTATCGTCTTGCATTCTTTTTATGGTTAAGGATATTACATTTTTTTCTTTATTGAATTTTTAAATTCATTCTAACTCCCATAATCGTTGCTGTTCCCTTATTACAAGCATATTGAACATATGCCTCCTGTAAACCAAACTGTTTTAAATATTGATAGTAATTCCATTCAAAATAATACAAACTCCTCTAAAATTAATGTCCTTTCCTTATTTTGTTTTATTTTATTTTTTTTTTTTTAATAGTTTATTAATGCACTTGCATGAACGCAAAATACATCCAGACTTATTTTACTTCATAAATTATTCCTCCATTTATGTACAGAAAACATATTTTGCTAATTATTATTGTCGGTGACATTGTATCCAAGTTTTTGTTCTTTTTGTTTTCAATCCAAACTCAGAGTTTCACTTTCAACAGTCTTTTCAAAACAAATGAATGCTTCACTAATTCTAATTGAAAACGTTACAAAAGAATCAAAATTGGCCGAACTCAAAACAAAGATAGTTTTTCCGTTTATTTTAAAGGCTAGAAATATTTAATGTAAGGTAATCCCTCTATTCCACACCAATCTTCTAAATTAAGTCATTAGAGTAAGTAAAAACAACCATCTTTACTGCCAGTTATGATCTCTAACTAAATTTGTGTTTTCGTTTGACGAAATTTTTTTTTTTTCAAATTTCTTTGTCAAAACTAAAAATCAAGCACATCCGAACACAACAGGCATTGAATATTAGCCATACAAATTTTAGTCTAAATATCTCTCTAATCAAATTGAATTTTTCTCTCTCTATATTTATGCCTTTGTTAAACATCCTGAATTCAAGATTGAGAACCATAGATTATAGTGTATATTCAACATTAATTTTATATTTCATATTTATATGGAAGCCTTTTAACAAAAGACGAACCAAGTATCTCTTGACGACTGCCTTTTATGGCATGTTTGTTTAGACTACAATTTTGTACAACAGTAAGGGGTCATATATTACCCTCTCTAAGAACCTATGGGAGAAAATGATACAGTTACCAAGTCCCATTATATACCCAGACTTGAGTAATAAAACGTCACAAAATAACCTTTTAAAAGACTAAACAAAGCAGAATAAATAAATGCATATTAACTTGAGTCCTAAGCTAGAGAATACATTTGAAATTTAATAGATGAATTCAAAAACGGCTAAGTATACATTTACTTAACACGGCAGGACCGACGTATAAATCCAGCAATGGTTGTAATGGAATTGTGATCCTTATACAATAATAATCATTGTTTCATAAAGTCATATTAAATTTTTAGATTATTTACTTTGTATTTAAACGTGTATTTAGACATTACGGGTATCAAACAATTTCCTGTATGAAGATAGAGATCAAAGATATTATTGTATTCAAAATAATGAATCTACCCCATATGATGAATTTGTGTAATGGAATTGCCCTGCTCTATATTTGGAACAGTCCATTCAAAGTTTAAGGGATTTCTATATCAAAATGCTAAAAACTGAGTTGGCCTGGACAGACTGCATGGAGGTATAGTCTAGCCTGGCTCTATACTGGTGGCAAAGGCTTATCACTTTCTGTTACAGCAAATTAAAGGTACTCCACTTGGGTTTTTTGACATGATGGGACTGATAATATTTTTTCCAGATAAATGTACCATTTGATTTAGGTTTAGACCACTAATCTTTGTGCAAAGTTTCAGATCATTCGCACACTTTCTTATTCCAGAATAATTATTCAAATTGTAAAAAAATGGCCAAAAATGAAAAGCGTTTAAACGCTTTTCACTCAAAACGGGCTAAGAAAAGCATAAAAATACAATTTTCAATTTATTTTAAAGTATATTCCTTAACTATCTTTGAATATATTTCTGTTTAAAGTGCCCCAGCTTATTCATGTAAGACATTCAAATGTTATGCTTTTAGGCTTTTAAACCTCAGTGGAGTCCCTTTAACTTGGCAACCTAAAGCAAGAATGCCTACTTACATAAGGGGGAGGCCATAATGATATTACAATTTACTGACAAGAAAGGATGGTGTTGTCCATAAAAATGAAGGTTATCAAAAGGCACTTAAAAAAGATCTGCAAGTATAGAGCTAAGCTAGCATGCATACCTATGTAACTCTATAATGCTAAATGCTTGATTTACATATTTTGAAATCTCTTTAACTTACATGAATAATTCAAAATTAAAAGGCCAGCCTAGGTCTATTAAGACAATACTCAACAGTGCTTTTTGACACTCATGAAAATATCTTAAAATGTTTTGTCTAAGAAAAAAGCTCATTAACAATTTATTACTCCAATATAAAATGTATTACTGTATCATAGTTTACATATCATAAAAATGCCAACTCGGACAAGAACAATAAATCTAGTAAACATGTCAAACAAACAGAAATTCATTGGTTCCCTTGTATATAAAATCATCTATAAAATCATCAAAGGGAGGTAAATGTTGCATGCCTAATACAAGAAATTCAAGGGAGGTAATATGACTATATACAATACATATCGATATGCCAATGGACAGTGTGACAGCTGTAAAATTGGAGGAAGTCCTACAAAGGTGCACCTTCATATATCACCTTAGTGCAATAATGGGTTAACTGCTACAAAATTATACAAGGAGTTAACCCATTACTGCACTAAGGTGATGATAATGCACAATATTTTTAAGTTTCATGGGTGAACCTGTGCTACTATTATGCACTTTAACATTAAATTCATTTAAGGAAAACACAACAACTGTATCTGAAGTAAGTCTAAGAAGACAGCTTCTTAACATGAGGGGCAAGTGATTTGATGTCTGACACAATTTACCAAGTTTAGAGAAGTTCCTAGTACATCTTGGGTAACTCAGGTGCATCAATACATTTGATTAATATCACCTGTCATAAGTTGCATACAAATATCCGTCCCTAGGGGAACCCGCCCACTGGGAGGTAACAAGGCTTTCCAAGTTACTGCCCATTTAGGGATGGATATTCCAATTTGAACAACAAACATCATTATGTTGGATATTTTTTCTTGCATATTCTACCATAAATATTCCATCATATTTCAAATTCTTTACCTCAATAAAACAAATTTCCATGGAAATTCATGTCATTACGCCTTATAACTATTTTCTTACAACATCAAATAAAATTACAACTTCATTAACAAGGGAAAAATTACGTCATCCTAAGCATGCAGTTTCATTCTTTAATATGTCAAAATGTCGTCATTTTAACAAGGTTCACTCATAAAATGCCTTTAAAAGGCGCAATTGTATGGCACACGACTCATCTGACACCCCCCATGCCAGATGAAATTTCCGGCATGGGTAAAACTAACGGAAAACACCAGTCTGTTACGCAAGAATTTAGGGTCTGGTTAGGCAGTAATTTGTCACAAGCTTTGTTTGAGTCAACTGTCATCCAAACTTGACTGTGGTCTGACTTTAATATTATTTTCTTTCTGGTAAATTTCACAAACTAGTTAACCTAAAGATTGAAGATTTGTAACCATACCATAGATAAATGTTTTCTCTGTAAAGAAAACCAGACAAATTCTTAATCTTTTACATTAAATCCAATACCTTAAACAAACATTTAAAATTGTGATAAAAGTAAGGCATTAATCTGTCGATAATTCACACGTATTTACAGGTTATGAAATATATACGAATATATAAATATGAGAAATTATAATGAGTTAATTAAAATATTGGTGCGGCAAGTATGAAAAATATTGTCATTTTCTCCTTTCACAATCAAATTTAATCTTTTAAATAATCAAGTCGAATATAGATTTTGAAGTCAGATAAGTGTTAAAATGACATGCAAATATTTTGTTTTATCAAGTAGTTACCGATATTTTCCATACAATCGGTGAAAAATGACACACTTATAAGCCTTTCCCTGACCACCACGAGACTCCGCATGAAATTCAATCGTCTCTTAGCAAAATACACAAATATCAACAATGTGAAGCCCCCAGTTGGCCAAATTGGCATTTTTCTTTTAACAAATACCCACTATTAAGAAAGTTTTGTACAAAGAATTAGTTTTTGTTTCCGAAGTTGTAAATACTGCAAAATAAAACAACTGCAAAGAAAAAAAAAGACATTAAAAATTTTCATCCATTCTCTTACTATTGAAGTAGGTGGAAATTGGTTGGCTAATTTTATGTTCGTACAGAACAAATCTATAAGGAGCTATTTAAGTGGCCTATAAGATTAACTGGAAACAGTTATCATCACACTCGATATGAAATTCATGTCAATAACAAATTCTAATCTTGAATCAACATAAAAAAAATCAGCTTAAACTTCAATTCAGCACAACTATGTTACACACAGTGATAAGGGGTCAGTAATTCTAAATCACTTACAAAAATAATGTATTATATCTAATTCAAAGCCTGCTTGTAGCAATTGATTCTTCCTATAAGATCATTGCACACCATAAATGCACAGCTGATCATGGTCTGAGACTGATCACAGTCTGAGTCTAATCATTGTCTGAGCCTGATCATGGTCTGAGACTGATCACAGTCTGAGTCTTATCATTGTCAGAGCCTGATCATGGTCTGAGACTGATCACAGTCTGAGTCTCATCATGGTCTGAGTCTAATCATTGTCTGAGCCTGATCATGGTCTGAGTCTCATCATGGTCTGAGTCTGATCATGGTCTGAGCCTGATCATGGTCTGAGTCTGATCATGGTCCCAGTCTGATCACAGTCTGAGTCTCATCATGGTCTGAGTCTGATCATGGTCTGAGACTGATCATGGTCTGAGTCTGATCATGGTCTGCGTCTCATCATGGTCTGAGTCTGATCATGGTCTGAGCCTGATCATGGTCTGAGCCTGATCATGGTCCGATTATGATCATGGTCTAAGCCTGATCATGGTCTGAGCCTCATCATGGTCTAAGCCTGATCCTGGTCTGGTCTGATCATGGTCTAAGCCTGATCATGGTCTGAGCCTCATCATGGTCTAAGCCTGATCATGGTCTGAGCCTGATCATGGTCTGAGTCTCATCATGGTCTGAGTCTCATCATGGTCTGAGTGTGATCATGGTCTAAACAGTTTGCTTCTTAGTCAATGCCTATTTTGAAATTTCCATCTGGATTGAAAGTCGGGCAAGTTCATTTTTCTTTATATTCCCTAGTCAAGATTAAAAGACTTTTAAGTAACAACATATAAACAATAAAAGTAAAATAAGGGATTACAGTTTCTACACGTTCCACAACACTTCATTTCAAATTTCAATAACTGATGTACTTAGTTTCCACAATATATAAATAAACAAACACAGAAACAAATTTCAGCTGATTTCAAAATTTAAATTGTCAAATTTTCAGATAAAAACACGCCATTAAGATATGAGAAGACAGAATAACTGTTTTGTTTCATCAAGATTTGACATTTGCATGGACATATCAGGGACTTAAAAGTGACATATGATAATCCTGCGGAATTTAAAGTACAAGTACCACATTCATTATGATAAGATACCAAATCAAAATATCTGTACTGTGGAACTATCAAACTATTAGTATGTAAACAATGAGGCCTGCAGAAAAAAAATGGTTAATTTTGGAAAATCATTTATGTATTTCATTTATCTATTAACCAACTTTTGCTTCTTCTTAATTCTTTAGTTTAAACATATTTATTAGGCTTGAACCCATGATCCCTGGGTTGAGAGGCAGGCACCTTTTTCTGTACTACAGAAAGTGAAATTGTTTTTGTATGGAAGTCAAAATACCACTTTGTACAGGTTTTTATAACAAATTGTTTCATATTTAGCACTACTAAGCAACTAACATGCTATAAACCTATTATTAAAATATTATCAAACACATATATGCCACTTCTGAAGAAGAAAAATATTCATTTTGAACCATTAATGTCCCTCTAATTACAAAAATACTATAATGTCCTGAATCGAGGACAACAATACAACCCACTGCCATGGTTACATCTAAATACTTCTTTAATCAAGGTTGAATTAAAAATTAGCAAATGTCTGCCACAATGCATTAATTAATAATTGAAAGTCTGAAAGTCTGTTTACCAAGTGATTATCAAAGCATAAAAGTATTTGCTAAGGTACCAGAAAGCAAATCTTCGCGAAATTATCTCCCTACTTTAAAGTCATCCTGAGTACATATTTTGATTGAAATTTGAAGCATCTGAAGTGCTTGCTACTCGAGTCTTACCATATAAAGGTATGGTAATGTTTTTATATAGCTAGTTGAAGATGAGAGAATACAATGTGTACAGTATGGTGACCATTTACTTGTCCTTCAATTCAAGTACTTGACAATTCAGTCAACTCTTTCTTAAGTGTGCCAATTTACCCCCTACAGTCTTATAATAATTAGTCCAAAGGACTGTTTTCTGTCGTCTTCAGAAGAACTTTTTATGATGTATCAATATAAAATAAAACTTTTTCTGTTGATTAAAAATTAACTGACCAGAATATGAATTAGTTGTAAGCGAATGCCAGAAAGAAGGGGAGTAGGTCTTGGGGCGATTGGAAAGTGTGCAGTAGAGCATGGCGAAGATAGGTGTTGTTTAAAAGTAGGAAATTGTACTATTAAAATCTACAGATAATTTCATATTGACAAAAGAACTTTTGCCAATGTGGAAAATCAAAAAGGCAAAACTTCCATTAACAGTTCATCAAAATCAAGATTATATTTTGCATATCTGCAAGTTTTTTCAAAACTAAGATTAATATGGTCAGGGCCATTACAAAATACTTTATGACAATAATCATCATCCTCTTTATATGTACACATTGACAAAGCTAGCTAATATTTATCAAATGTATAAATAAATTGGACTATTTTGTAATTTTGTAAGTTAAGTTTAAGCTTGTGGGGGCTTGTGGGGGTTGGGTTACATGTCGCACTATCACTGTACACTTTCCAGCTTTACTGGTTGAGCAAGACCTCAGGTGCCACTCTGTGCATTTTGTCAGTCGCGAGCTTGACTATTAAACCACTGCTTTTCTTGTGCCAGGAACATCGTAATATTCAATCTAGACAATCTTACCTTCTTCAAGAACAGCATTGAGGTCATCTTCTGTTTCACATTCAACAACAAACAAATTCTCCACATAGAAACCTTTGTTTTTAGACCATCTTACTTGTAGATACCTCCTCATGTTCGGATTTAACAAATCAATAACCTAAAATAAATCAAGCACATCTTATAATTTATACTTTATTGATAATTAATAAAGTGAAAATAAACTGAAAATAAATCAAGAACATCTGTAATGTAATGTTTAGCTGAGTTTTTGAAAGAACTAAAAGTGATAATTTGTATTTTGATTTCATTGTTAAAACAATGTACCTATAATTGTTTATTGGTTATGAAAATAAATTCAGTGTTCTGTTCTGATAATGATCTTGAAATATTAATCAAGCAGATTTGATATACATAAATTTGAACATGAATTTTTAATGAATAGATAAACAAATGATAATAAACCTGAAATAAATGAAGCACACTTGCACATATGATTTGTCAAAAATTAACAAGATCTTGAGTTTTAATGATAGTATCATCAAAACATCATCATTAAAATACATATTCAGTGTGATTATCCTTAACATGAATTTACATTATTTAACATAACATTAGCGTGTACACACAAAAAAAAATTAACATCCTACTCAAAACTTAAAATTCCTGGGTTGACCCGTGTAGGCCACTGGAAAACCAAGACATATTTCATTAGCAAACAAACTATCAAATGTACTTTATAATAATTTGTTTGTTAGTATGATTTCAACAATATTTCACTGTTGTCCCTGCAGGTTACTATCACAGTTGCTAATGTTATCTTAGCTATGATCCACCAAACTGTCAACTTCCCCACATGAAATTCTTGAAGCAGCAGCCTCAAAAATAAATTTATTCACATAACTCCTGAAGAAATAATGCTTTTTGTACTTAGTACAAATACATTCCGATTCAGACTGTTTATGGATATTTGCTCCTTAAGATTTAGTGAAATTCATCGACTAAAAAACCAAGCTATCACTTGAGAACATAATGATGGACAAAATCAGGGTAAAACTTTCTGGTTGCAATGATTAAAGAATTAAAATCACCAGTGCCTATGCTGGCAAATTATTTTAGGGCACAAATTGATAGCAAATATAATCACTGACCTACATGTATCAAAATAAAGCTGGATAGCTTCGTGATGCGAAATTTAAAAACACTCTACCCCTGTCTGTTGTGCTTTTTTTGTAACATTACCATTTCTTGCACATCAGACAGGATTATCTACTGTTTACACTGCTGCTAGAAAAACCTGTCTTACATGTAAGACAAGTCACATACTTTAAAAGACGTTATGCCATTATATAGGGTTAACGCACGTTTTTCCGTGTTATAACGTCTGCAGAGTCCCGAGGAACGGTTGGTGCCCGAGCCCGGTAGGCCAAGGGCTCCAACAGTTCCGAGGGACTCTGCAGACTTTATAACACGAAATAAACGTGCGTTGACGCTATTATAGCATAAAATTTTCAAACAAATTTGTGATGTATAGTTTAATCAAAACACAATAACATTAAATTCTTGTGCTTGGACGGTATTTATCCAATTCTATGTTTTACGTATCCGTTTCATTTTCCGGGGCCAACAACTTGGAAAATTCTCGGAACCGAACAAAATTTTGAATTTTAATTGATTTAACAAAGCTTGGCCTTTGGAGATTTATTATTTCAAGAAAAAAATAAAACGTTACATTACTCTACCCTCTACCCAAGACAAAACATGACCCTCAGAAATTCTTAGAATGTTTTCAGATTGACGGTAGAAAAAAGATCAGTGACATCAGAATCGGTTTTTTTTTCAAGCAAACAAGTTTATAAAAAAAATCAGGCACTAAGCATTATTCTCTCAAAGAAATATAATGAGCATTTATCAACATTAACATAAATAAAAAACATTTTCTCATATTAATTTTGTGTTTTCTAGTTTTGTAAGTTAATCAGAGTGTTAAACTGAATGACAGGTAGATTTATTTGTTTACATTGACAACTGTCCCTTTCTTAGAAAGGGCGACAACCAAGATTAGCACTGATGTCTATACGCCGTTTTTTCCGGCATAGTTACTTGAATATGCGACTGAGGCCCTCGAATCAATGAATTTCAATATAACAAGAGCGCATGACTCTTTCATTTTTTGTTTGTTTGTTTACTGGGCCCTGTATGTATTGCGCATAGGTGAAACCGGGCTATAACAAGAGCGCGTGACTATGTTAACACATGGTTTTGGTCCCGTTATAACATGGGCAAAAGAGGGAAAAATAGCCGATTTTATGCTATAATAAATGAAGTTGTAAATCCATAAGCTACTATAAGAAAATGTGCTAAATGAAAATATTCTTTTTGAAATGTCTTTCCTAATAATGATTTATATGTCATATGCAAGAAAAAGAATTAAACACCGGCTGGCGTCACAGACACGAATATCTAGCTCTCAGATAACTGTTTAGGGGAAACTTGACAGAACTTGTTACCAACATAAACAGTTATCCTAGAGTTAGATATTCCGGTCTGTACTGGCAGCCGGTGTAAGATCCTTGTATTCTGGCCACAAACATAAAAATATTTTTCAAACATCATAAAATTAATACAGCAAGTCCTTTTTCTTTGACTTACCTGTTCGTTATATATTTCTAGATATGATGCTCGCACTATTTTGTTCCCTTGTTGTTGTTGTAACTGCTGGAAGAGGTATGTGAGTGAGCGTTGAATAATTCCGTAATTCTCTGGGTCCACCTGCTTACCTTCCTGGAACTGTACATAAAATAATAGTATTAAATATAGGTAAAATTTTGGGTAATAATCACAATGCAGATGTCATGTATATGACACATAGAGAAGATACATTATTTAATAATGTCTGTATTCCATGAAATATTAGTTTTAAAGATTTTTGACAGGTTACATGTATATGGCCCTATATGTTATATACCGGTATGGCCCTGTAATTATATGGCTCTGTATTATAAAACAATTGTTGCATATAATTTATAATGGCTCGGGGTTTTTTTGTAAAAAACCATTTAAATAATTATAACCGTCAGAAATTTTTAAACGTTTTTTATAATACAGAAAATTCCTTTTTTTAGAGAAAAAAACCAGATTTTTCAAAAATTGACAGCAGCTGTTTAACATCAGTTTTCCCAATGAAAAGCGAGTTAAAAACTCATTTTTATAATATGTTATTTTTATATAAACTGGGGAAATACAATAAAACCCTGTTTTAAGACCACCTGCTTTAAAAAAGTCATTTGAAGTTATTCTATCTTAACACAAGAGTTTAAATGTACTAATAATAAGTGTCCCCTGTCAACAAATACAGATTATTGTGCTGCAAATTTTTTTTTTTAGGACTGATTAAAAATTTTGAAATTTTCATAAAGCAAAGACTGATGCCTGCTAATTTTCAAAATTTTCATTTTCAAATCCCCCTCAAAATTACTAATGGACCATTCCAATTCCAATAGCAGGCCAAGTCCATTATACAAATTCTGCGAGGTGGATTATATCTACTGCATGTGAAATTATTAAATCAAAGACGGTAATTCAATATTTATACTTCATATTTGGTAAGTTTGTGCCAAGTTTTTGACATATTTATTTTTTTTACCCTTATTAGCCTACTTGTAAGTTGAGAAAGATATTGTATGGTCATAAAAAATTGTTTACTACACATTGCCATAAATCTTCTGACAATTATAGCAAAGGTGAAAAACTTAAAAACACGATAATAATAAATCTTCATGACTTCCAAACAACCCGCCAAAAGAAAAAAACCCCAGAAAGGGCACAATATGTAGACACTTTTTATTGCTTTAAAAGTGCTTTTTTTGCACTTAGAGCTTATTAAAATACCTGTTAAACCTATTTTGGAATAGATACTAAGCCTGTAATTTTAAAATAATGACTGTCGTTGAAATAGACAAAATTGTTATTGAATGTAATTATCCATTCATATACACTATTACTGGATTATTTCTTAATGCCCCATAACGGTTGATATCATAGTGTGTAAAACCTCTTTAAAGTTTGAATCAGATTAAACTGTCTATAACAAAATGTAGCATTATTCAGTACAGATGGTTTACATAAAATTGTGAGATATTTTTTATTCAATGAAATATTTACTACATAATTATTTGATATTATGTAGTATACCAATAATGCTCTATATGAATGGTGACTTTTTCTAGCTTTTTTCTGGTGTTGAAGTCCAAGATTTTGTTTCCTTTTTTTTTCTGTCCGATTTAAATCACGAACACAGTTTAGGTCATATGGCAATAAATTTCCAGTTTTACTTGTGGAGAAAGATCTCATGTGTCCCTACATGCAATATAAAAGGCTTGAATGCTCCTCCATAAGTTATATAGGTGCTTATACCTGCACTGTTAGCTGGCTTGACAGTTGTAAAGGTTATATGGTAAACTCTCCAGCTTACCCAATATGCATTACTTTAGGCAAAAGCCAGGCACTGGAGTAACTCTACCAACACTTTATAACCTATTTTGGCAGCTTCCTCACAAGTAATATCTAATGTAATAACAAGATTCCCCCACAGTGATGAGTAGCCTTTGCAACTTTCAAACTAGGGGTGGGCCAACAATGTTACAAAATGACCCCTGATAAATATGTATAACTTTCAGTGCAACCCTTTTATATGTATGTCAGACTTAGTCTTTTATTGAAAGACTTCACATTTTCTTTTTTTCACTGTTTTACTTATATCAGAAAATACAGATTTGACCAAGGTAGAAAAAAACTTCAAATCCGCAGTTCATGTCTAAATAATTGGACTGTCAGACTGTGCTTAAGATATAAAAGCTAGATTCTGAGATATTTTTGAAATACATGTAGGTCAGAATCTCGCTTCTATAGGGATATTTCCCATACATAAAATAACACTATTTTTCAGCTCATAGTTCATTTAGTTTAACAGACCCCAGTAGGAATTCACTCAGACCCAACCAAAGTTCCCCCAGTTAGGCCAGGCAGAAACCTTCAAGGCCAACAGGTTATCCCCCTAACTCCCATTCCAACTTCTGTTTATCATGTACAATTATTATAATTCAGAATATAATATCAAACAATCATTACAACATTATGTAATAGACAAAAAAAATACAAAAAATTACATAGTTATCAAATTCTGTGTATCTTTAAAATCATCATTAACATAGCATGCAATATTGTGATCATTCTATGACTACAAGCATATCTTTATGGTGAAAAACAATTAGCAGGGTCTCAACTTTGGTCATATTTGAATCTAATTGCATGCAATTATTATAGTACAGGTATTTTACGATAAAATGGCAGTTCAGCAATAAACCATAGTTTCTTGTATAGTTTTATAATAACCAAGAACATGTTTTTCAGAAAAATATCTTTTTATTCTTGTTTTTGTTAACAGGAAAACTATGTTACAGACAACATATTATTTGAGCATTTTTTGTTCAAAATAGTTAAAACATAGGTTCGTTGATTTATTAAATGCTATAAATTATTTTTTACGGACATTAATGAATTACCTCCCTTTAAAGATTCAATTTCTATTTACACATCCATAATTGTTTCAAAACATATTGATTTTATAGTACATGCATTCCTTTTAGATAACAAACATGATTAAGTGTGATATTATTTAAACAAATAAAAAAAGAAACATCATATGTAACAGATAATATCAATTCTGCTAAACTGCCACATTATCTAAATGTATCTGTACTTCTTGATTTGGTGTAACATTAGCCAAGCTTTTTGCAAATTCATTCATGTATCATGTATGTTGTAAAGGTCAAAATTGTTTATGATTACTGATAATTACCTAATTGGATTTAAAAGGACAAATTTAGGTCACAAACCATGTCATAAACCATGTTAAAATTATAATTTGTGTACTTTTACATTTCAAAAATATTCTCTTTGCCAATAAATTAGCCATACCAAAATTTCAGCTTTAATTTGCCAGAACGACCAATGTACATCTTGATTGTAATGGCTTCAATTCTAACACAAAAGGTCAGACTCTTCTTCAAATAATTTAAAGGGGCTTAATATAAGAGTAACAGGAAATATATCACATTTTTATGACAAATGTCATAACAAACTTTTAAGCTGCTGAAGCAAGGGTAATTAATTAAGCCATAGCCAGGGTAATACAACCTGAAGGTGGTAAAATTAACCTTTAACCTACTGCATGGTGGCAACTGATTCTACCCATTACCACCAGTGCAGACCAAGATCAGCTGGCACATCTTAGATAATGCACTGTTCGCTATTCAGTCAGTATTCTATTTTTAAAAAAAATGATGACTGGTTTTGTCCAGATTGCAAGATAGGCCAGTCTATTAAATATATTAAGCATGGTAAGGATTAAATATCTTGTCAACAAGCAAAAGGACAGTCCTTTTCACAAATAAAGTGGAGTGAAGATAGGGAAGATGTGATTGGATGCAAACTAAGGAAAAGATGTAATACCTAATAAACTATAACTCCGCGAGTCGGATGTGTCGCCTTGTGAACAATGTAGTTTAGGGGAAATGGCCAGGACAAAAATGAAATATGAAAAATAACAAAGGGCAATAACTAAAAAAATAATAAGTGCAGAGCAGCAGTTTCTGTACATTGCACTTCTTATCAATAAGATCTATCATTCTATGATGTTTCAAGTCCATAGCTTTCATACTTGAGGAGAAATGACCAGGACAAAAATAAAGTAAGTAAATCAACAAAGAGCAATAACTCAAAAATAAGAAATGCAGAGTATCAGTTCTTATGCACTGCACTTCTTTTTAATGAGATCTATCATCCTATGAAGTTTCAAGTCCATGACTTTTATACTTTCGGAGAAATGGCCTGGACAAAAATTAAGTATGAAAATTAACAAAGGGCCATAACTCAAAAATTTAGAAATGCAGAGTACCGATTCTTGTGCACTGCACTTCTTAATAATGAGATCTATCATCCTATGAAGTTTCAAGTCCATAGCTTTTATAATTTCGGAGAAATGGCCCGGACAAAATTAAAGTATGAAAATAAACTCATGAGGGCAATAACTCAAAAATTAAGATATGCAGAGTACCAGTTCTTGTGCACTGCACTTCTTCTTAATGAGACCTATCGTCCTATGAAGTTTCAAGTCCATGGCTTTTATACATTAGGAGAAATGGCCCGCACAAAAATAAAGTATGAAAATTAACAAAGGGCAATAACTCAAAAATTAGGAAGTGCAGAGTACTGGTTCTTGTGCACTGCACTTCTTAATAATGAGACCTATCATCCTATGAAGTTTCAAGTCCATGGCTTTTATACATTAGGAGAAACAAGTTTGATGTCAATCAGACTTATAGTGACTGACTTATGCTCCGGACAGGCTTTAGGGGATGCCAACAACGACGCCGACACAGACGCCGCCGCCGACACCACCGACAAAAGTAACCCCTATTTGTCACCTTTTCAAGGCGACACAAAAATCATATTTATACAAAATGCATTAAATAGCAGAAATTGACTGATTGCAGTATTTAGTATTTTATCTAATACTGTAACAGTAACATTTAGCATCATAATGCTGTATTTGTAAAACACAGAGATCGGGAAAGTCCCGCGACCTGCGACATAGTCGCATTAAAATGATTTTTGTCGCATTGATAAGTCTGCAGATGCGACATTAGGTTGCATGAAAAACAATGAGGAGACAAGTCATTTCTAAAATGCAAATTTGGCCTAAGAAATTCAGCGAAAGCAGTAAAGTCTGACTGTTTGTCAATCAATTAGCGGCACCAAATAATTTCAAAGTGACAAATTTCTTTGCTCCGCCTACAGGTACAGAAGGCAGGACTGATTATCTGCATTAAACCAGTTTAAACCAGTTATCTGCCAACACCACGTGGTACAGTAGCTATGAGTTAGCACCTTCAATTGTTTGAAATATCATTAATATTCTGTCGATTGAAAAGCAAGGCAGTCAGTTTTTAAATGTCCAAAATAATTTTCAAAAGTTTAGATTTTCCATGCATTTGTAGTTATTAAAGCATTAGCTTTCATTCTTCCATTGTTTGCCTTTATCCACAGCAAAAAAGTTAACTATTTATAGTTGCACTGAAAAAAATAATCTGCGGTAAATCTAGGTCATCATAACCTGCCTTTGAAAACTTAACAATAACAAAGTGAAACATGAGCTTAAGTGATGTTTATTACATCACTACAATAATTGACAGGTCACTAGCCAATCAGATATCTGAACTGCATGACTTCTGTATGCTGTGATTCCCTTTGATGTAGAGTTGTCAAAAAAAGACAACAATGAATGCTACGTAGGAGCCATTCAGTGCAAATAAAACAATGGACATTACACATTACGTCATATATTACTTGATGTGTTATGGAAAGGTACTTATGAAATGTTGGATTCTTAATTATGATTCTTTTCATCTTATTTATCTTCAGCAAATAAACAAACTGCTTGACACCAAAAAATAACAACAACAAATATGTATTAAACCATGATGTTCATTCAAATAGGACCAAATTATCAAGTCTGCAATTGTTGGTGAAATTAACCTACCTACTTCCTTGTCAAGCCTCAGATATAAGTGTCAATACAATCAGAAATAAACAAACTAGTTAATTAATTAGGAGAAGAACCTAGCTGAACTGTGACAAATTTTTTTGTTTGGTCTCTAGGTAAAAATTATGAAATCTGTACAGTATTCCAAACTTGTCCAGTTGATGGTCTCCGACCAGTATCCGTACTTTATAATCGATTATCATTAAAAAAACATGTCTCATTAGTTTTGAAACAATGTCTCATAACTTTTAAAAATGTCTCATTAGTTTCCCAACAGGTGGAGACATAGTCTCATCTGCAAAAATTCTTTCCCGATCTCTGAAAACATCCTGTCAAAATATATGCATGGCTAATTGCCTAATCCTTTTACAGAGTCAAAAAGGCGACAGACACAGGAATGTTAGATTTTTTTTAATTTTTTTTTTTATAACTCAAAAAGAATCTTCATAACTCAAAATGGGCATGCTAAGATGCTAAGGGGGGGGGGGGGGGGTTTAAAACCAGGCTGGTAGGTTGGTTGGTAGCATCAAAGAAAAGGTAAATCAGAAAAGATGAAAAATTTTCATTAAAGAAAGCGGAAAACTTGGTTTATGACAAGCATATGGTTAAACCGGAATAGGCAGGAGGAGCCAGGGAGGGAAGGAGGCAGGAATTAAGGGAGGGAGGCGGAGTCTTTCATGATTTATTGTATGAGTGAAATTGCAAAAAGCTTTTAATAAACATGCGGTATACAACATAACTTACAAGGACAATAGAAAACTTACCAGAGCTATATTTTAATCTAAAGTATTCACTTTCCACACAAGGTATGTGAGTATGATACAGGTTTCATCAAAAACAAAAATCAAATATTAAAAATACAGTAAAAATAAACACGAAAAATGGTATAATATATCAACAAAACAGCCCTTTTTATGCCACTTGTGGGAATAGGTATATGGTATTTAAATAATTATGTATTTTCATGTTTTTTTTTAATAAAATACCCAAAATTAAAAAGTAGTTGTCAAACATTAAACTTTGAATATAAAGTCTAATGCCCATGGCCACATTCCAGTCATATTTATTGTAAAATTGAGTTTGGAATTTAGACTTTAACATGTAAAATATACTTTTTGGTTCATTCTTATGTCTTTTTTTTCTTAATTAATTTCATCATTTGAAGTCTTGAAATTTGTATATCTTTACGCCACAATTTAAGGTTTGCAAAATAAAAATCTGACCATTCATGAAACATAGAGAAGGGCTGTTTTAACTAACTAAAATGTAAAAATAATGTGGGTCAACTGCACACTATTTGATATATGAATAAATGGAATGATATATACATGTATTTGAGAGAAAAGCATGATATATAGAAAACTATATGTAAATCATGATAAAATTGATTCATAATAAATGGTTATTTATAATGCTATATAAGATCTATAAATTCTAGAAGGCAAAAACAGCTCTCAATCTTGTATACAGTAAACGAAACAACTTTGTACTTTGACTACAAAGGAAGGTCAAACTTTGACTACGAAGAAAGTCACACTTTGAGTACCAAGACAGTCAAACTTTGACTACCAAGACAGTAAGTATTTGTGCTATGACTACCAAGACATCAGACTTTGACTACCAGGATAGTCAAGATTTGTGCTATGACTACCAAATCAGTCAAACTTTGCAACAAAGACAGTCAAACTATGGCTATGACTACCAAAACAGTCAAACTTAAACTGACAATGACAGAATAATAAGTAAAATGATGAATGTAAGGAAACAGTTCGTATTTGAAAAGTCAATGTCAGAAACCCTCTTTTGCTTAAAATTTTAAACATCTACTTTTTTCCCTAGAATTATAAGTTTTGATTTTTCTATCTAAAAAATGAAACTTTTGGTTAAATTTATATTTTGTCATTTGAGAGCTGTCTTTAAAGGTAAACAAATTGCAGTTAAATCTACTATCTACAACTATATTTTGACTAAGTTTTAAATTAGAATGAGTACAAGCATTGTTCAAATATAATTTACTATCAAACTAATGCAGAACTCTATAAAAATGAAATAACTGAAAAGAAAAAACAACTACGGTATAATGATTCAGGAAAGCAGACTCTTACCTGTTGGGGAGGTCCCGTCATGGTGTGAGTTTTTCCTGACCCAGTTTGACCAAATGCCAGCGCTGTACATGCATAACTAAAATCATAAATGTAAAAAAAAAAAAATTATTAAACATCTTGTGACTTGACTTCTAAACCACTAAATTTGTGTCTTGTTTGCTGTTATACTTTGACTTTTGAATAATTCCTCAGTAATAAAATGGATTTTGATATCAGAATATAAAGATTCAGTTGCAAACAGTTAGTATATAGAATGGTCAGTCTTAACTGATATGTAGTATGGCCTGGCTGACTTATAATGGTACCAGAAAATTGTTTCTGCCACAAACATTTAAAAGAATTAAGAGTTGAGAAGTTGTAGATGGATATGTAGCTCCCATTGCGAGGGATCATTTTCTATCCAAGAGGAGAAGCCTTGGTTAAACTCAGAAACAAATGAATTTTACTTCTTTAGAGCAAACATCAGTTTAAAACATTTAAATAATGGTTTTAGAGTATGTTAGATTCTTGTTACCTAAAGTAGCAATAAATGTGAAATAACTTGTTGTAAAAGAAGCATATGTAAACAAAGAAGTATTTTGAGTATCATACAAAATACTCATTCACTGTAACATTACATACTGCCCTAAAAGCAACACATGAAAAAGATGGTTCAGGTAATTGGTAAATGAGTAACTTTTTGGATACTATAGAAGTACATCAAATTCAAAAAGCTTTTGAGAAATAGAATTAAAAGCATTTTTGAGGCATAATGGGTCTTTTAGCCTGCTTGTTAGCTGGCTGGCTGTGATTAAAGCTTATCATGCAAGCAGTGCCAGCTAAGATCAACCAACATTATTAGTGAGCTCGACGAGCTGGCCCAAAGGGCCTGCTCGCATAGCGAGCTTTACGGTAACGCGAGTACCTGCTAAGTAATGGTTTTGAAAACTTTTGTCCGAAGTACCCATTTGACACATCGCAACTTTTCGAATTACAAGATAACGATAAAAGCCGATGTACTCTGATTGAAAACGGAAGCGTAGACTGGTGTCCTGCGCACTTATATAGGAACCATAATAGAAAGGGAAAACCAGAATAAACGGAAGCAGTGTATAAAATACTGAATGACAATTTTAAAACGGAAAATGTAAAATAAAAATGAACGATAATTTTAAACTATTTTACGGTAAAAGAAAATCGAGCTCGCTTTGAGGCTTTGCCTTTTTCATATTTTAATTGTGCTGTCTGATCATGGTCTGCCCTTTTCCTTCTTCAGTCAGTATTTATTTTAAAACTTTTCCCTAAAAAGATGAATGGTTTTGTCCAGATTGAAAGATGGTCAAGTCCATTTATGATATCTAAAAAGGTAAGGGTTAATTCACTTTTCTATTAAATCTACTACGATATCAACCGATACATTATGTAAAGCAATCCGATAAAAGGAAAAAAGAATTGTAAAAGATTTCATTTCATCTTTTTGTGAGTTTTAAGAGAATAAATTTTGATTTTTGCTAAGCAATGATTAAAACAGGAGATTACTAGGCGATCATGGCAATGCTTTGAAGCTAAGTTCCGGATTAACTTGTTTACTTTATTTGCTATAATTTATTTCACGATGTCTGTAAAACTTCAATTCATTTGATAAACCTGCTTGTTATTCTTCAGTGTAACTATTTGTCAACCAAAAATTCATCAAGAATGGAATGCTTGTTTGTAATTTTGCAAGAAAATGCAGAAAAATATTTAATTTTTTTTCTTCTTTATTCAATTAAATAGGCCAGTCAATCATAAAGACACTGTAAAGGTTATATGGTCACCTTATTGCAGAAACAGGTTAACTTATATGAAATTCAATAGGAGTTAGATTGTCACAGAGATTGAAAATTTCACTCGTTCGCTCTTAATTACGAGTAGAATTTAAGAGAATTTGATGCAGGACAAGAAGAAAAAATGTTGCCTGTACAATGGATTTAGAAGCAACTTGTCCTGTAGGACAAGTGACTCTGAAAATAATTTTCAATGCCTGTGTTACTACAGGTTGTGATTTTAAATTTGCAGAAAGAGACCCCCTAAGGTGTTTCTTTGTACCTAAAGTTCAGGCATGAGCTGGTACCTTGGTTGAAGCACCAACCTTCCTACAGGTAATAGTTAATAAAAATAATTTATCAATGCAGGTGGGATTGCAACCAACATCTCAGCTGCAGAAGTCCAAAAATGGTAATAAAAATGGTTTGACACAAATATTTGTGTCCAGATTTGATATGCAACAAAATTCATTCATTTACTCTAGACAGCGATTCAAAAGTATATTTTGGTTCATTTTGTAAAATATAATAACAGTTTAATCCTACTCAAATAATTTTTTATTTAATCCTTTTATTTTTGGAAGCAATAAAACTTAACCGTAAACATATGTAGAGACATAAAGTTTACTTTTAACAAGCTTTGATTGTAAAATTTTATTAATGGCCACAAAACCAAATATATATATCAAATATCATATTTTTTTTAATTTTCTGTAATACATCAGAATTTATTCTTGAAATCTTAAAAAATGTTGAAAATAAATTTTATTGACACTGAAAGCGCTGAAATATTCCTTGATTTACAGTAAACATTTTTAATCTACTTATTTCAAGCTTAAAACATTGACCTTGATAAACGAATTTATATATTTATAAACAGATATTATATTATAGATTACCTTACTTTTTGGTAATTACAATTAAACCTTATGCACTTTCTGTCGACAGTTAATAGTGCAATATTGTTGTAACATTGTCACTTAGTGTACTGACTTATGTCAGTCTTACATCAAAGAAATAATATCTAAATTTAATCTATATATTGATAAAAAGATCTGCCACACTTTTGGAATTGATTTCCCTTACAACCATTTACCCAACATTGGAACAATTTGCCCTATAACTATTCAACCTACATATAGGTAAGATTTGCCTAACAGCAGTTCACCCAAAAGAGGTAATGATTAACCCCACATTTGAAAACTATATAAGATATATGTTTAAAACAATTGCATTTAACTTAAATGCTATTAGACAACTTTCACTATTATGTTCTTTGAATTATCACTTAAGTGGGATAAATTATCAGCCATTTGTTGAATGGGGTAAGTTGTTATATAGCCAATCAAACAACCCCCCAAAAAACTTAAAATTTCTGCACTTATTTACATCTAACATAAACAAATATAATGGAAACCAGAGATGGTAACAAATAGCCTACAAGGTATTTGAATATTTGACTAATTTATCAAAGAATATTTGAACACCCAGACTTCTCCCCATGTAGAAAAAATCTACTTTTATATCATGGGTGGTGCTGGTTACATCTTAGAAAGAATGCATTATTTCTGCTCTCTTTTTTCACCTATAATGATTTAGACAATGACAAATTGCTCGGAAGAAATTTTACCCAAGTACAAAAGTAAATTTAATTGAAAATTTTTAAATCTCATTTATTATTCCTGTTGTCTTTCAGCGAAAAACACACAGTGAATAATATTACAGCTTCCAACTATACCTGTGGATGAAGACCTCAGGTGCCTCTTTTCTGCTTTATTTCAGGCACATAGAGGCAGCTGAGGAACCACTGACCTTCTGTAAGGTAGCTGAATAGCTTCCTCACATGTAAGAATCCAAAGTTTCTGACTGGATTTGAATTCAAGCTCACAGCGATTGAAGTCAGCGACCTTAACCACAAAGAAGGCTTAACAAACGTAGCTTCTTTTTTTTTCCCTTTCCTCAACAAAAGAACAATATATTTAACAAAATGCATGCGTGAAAAGGTTCCTAAAATTGCCAGAAATTTTTTAATTTTAATGCACTTTAGAGTTATCATAATTATAACAGTAAAGAGACTGGTAATCCGTATCAACGATTAAAATGCTGTTAAAAATCAGTTGTATTTTCAGCCTTTAGATAAAAATATCCCCCTTGATCCTCGGAACAAAAATGGTTGTTTTAGTAAGCACATCATTCTGTTGCCTCAGAAAAAATAATGAAAATGCCGGCACTTACCCATTTAGAGACATATCAATAAGTTTTTTAACACCAGAGTGCTCAAACAGGTCGGCTTGTATAGCGTCTGGTTCAAACACTACATTATAACCGAACTGTCGTACTGCCCCGTTGTTATCAACCTGGAAAAACAATAATAAATAAATAGCTTTCTTAACATATGTAGAAAATAGAAAATAAATTGAACAGAAATTCAAAGATACATTTGGCTTAACTTTATTACGCTTAACCAATACCACCCTAAATATTTTAAATGAACTTGTCCATCTCTCAATCGAGGCATTTTAAGAAAGAAATTTTAAAATATGTAATGACTGAATTCCAATACTAGTAGTAAACAGTGCAATCTAAAACACTGAGGCAAGGTGCTGACTAAATTTTATATTACTTATGGTTATAGTAGCTTTACACCACAATGAACGTAGCAAAAAAACATGTCAAAAAATTATTTTACCTCAATCTTTCCAGATCCTGGAAAGGTACAACTGAACTGGTCTTTTCTTGTGTTTTCATTGCTGTTAAGTGGACGCACTCTGAAACAGAAAAAAAATACACTTGAACCCTGAACCTTCTCAGCTACCAGGAACCAAACAAATTTGTGTAGAATAATCTTTTGTAATAATTTATTCACTCTAAAAAAATATGTTTTATGTAAGAATCTGTTCACTGCAAAGATCTGTTTACTATAAAATCAGTTTAATGGAAATAATGCTCCTACAAATATGTTTATTGTACCAGTTTGTTACCTATGAATTTTGCATACTGGTGGCAATTAACAGGTATAAAGAATTTGTTTATTGCAATAGTAATTTCTTTTATGGACCCTTTTTTGCAATGGTAATATTCACTATCGACATTTTTTTGTAAACAAAATTCAAAGGCTTCTTTACAGAAAGTGGATATCAAACAGCATGTTCACATGTCCGTGTGTGTAAACATGTGTCTTTTAAATAGTTAGATCTATACATCTTTTCCAGATTATTTGTAATCTACGACAAAGTATTAAAATAATCGGATATCACAAAAAGATATATCTATAATAGACCATTTAAATATGAACCTTACAACCACCCCCCACACTAATTTGTCTCTTAGTGTTCCTTCACAATAAACCTAAATCTTTACAATATCTCTATCAAATTTCCGTCTCTTGGACAGCGGCCATATTCGGCTATTTAATGATATCTAATCAACAAATTTATATGCATACAGATAATGAAGGAGTCCATAAATCAACTTTATAATAATGGTTGTAAAACACTCCAAATGTTTACCGACACATTTTTCCCAGTTCCTTAAGTAATAAATTATATATATATTCTATATTGTCTCTAAAAGCCACATTTGTCTAGTAATGAGTGTATTAGAAATGTGCAAAATCTCTTATGCCCCGAAGTACCTGTTTAAACAATATTTGATCTTTTACACTAACATAAACTTTTTGGAATCAATAGTCCAATGGTCCAAATAGACCAGAAAAAATGCAAGAAGATGATGAGATGAAGTATGTTAGGGGAGGGGGGTTGAGGGGGGGGGGGGGGGGGAACATTTACAACGACTGTTGTTAGTATAAAAAGTCTGGCAGATTGGAGATCCCTTTATATGAGCAATGGAAACAAACAAAGAAAACAGAAATTAAAAAGTAAAAATTGCAGACTTGAGATGATGGGGCACTGGTGCCCTTAACGTTCAAAGGGCGAAACTCTTTTAAGCATTTTCAATGTGGTTATGGTGCCTTTTAGCATTCAAAGTGTCAAACCCTCAAAAGCATTTTCCATGTGGCAATGGTGCAGCCCCTTAGCATTCAAAGGGTCGAACACTTATAAGCATTTTTAATGTGGCAATGGAGCCCCTTAGCATTCAAGGAAGCATTTTCAATGTAGCAATTAATGGTGTCCTGTATAAGGGTTCATAGGGTCAAACTGTTTTAAGAATTTTAGATACACATAGACTTGTGTTTGTTTAAGTGGCTTGATACTATAGACTAAAGAGGTTAATAACTTGTGATGTTGACTTGGCTGAATGCAATATTGAGCAACAATTACCTGTAAGTCAAATTTCTGCTGATTCATAGGTATATACTAATATGCTGCCAGATCTGTTAGCCGTTTCACATGTTTTAGAATGAATCGAAGGCTGATATGTTTGTAAAGAATATATTATTAACTTGATATATTAACACACTTTTTTATCCTAACAAAAGGTCCTACTTCAAACCTAATAGGGAAACCTCTTTCATAAATTATTTGACCTCGTCAAAGTAGTGTTATAATAAAAGTTTATTTGTTTCAACTCTGTGAAATGTCAACTCTGTGAAATGTTTATCACCGATTTGTTACAAAATAAATGCCATATACCGGGACATATGCACCTATATAAGAATTGTTTCTGCTTTTTCTTCATCCTGCAAAAGTTTCAATCAGCTATATGGAACAAGCAAAGATGTGCATTTTTGTCTTCAATATAAAGACTGTTTTAGTATTTTTAGTTTGCCAGCCCAAGAATCGAACCCACAATGTTGAGATTACAAGTCTTGTGCTCTTACTGACTGAGCTATGTTGGCTGGCTCTTCAGGGCGGATGTAGGGAGGCTCATGATAGATGATTGTTAATAGAAGCTTACCGTAATACAACATTTATATGATCCTGATCAGGGTCGTCAGAGGCTTCTGTAGGTGCTTGTGATGACAATGTTGTTGAACTCCTGAAAAATAAAAACAAAATACTGGTAATATGCAGGTTTTTTTTTTTAATATTACTTTCATCCTTTTTCAAAATATTTATGGTATAAAATCAGGCCATTAGTTTATGGTATAAAAATCCGGCCATTTACTGATGGTATAAAAAATTGTTTTATTTTATATCGTAAATAGGCCACTGTAGAAACTTTTCAACATAAAAAAGTAACTCAAGTTCAAGTAACAAATATTATTAAGGACACAGTTTTTTTTACTTGCAAATGCTTTTAATTTTGTTTTCTTTTCTATTTAGGTCAGAGAATAATTTCCAATAGTAATGTGTTTATTACCTTTTTTTATAATAAACAGGTTAATACCTTAATCACTTGTTATTATACAAGATTTTGGAAACAGTTGCATTTTTTTTAAATCTCAAGTTTGAACACCATTCAAGAATGAGAATTTAATACTGCCAATAATACACCTTCTTATTGTACAATATTTCCTTTCTGGTGAAATCAAATAGCAAAATTTTTGTGAATTATCAGAATGTAAATCTGAATTTATCTATATTTCAAATATTTTATAATACACTTCATACAGTTATTCTTTAGACAATAGTTTTCACTGTTTCAAGTGCACATGCCCAGAACAAGGGATTATCGGCTGGAAGAAATTTCTGCGATAATCTGTCAGTATGAAGTTTTTGTTAAGTTATCTGATAATCATGTTTATGCAAAAATGAAAATACATGTCATGTACGTAACAAATTTGTGAGTTACACAAAATATTTGCACATGATGAATATTAATTATTATGTTCAAAATAATAATAATAAAAAACATGTTCTAAAATCTGTATCTAAATTTTTTCTAACATAAAAATATCAATGAAGCTCTGCAATAATTAAAATCTGAAAATATGAAAATGATAATAAAATTCTGAATTTGATATACTGGTTGGGGACCACCAAAACCGGACAACCACCAAACCCGGACGGCCCCGAAAATGCTTGATTTAGAATTTTCTTTGTTCAGTGGTTGTCAGTCACTTTTTTATCAACAATAAATGCATGTTTCTTCTATAATTAAGTAAATAAATTTATTTCAACCTCCGTAAATGGTAATATTTTAATGTCTATTTCAAGAATGTTGACGTTGAAATTTGGGGGTCAGGAAAGCAATGCCTGACCTCATATAACAGCAATAATTATTTGCAAAGTAAACAATAGAATATCCCAAAACTTCAGCATTTGCTGCTGAAATATTGTGTGTCATGTTAAAAATAAAAAAAAGAACACCAAAGCTTTTATCTGAATTAAATCAACATTATTACATATCTGTCCGGACACACATGGTACTGTAGTATGTACAATTTAGGTAATTTTGATACCCTCCTTGACGGGCCTCGGATATAAGTGTCAACATAATCAGAACTAAACAAACTAGTTTGTTAGTTAGGAGAAGAACCTAGCTGTACTGTGTCAAATTTTCGTACCTTTAGCTTTAAAATTATGAAATTTGTATAGAAAAATGTTCAAAAAGTGTCCGGTTGATGGTCCCTGACCAGTACCGTAAAATCAGAAATTTTTATAAGGAATTAAATTTTGCAAATTTTGCAAACAGAGGTTTTCATGAAAAATAAACATATAAATATTTACTTAATAACTATGTATCAAATAAATTAAACAGAATCAAAAGTAGAAATTTATGATAATTTTATCTGAATAATTTGTCTGAAAAAATGATTTTTTTTTTAAATTTTAGTGATGCAAACATTATCTGATTTTACAGTACTGTACAATATTATTCTTTTATGGTTAGCAACACAAAGCTTCTCTAATATAGTTAATATGTCCTGCTTAAAATCTCTTGTGATAATGAGGGACACATTGATAATATTACACTAAATCAAATTCTGTCCTAAAAATGACATATTATTTACATCTACTATAATCTATAAATAGAAACGAAGCAGCAGCATTGTGAAATAACAGAACAAGTAATGTGATATGACATATATTAGTTACGGTGCCTGTGAAATATCATATTTATACAATAGATAGAGAAGCAGCAATAAAGCAGAATCTGCAATAAAATATTTCTTCTTGCACTACTTGATGGCCACTTGTGTTTGTTGGTCACTAAACCATAACATGTAATTCTATCATTCACTTATTGGAAACTTGTAGAAAAACCTGCACATCTTGTCATTTTCCATTTTTCACAAAGATAAGAAAAAGAGCTGTCATTTGGACTAAGTAGGCTCAAATACTCTCAATGCTTGATAGGTGCAAAAATTGTTCACAAAGGGGAATAATTTAGTAAAAAGTATATGCCAGAGTTGTGGGTCTTGATTTTCAAGTCTGTAGACATAATTATATGAAGTCTCAGCGAAAAACTACAGGTCACTTTTAAAATAATGAATTTAGACAAAGTATTTATTCAACCAACCCCCACCCCACCACTAACCAATTTTCTTTGAATGTTTGGTTATTGGTTATTAAAAAGGGAAAGATGGAAAGTAACAAGATTGATTCACAGGTTACCTTAAACAACAGTTTAACAATACTAAGAATCTAACATTATATTCTTTCAATAGAAACTACTGTATGCTCAGACTGTGTAGTCAATTTTTCCCAATCAACAGTGTCAAAACTCAATGAACTTAGAGATCCAGTCACAATTGTGGTGCAAAGATCCAGTAGCCTTTACTAATAAAAGCAATAATAAATGACATAAACCAATTTTATAAAAAAAAAAGAAACAACAAACCATTGACTTTCATCCTGAATATGAAAGAAATTCCCTACCAGGATTTGAACCCACAGGAATGAGGGAGGTGCAAATGACTTGAATCCAGCCTTAACTGCTTACTGGTTGTTAAGTTCATGGAATTTTGACACTGTTGTGTTGATAAACATATCTATACATTTAAAAGGATGCAATTTTTTTCTGTGATATGCTTTATGAAGCATGAAGGAGCATATTTTTGCAATGTGAAATGACTACACGAGAAGCATCTTTATTGACAATATAATACATTTCCGCCTTACACAAACAGCCAAGTATTAACTCTTACACTGTCATCTTTTTCCTTGAAATAAAAACAAACAAAAAATGAAAAACAAATTATCATATTGTCAATACCTTTCAAATCTATAATTTATTAGGAATTGAATCGCAGATCTTATCACTGAGGTCATGACAAATGATAAAGCAAACATGTCAATAACAGATAAATTTTTAGAAAAAAAAAAGACAACAACAACAAAAATATCATTGTTATTTTATTGCTGAATCATCAGTTTTTTGTACAAATGATGATCCTAAGTTAAACTGCTTAACCTGAATTTTTAAAATGGATTTAGCCTGATTTGTTTTTGGGACAGTCCATTTGAAGTTTAGGGGATTTCCATGTCAACTCAAATTTAAGGTATTAATAGTCTAGAGCCAAGCCAAGGTATTAGCCTTAATCCTTACTTTTTTTATCCTATTTCATCTTGAATATGCATGGAGATTATTTAAAACTGTTTGAAGAAATGGTACTGAAGAATTATATCCATCTATATATCCAGAAGTTAGACCAGTGAAATTTTCATTCGGACAATAGAAACCAACAAAAAATTACATTTTAAATACTGATAAATGTATATGAGCCGCGTCATGACAAAACCAACATAATGTGTTTGCGACCAGCATGGATCCAGACCAGCCTGCGCATCCGCGCAGTCTGATCAGGATCCATGCTGTTCGCCTACAGACCCTATAACAAGAAACTGATAGCGAACAGCACGGATGCGCAGGCTGGTCTGGATCCATGCTGGTCGCAAGCCCACTATGTTACCATATGTTGTTGTACCCAAAAATGAAGCAGGGCATTCGTTTTCATGTCATTATATTCTGTCAGGACATTTACCCCACAAAAAGAACTTCGCAATATTACATAGTCCCATATAAGAAATAAATTAAGTAAACACTTTTCTGATAATAAGTTAATAACCTATCAGGTCATACTGAGCATCCTATTTGTACTCAATCTTTAAAGTTCAGTAAATATCTTAATAAAATTCTCTACATTCCCTACAAGAATGTCTTTTCATCTGACCTTTGTTCTTTATGTAGGACATTTATTTCGTCTTTATCTTTAAATTTTATATCTTCTAAAATAACATCCTTTTCTCAGAAATTATCAGTTTTTATCAGCTTCGTACCTTTTTATTCTGTTTGAACAATATTTCAAAATTTGAGGAATTTTTCCTCTATTTACAAAGTAACGGAAACAAATTACTACAAACACTTGACCGACCATTGTGAATTCACTCGCAAATAATAATCTTAAAAGGAAACAGAAAATGGCAATGAGGAAACTAACCGTAGTATCATCTGACCCTGTCTAGTTACTTAATGTTTACACGGCACTCGAAGTCTTCAAAGAATTGCGGACAGGTATGGGGGTGGGGGGGGGGACGATAATCACCGTGTGTCAATACTCGGCATGTCGTATCAACAAATGTTTCAGAATGAAGATGAGGCGTGAATATAAATGTAATCACAAATGTAATCACTATTTGATTTAAAGATAAGATGTCAAGACAAACTGTACGATCAAATTATGTTTCCAAAACCTGTCAGTGTCATTTTACAATTGAGTATTTTTTTTGACATATAAATGACAAGAATTTATGTATATATGCAGAATTAAATTTTACGTGTGCTATGCATATATGCAGATGTAAATTGTTCATGTGCTATTTAGTTTTCACGTAACTGTCACACAAACACTGTACAGACATTGCGCTGACATTTCAGCTATTCAGGCGGAGGAAACCCCGGGATGCTCCTCTGTATCTTTTTCAGTGGGCACCTTGGTATAAACACCACCCTTTGTCAAGACTCCTTTAATAAAAGTATCTAACATCCCCATACAGAGGTTTAGATCTAGACAGGCAGATTATTCAAAATAGAGATTGTTGCCATTGGGTCCGGATGTTAATAAAATATTGTTAGTTTGCTGCATTTCTAAA